GCAATGGTAGAACTATACAGATGCAGATGTAGCCGTATGATGCTCCTGATGACTGGAATCTAATACGGAATAAGCCAGGAAAATGGACGTATAGTATTGAGCTAAGTTTGAGTTATAAGAAACGTGTATATAATAACCTAAGGTGTGTGATTTAGCATAAATGATGCTTTTAGAGATTGCAGGTAACAATTCAGGAATGCCCGGTATAACCAGTAAAGCTGTAAGAATGTCGAATAATTGTAGTACAGTGGCATGCGTATCGTCCGTATAATGAAGTTATGCGTGGTTTAGCATAGTGTCTTCCAAATTTAAGCTAATCCTAGAAAACAACTTTTTATTTTGGAAAACTATAACAATATTTTAATGAGTAGTACTGTTTATGAAATACAGTAGTAATAACTTCGGTTCTATGAAATTTAATTCTACGCATAAAAGCAATGCGAATTGTGTTCGAATAAATGCGCGATAATAATTATAAATCTGAGTGTAACTAAATACACAATCAGTAGAAGTGTTTTCGATGACTACTATTTAATGCAGTTTCATATGTTCCCACCCGCCCGAACCCGTTTCAGAAACTATTATGAACGAAAGTAAAACACGGATGTTTTGAGCATACTATGTTGGACCCTTGTTGAATTTTGTGGGTATTGTTTGAGCAATCTTGTACAGTGTATTCCAATATGATACATGCAGTTAATTTGTAAATTCAGTATTTGTCAGACTTCGTAATATAAGGTCTTCTAGTCCGTCTACCAATTCCGCAGTTAGATGTTATGGACTTAACTAATAAGCTTTAACTCTATGTTTCGAAGTAGCAGTATTTTTGTTAATTACGGCCAATTACAACCACAGCAGATTTATTATTTATTTTTAAATAGTACAGTATTTGTCAAAACATTTACTATTGCATAAAGTCTGAGTATTGTTAAATCTTGTTTGTTGCAGTTAGCTTTTTAATCCTTTAATTTTTACTAGTTGATCGTAGTACAGTGGCTCCAATCGACTAATACTTTCGTGCTGTTGCCAGTTAGAGAAATACGAAATAACTTCAAATGATTAGTTTAAAGCATTTAATGCTTAAAACAAGAACTTTTTGTCGTTTATACGCTTGGATCTCATGGACGTTCCTGCTCTCCGCCTTTCCACTTCCTTGGACTTCCGGATTGCCAGTTACGCTCCAGGATCCGATGACCTTTTAACTCTAACTCACTAACAACTTACTGGATCGAGCGATGTTACTAACTTTGATGGCACCGGATAGCCGGGATGGAATTTGGCGATAGCGCTAGATGTTGCACGCACTATGCGGATGGAGCAGATGTTACGATTTCCTATGTCCCTATGTTCGCTTCCTCTACGTTCCACGTCGTTACACGATGTTCCACATTTGTTCCACTACGATGCAGCGAAATCTCGTTTGCGGGGGTGACGTGTACGGGCGTACCAGCCTCGTCCACATCGTACTACTCTACTACTTCTACCCCTACTACTAAGGCTTAGGCTTTACTACAACTCCTACGCGAGTCATGACCGCGACTCCGAGTATCGACTTCTCAGAAATCCCCAGCAGAGAACTTTGACCGCGACTTGCCATTTCGACTTGACCGCGCCTCGGTCAACGAGCTCAACCTATTGTTCTAGTGTACTAGCTGACCTCTTGTTCTCATTTGTCCACGTGTAGAGATGCAGCGGTGTGATTAGTCCACGTGTCCTTAGATGTCTTTAATTGGTTAGATTCTAAATCCCTATTGTTCTCAGACCCGTACCTGCGCGTACGAAGAGCCAGCACTTGCGGTGCCCAGGGCTATATAAGGCGCTCGTCGCCCATTGTAATCTCAAGAGTTGTAATCCCAACAAAAGTAGAGTCTTGTTACTCGATCTGATTAACTTCAGGCTTTTGCTCTGGTCTTCTCTTTCCAAGTGAGGCTGTTCAAACTGACCTCTGGGTGACCTTTCACCTATTGTCAGGGGTCATTCCTCTACTTCGTCGACGTGCATTATCATCTTCGGATAGTCTCGTGACGTAACAGGCTACCCACTTGATCCCACTTGCATCCCGTGACCTTTCGGTCTCTTCTTCGGTCTTCATGCCCTGTATCGCCAGGTTGATGGATATTTCTCTTATCGCTTCTGCTACCATCTAGCGTCGGACAGGTAACGTATACTTCTCCGTCGTGTGTGTATTTCTCGTGTTTGCAGGACCCGGACCTCTTCTTCTTTTCCTTTCCTACTTCATACCAGATCAACGTAATCTTCTACCATCTTCCGTAACAGTTTGAGACAGAGTCGCTCTATCCGACTGGACGTGGTCGGACTAGTGGATACAGCACCCACTTCACTGTGTCAGGTATTACATTCACGTCACTTTTCAGGTGGAAAACTGTTTTCAAGCTGCATAGAGCCATGTCGCACCGTCCGTCCAGCGAGAGCGTGATTTTGGTCTGTGCGGCAGGCTATAAACTGGTACGAGTGCGGCCATTATCACCCAGTTAGTCGGATTCACTGATGGCGGTCGGTTTAGTGTAGTCGGCGGTTCCCGACTATTAAATCGCTGAAATGACTTAGCGTAATTAGCTAGTCCAAATTTTTGAACGAATTATCCACTTTCCAGTACGACGCAGAAATAATACGAGTACAGCTACTGTATTTATCTGCATCGATGTACTTCTAAAATCTTGCGTATTTTAAATACAAGCAAAAGGACCAAACTCACCAAAGCCAGAGAAAGAAATGCCGCGTAGGATTATAGGTATAGCTGCAGTTCTTATGGAAATTGTCTGCATGAAAGCAGGTAGAGTTCTCTAGCTACTTACACAATTATTGTTATTATGGAGACCAGTCTGAAATCGATGGAAAAGGGGAAATCGGTATTATGCTAACGTCATTCTTTTGGGCATCGGCTCAATTATCGAATGAAATGTTCGTTAATAAACTTCATGCTTAGGTTTTGTGCTAGTAAACAAACTTGTAAATTATTTCGTTAATGTGGTATTCTCTTCTAGGGCACACCCGAAGCCTACAAAGCAGTCGTGGAGCTGGTGCACGGTGCCACTGACAAGATAGTGCCGGTTGTGCGAAAAGCCGCTGTATTTGCGGCTGCTTTAGCTCTGAAAACGTAAACCAATCTATTGTAATGGATCTGACTTTAATTTCAGCGGTTATGGAGTACTTCGTACAGCATATCCAGTACAAGAATCTAAGCTGTGAGAGGCTGTGAATAACAACTTGCGCAAACTAGTAGCTACCTATTATTTGCCTTACCTCAAACTATTTTCGCCAGATTGTTCGCTATCAGTGTACATTGCGTATACCAACCTACAGGCTACCTCAATAGGAGTGCTGTGTTACCACTCGCACTCGTACATCCAGATCTTTTTAGAATGATGGGAGCGGTGCGTTAAAGCTGCTGAGTGCTTGTACGGATCAGACCTACATGAATGTCCTCAACTTGAGAGTCCTGGCCCTGATCCAACTGAACCGTTTGGAGGAAGTTCTGTCTGTTCTGTCCCGCGTCATTGCTCAAAACAGCGGACCGCAGCGGATTGGCTATGGGCTGTTCCCAGAAGTGGTACGTACTCTACGCGTGTTTATTCAGTCAGATGACATTATAATTTTACATCATTAAGGGAGTGAAAGAAAACACTAGAACAAGGGAAAAAGCATAATCTTTAAGTCCGAATACGAGAGCATATTAGGTTAGAGCATAACAGATTGAAAAGCAAAATAATTCCCGTCCCGGTAATCAACTAACTGGGATGTTACGATTATTTCGGGATAGATTGCGGAAGTGAGGAAAGCCGTGGAAATCAGCGACGACAAGAAGCTGCGCCAAGCATTCGACAAGGCCTTTGCCGCTCTGAATCGCGCTCCGTCCATTGACGCCATGAGTCTGAAAGAGTACCTGGAGCAACCCATTGAACATTACAGTAAAGAACAGCTGGAGAGCCGCAACCTCAGCAAACGACGCCGATGGACGGAGAAGGAAGGAATGTAACGGAGAAATGCAATGTTTTGTCCCTCAAAATATATACCCGTATCGTGCATCGTAACTTTGATATATGTTTACAAGAACTGAGAATAGCTGTAAGGACTGGGAGCAGACTGCGCAACGGTCGAGTACGTCATACAGAAAGCACTACTGCTGTGCTAATGCTTACCCATATAGATAGTCCCACAGATTTTGTTGTCCGTTTTAAAAGATATTCCTAAGTTTCTTTCTCATCAAAAGCTTTCTGAGATTTTATTAGATCATACTGAATTCGTGGCATTGTCGGCGGCTGAATAAAATTCTGGTTTCCTCTTTCGGCTGGTTTTTCATGCACCATTTATTGCGTTGTGGACTGCTTAGACTCATATGATAGATAGTTTACTAGCCGCTAACAAACAAGAAAATTTTGGCTGTCTTGTAAGTTTCTATCTAGCACACCTAATCGCATTAAGAAACCCGTCTGCAATAATGTGTATATTTATTACTTATATGCAAGTATGCTCCTTAATTTACTATAATTAGTATAAGAACAGGCAATACAATGCAGAAAAAAGAGAAGTATGGAAAACAATTATTAATGCTGTACATTTGATTACAGTACATAATTTATTTTTGCATTAATACTGTAGTATCTGTATTTTAACTCTGCCAAAGGATGTGAAAACTCAACAAATTACACCAGTGGGCCGAAATGACCCGGTAGAATACGTGTTTACATGAGTATCGTCATTTGAACGTCTTTCATATTTCTTTTTCAGATACGTTTCACTTTTAATTAGCTTGCAAAAACGTGTACTTCTATAGGTGTAGGATTATCGAATGATGAACAGCCAATAGTGTTAGAAGGACTGGTAGTGGTAACCAACCGTATTACGTCATCACTCTCGCATACACGGGAGGGCGGCTGCCATGGTGACAGATGCGCGTTTTTCACGGTTTTTGTCCGTTTCCGCAGCAGATTCATTCATTCACTGTCCTATTTCTACCCTCCGAAATTGAGGTTTCTATATTTCTGTGGTCGGCGCGGCGATGAGTTCGCGGCAGACCTAAAGCTACGTCGCCCAACCGCCCTAGGGCTGCACGGCGCTGCAAATCACCCACTGTGTCCGCTCCCGCTGGGGGATAGGCTGCGCTCGCTACGCTTCCCTCAAACTTAAACAAATGCAAACAGCTGACTGCGAAATTGGAAGAAGTTTCGTTAGTTTGTTTGTTTATCCCTCCCGCTTTCTGTGCGATTTTCGGATTTCTCCGTTTCGGTAATACTTTACAGTTTGTCTTCGGATTTTACAACGAGAACTTTTAGTCTGATCACGTGGTTTTCGATCGCCGTTGTGCAGCGAACGTTCGGATGCCACGATGAGCCAGCGCTGGATCGGAGCGACATGGAGAACGGTGGCGGGCTGCGCTTGTGGAATACTGATTAAAAACAGCATTGTATTGCCTGCGTCTCGGAGTTTCACTGGTTGGTTGATAATCGCTGACTGTGACTGTAACTGCCGTATCACTGCCCAAGTCTGACTGCAAACTCTCATCCCGACAGTGTCCGCTTACAGCCTCTTCTTCAGCAAAGACACCCTGGGACTTCGTAGTTACGAGTCCGTGCGGAAGAGGACCACCACCCAACTGGACGTGTTCCAAGGTTTGTCTGTCGTTTTCTGGACAGATTTCTGGAAAGTACAGCGTACCAGCTAGTTGTGTAACGAAATGTTCCCAGTGAGGTTTCTGGGTCTAGTTCCTACTTCCTAGGGTTGGTTCTTGTAAAACAGTGTGTTCCTAGTTTCTTAGGTGTTATTCTGAGATTTCTTAGGTTTTCCTCTTTCCCTAGGCCGTTTCCGTCTGCGAATGGAGGAGTGTCTGAGCGGCGCCTCGCTCCTATTCACGGAGGACGATCTGATCAATATGTGCTATCTGGCGAAAGACGATAAGGATCTGCAGCTGCTCAACAGAATGCTGAAGCGGTAGGCAGCATTTTGTATCGGTGTGCATTTACGCAGGCCCTGCACAGTTACTCATACTAGGAACTGCATTGAAGAGTATTTTGGTGTTGCACAGGTATGTGCAACACAGTTCGGAGACGCGCTTTGGCGGCTTCCGTTTCGGACCGATTCTCATGCGGCTGCATCACCATCTCAATAAACCGGATGAAGCGCTCGCCTCCATTCAAGATCCCGTAAGTTACCATCGGGTTGATCCAGCGAAAAGCTGGAGAGAATTTCTCTGGTTAGTCGTTTTTAAGTAGTACGTATTTGGATAATTGTTTTGTGAAGCATTTTATACTGTTGTGGTTAAGCCCAAAGCTTCTCAGGGTGGTCTTAACTCTTAGGTACGTGTTTCACAAATTTTAATATTAGAAAATTATGATGTAAACCGGGAATGAAATCAGGCCAATTCCCTAATTCCCCGATTGTGGAATTTTTTCCGGCAATATTCGTTATTTTTTTTTCAAAAGCTGCATTAATCTTTGAACTGCCGTTTTATTAAAATTATCGTGATAGTTTGACTAAGTAGGAAATCGGTTAATCTGTTGATGCAATGGTGTTGTCTGCTTTAGAACGTAAACATGTAGAATATCCCAGAAAATTGTTTTCGGAAATAATACAACTCGAGCTTCTGGAAATACAAGAAATATACATACAACATTGGTTTGCGAGGAAATAACCGTATACAACACTGTAAATAATAAATTGATACCGTGGGTTCTTGCGTAGGATCTGGCGCAGGTGTACGACCAACTGACATCGTACTGGGTGGCGATGGATCTCTTGTACGAAAACCAGCGCTACGACGACGTACTGGAGCTGTACAGCGCCATGTCGCAGCGTCCGTTTATCGCAGATCGATCAGGAACATTGCATTTGACTTTGGCTTATGCGGCATGCTGTAAACTGGTACAAAAATGAAAGATCTTTGCAACGAGTCAGATATTTTATGAAGCGTTATCGCTTTCGTGGCTACGAAGTATTTTTAGATTGCTTACCAGAGTTCAGTCACTTATTCAGTCATTTATTCAGTCACCCAGTTACGCTCCTTTGTTTTCTATTTTCCAATGATTTTCCCATTAACTAGACCACGTTGTACTTAATTTTGTCAGCTAAGCGGTTCGATCGTTGTAGGGTACCTTCAAAGCATACACAACGGCCAGGGGGTTGGTGAAAAATGCAATGCCGATGCAGCTTCCGGTTAAGCGAAAAGTGGTGACGGTTGCGGCTGCGTTAGCTGTGAAACACGTAAGCGAACTACATAAGCTGGCTTTCGCTTGCTGCAGGAGTGGAGCTTGGACCGGTGGCTGACACATTTATCGATTATTATTTTTTATTACATACCATTTCCTCAAAATATTAATTCTGAGTTAACCTAGGAAATCTGTGCATGGTGTGTAAGTAATATAAATCATTTTTTTGACATTTTATTACTATTTGACATTTTTTTGTACATATTTCCATACAAGTATCTGTACAAGCCTGAACGTTGTTAACTGGCATATTTCTATAAACTATAAACTACAGTATATTTCTATAAATTGTCGGTGCATTGTGTTGGAACTATGGTTGCCATTTGGCAACAATTCACAGTTCACACCGGTCGTGTTGAACCTCGCACGGAGAATTTTGTTCCAAGTGTCGGTTTCCGTAGAATGATCCGATTGATGCGCTGGAGATGCTAAGCTGTCTGCCGCCTGCGAATCAGTACCACATCACCGTCCGCAACTTGCGAATCCTGGCGCTGACCAGATTGCATCGTTGGGAGCATGTGCTCTCTCTCCTGCGCTGGAATACTGCCCAGGATATCGGAGCCAAAGGGCTTCGTTTTTTCCCAGATGTGGTACGTGATGTAATTATGTACTTTCTATTTATTGTGGGTATGTAATCTGCTTTTTTGAATCCGCGTTTAATGAGCGCACATTCGACATCGGTCTGATCCACAATCAACGATGGAACCATTAGTGAAGTTAACTTTTAAGTACATCTGCTTGTAGATAAAGTAAGTGATGGTGAAATAAGAAAGCTGCCAAATAACAAATTAATCCGATAATGATAATACCGTTACAACTTACTTATTGCAGATTGCTGAAGTGAAGAAAGCCGTGGAAACCAAAGAGGACAAGGAGCTGCGCCAGGCATTCGATAAAGCCTTTGAAGCTCTGGAACGCGGTCATGCTATCACAGCCGACACCCTGAAGGAGAGACTGAAAGGATTAAATTTCGATGACCATATGGGGCCGGCCTGCGACGATCAGTATAACTCGCGCGTGGAACCGGAAGACGGTCCCATGCCCCTCCAGCAGCAGTGCCATCGCGATGAAGTGGAGAAAAGCAACGGCAACACGATGCTGCGCCGGGTATTCGACAAGCTCTTCAATGAACCGGAGCAGAGCGATGTCTTTGACGCCAAGGCCTTGAACGACTGCTGGGATCGGCTCATCGCAGACAGCAGTACAACGCCGGACTTTCCGGGGCAGGGCGTCCGTGATCGTCAGGTCGCTGGCACCTTCCAGCAGCAGCGCCACCGCGACGATGAAGGGCCGACAGTCGGTGGTGGACGTCATTACCCGAGCAGCGGACGCGTGGGTGGATCTGCCGGCAGCCGCACAGCGGGAGGCGATGATGGAGTGCAGCTGGTTAAACGTGACCGGGTGCTGTTACCGGAACAAGGTATGCAGCGGGCGCGCGGAGGCCCGGACAGCGGGAAGGACAAGGTGCGAAAGAAGCACGGGGAACGCGCGACGGAGACCTCCAACCCCAATTGGGACGCGGGATACCGGCCGCGTGGGTAGCTGTGGACGCCCGGCGGCGGTGGGGGAATCGGGCAGCGGAAGGGACGGAGCGATTTGCCCGGGTGACGTGTTGGGCAAGGCGTTACGCTGGTTGGGTTGTTGGTTATTCGTTGATCGTTGTGTGGTTGTTGGTTGGGTCGACTGGTAATATTAACAGACCTCTTTTTCTGCTAATTTTTCTCTGTTAAATATTGTTCTCATAACCCGAATATAAATGCGGCTCAGATTAAGCTGAACACATTCTCCGCCCGATTTTATTTTGCTTACCCTTTACGTTCTCGCGCATTGACGACCGGTCGTGTTGTCATACCTCATGGCGTTGTTTTTATTCTTGTTTTTATTTACTTTGATCTCTGTTCGGTAAATTGATGGTTGCAACCGGGATAAGATAGTTGGAAATTAAACTAATCAAATGTCACGGATATACTGGATAATAAAACAAAAGTATTCTCCAGAGGATATATAAACTTATCCGTACTCTAGTGAGCCCCATGGTCCCACACCCGTTGCGGCAGCGACCCGTCTGCAGAAAAACAATAGGTGGTCGGCTTACGAACATGGCACTTGGCAGCCAGGTGTGTTCTTAAAGCATCAAATTAAGAAATAATATTAGTAAAATCATGACCGTGTATATGAGGCCGAGCACATGCTGGTATTTGCTTTTTTTCTGTAATGCCTCTTCAGGTTTCACGCCTAGCAATACTTGTATTTTCAGTAGAGGTGTTTCACATAGGAATCGGTGTACAGTATTTTCAACAGATCTGACAAAAATCGCAGTGATTAGTATTACTCAGTACTGATTAGTTTCGTTGATTACTGTTCAGAGCACCTGAATAAACCGGCTCGATCAAGTTAGCTTAACCGGCATTCTTTAACGTTTTATTCACTGCTGTATATTAAAATCGAGAAAATCGTTTGGAAGGCAAAAGCTTGGTCAACAACTATAAGTATGTGGCTGCATGTAGTGCAAACATTTAATTGCTATCACACATCGGCATAAGTACTACTGTACTAGTACTAGTGTTTAAAAATTTCAAGATATGATTTTGGTACAAGCTCGTAATCAATGCAGAAGCAGTTTGCGGCATAGCACTGCGTTGGCGACGAGGCATGCAATCGGAAAAGCGGTGAAAATTACGGAAGCAATATGTTTTCAGCCAGAGAAGTTTTTCCACTTTCTCACGCTTCACTTTCGTTTGCTCCAGGGAATGTAAGGACCATTGGGAACGGACGTGGCTGGCTCACCCGTGCACGGATCCTCTAAATAAATCAGACCATGATTATATAATTGTTGCGTAGTCAGCATCAACCTATTCAAAGCCCATGCCGGCACCGAGTCATTAGGCATGATTGCTGTAACCTGTACGTATATTCTTAGGTTACGCCGCGTTTCTGACGAGACGAGGCAACCGCTACGTTTTCCGTTATTACATTTGCCGATGCAGCAGAGCAGAATAAGTAGAATTTAAAAACCCGAAGTAAAAGATATGGCAAAATTGAAGTACGGTAAAGTATGGCAAAATTAATAGGAATAAAACTGCTTGCTTACTCTCCCATGTGCCACCGGGTGTGTCGGATTCCAGGTTGTCTGGCTCGATCGTCATGTCGGTCCGTGGCTCCAAATGGAAATGATACGGGATGACATCACGCAGATTGCGTCCTTCCTTCCAGGCCCAGTGGTGGGCAAAGCAGCACTGGGTCATGACCAGGTTATCGCCGGGTCTTCCCGGGCTGCAGTTACGGCAGTCAGGGTTACCGTCCGTAGGGCACAGCGGCAGCTGATCGTTCACCCTGGACTGGTACTGACTGACGAGTTCGGATTCGCTGGGAGATAAATCGGTATACGTTTGCAGCTTCTGGATTCTCTTGTTGCTGGTACCTTCCGTCCAGGGCTCTTCAATCTGGACATACATATTGTCGCTGATAGGCTGACCTCTCGGGATGGTAGTGGAGACGGAGTGGCCGTGGACCGTCCACAACGACGCAAGACCGGTTGCACACAATAATAAGAGAATAGCGAACATTTTTATAAAAAAGTCAAAGCCTTGGATTAAACGAGGTTGTGCGATATGGTCGGCTTCGTTGTTCGTTACAGCGCATTTTATGCGTTCGGATGCGTTCGGCCCACGTTGATGCTTTGTGAACAAGGGTCTCACGTCCGCCGTATTATTTCCAGGCGCGCTGCAGAGTCAGTTTGCGGAAGCCAGGAAGGATTCGGGCAATTTCACTCGGTTTCAAGTGTTTTACTGATGCCGTTTCCATGAAATCGCATAACCCAACGCGAATTTTGCAGCTGCTTGCATGTTTTGGGCGGAATCATGCGAACCGATTTCGAGTGGATGATTCGGAAAAAGTATGAATCGTTAACGGTTGATTTCGCCAACAAGACATGTCTGAAGTGCTCTGTGACAACTGGCATGCAGATAAGCTTAGCTCTTAGCGGGTTTCCGGCGATGTACAGAGTACAGCGGCGAATCGCTGAGCCGCCAGTATGAGTTCAAAAATTTCAACTTCTCTCAGTACCGTACATGTAATTTTCTGAAGTTTCTTGATAGGTTGCCATTTACGCCTGCAAGTTTCCTACTTACACTTGCAGTTTACGCCTCGAAATACGAATTGATAACTGCTCGTTGCTGTGGAAAAAAATCGAGACGTAAGGCAGACCGTCATATGCATTTATAGACTGCAGTTTACTTTGGATTACTAGATAACAAAATTTCACGTACGTATATTGCACTAGATGAAAGTCTTGGCGGCGACTGTGGACCGTCACCAAAATGGTTGTTGAAGTTTTATTGGAAGAAGCATACGAGTTCTTGTCGATGGTACCAGTATGGTACTCGTTTAATTTGACGACAGTTGGACAGCCAAGATTTACGAGTCGCTGCAGCTATTACAGTTAAGACGATTTGTGAGAAAGCACCCGCTGATTGTAAACGCCATAATGTACTTGTATTTGATATAATGTTGTTAACTGTCTATTCTAAATTACTCATCAGAATAATGTGTATTGCAACACTTGTATGTCAAAATAAAAAATATTCAGGCACATCATACAGCACGCACAGCAGCACACATATAAGGAAGAAGCGTTGCGAGTATTTGTATAATTTAACCGAAATACATGCAGTGGCCCTTTACGGAACTAGCGTAATCGCTACAGATCCATGGCGTCATCTTTATCGCTTCAGTGTGGCTTCCGGGTGCTCCATGGAATGTAAGGATCAATCCTGATGGACTCCGCTGATACGCCCGTGCACGGATCCGCTAAAAAGCATCTAATGACACTTTTCGCACGTGTCACTTGCAATACTAAGCACGTCATGTATGTGTGATGAAACGTCACTTGTTCTCGTACAAGGTTACCGGAAAATGGTTTTACAAGGGAGCATGCTTTCCTTACATTTCCATATTGCACTAAATGGCGTGATAATATACGGATACGGGTCCGTGCTGGTGTCCGTCACCGGGTCCAAATGAAAGCGGTACGGGAGAAAGTCGCGGAGGGTGCGGTATTCTTCCAAGCCCAGTGGTGTGCAAAGCAGCACTGCATCATCCCACTGTCGTCCATGTTATTTCCCCGCTTGCAGTCCGGACAATGGGGATAACCGTCCGTGGGGCACAGCGGCAGTTCACTGTTTACCACTTTGTCCTGGTACTCATTAAGTTCTTGTAAGTATGAGCCCAACTCCTGCATATACAGGAGGCCCCCAACGGCCGCGTTGCTGTGAAGTGTGGCCATGGTACTGCGATCTGGACGTATTGACGGCCGGCAGCTTGGTTTTCCAATTTCCAGGATGCTGAAGGGAATGAGATCGCCGTTGGCGGTCCACAGTAATCACAAACCAGTTGCACAAAACAGGTGAACCCTGGACATGGTTAATCAGGAATTGGAACGCTTCGTCTTACATATGTACCGGCTAGTAAAATGCAGCGGATTACTCGTAGACTTACCGTATATACAAGTACTGCAGATGTAATAAATTAATAATACGTATTATAACGCTTGCTTGGTCAGTGTTTAGGCTTCGTCGGCACGCATTTACTGTAAGTGTCTCTATCTGGTCGCACCTTACCAGGTGCGCTTCAGGTATTCGGTGTCGCGCATACCGGTAATCCCAAAACTTTTCGGATGGTGCACTAGACTTCAAGTCTTCAAGTGTTTTCGATGTTGCTGGTTTTCACAAGAAATGTTTATTCCAGTGCGAGTTTTGTAAGATGCAAGTATTTTACGCAAACTGCAGAACGTACCGTACAGATCAGTAAGCACTCCGCTGTCCATCAAACTCTTTTACCAAAAGACCAAAGTGTATTCGCTAGAATTATTGGTGGTGATGGACAATTTGTGAGCATGTGCTGCGAACACTACACCAATGCTGGCTTGATCTTCAAAATGTACAAACATTTTTTATCGGCTGGAAAGTCATCACGGAAGAGCTAGAGTAAGAATGACTCTAGAAGATACTGACGTTTTCAGAGCTCTGGGAAATCTGTGTTAGTGCGTACAAGTACACAATCAGAAGTTTCCGGTTCTGCTAGGAGAAACGAGGCGTACAGTTTCCCTACCGATCTAATTGTAAGGCTGCAGTCACCTACAATGCATGCACCCCAACAAAGAGAAGATCGGCACTATTCAAGCGGGGACTAAATGGCTTGCTAATCAACGTTAACGTATCGTTATGTGGTTGTCAACAGGAACGAATTTTTACCGAATAAAACGATAGCTTGTATCAGTCAATATGTAATTTAACGCAGTTGCTTTCATGGGGAAAACCAGTTCCATCCACCAGAACACGCAGTCCTGTTTCTCCACGCGTTCCTGTAAAATGCACGCGCGCTGTGCCTTCAGTGCTGCTCAAATCCACCAGCGCTCTAACACCGACCAAAAACACTGCTAAAGTTTCAAATGCAGACAAAGCGGACGCTGTAGGGAAATACGTCGTAAGACGCTACCTACAGGCGTCTCGCTGGGCAATGCTGGCGTTGTGCGACTATAGCACACTGGCGACGCGGGGGGGCAGCATCATCAGCCATCATGGGGATAGTATTGTCGTTATCGGTAGACGGTAGGTACAGTCGACAGATAATTGTGACTTCCTGTAGGTACACACACTAATGTTTCGCTACAAGAAAATACGAGAGCTTTCCATAACGTAAGTTCTTATTATCAATTGCATTTTACACGAAGTTCCAGTCAAGACTAATTGCTCTATCTAAAACGGATGACCATTTCTCCTCTTTTTACATGTATCCATTAGTAACACATGAAACAGCGCCGAAGCCATTAAACGGTGTGTACAACAACCAATCAGGACGCTCAAAACGGAAGAAACACACATGTGCTGTACCAGATAAGCACATGAAAAGGCGCGCGTTACACATGGAGCGTTAGTATCCCGGTGTGTGATGTAACAGTCGAATAGGGCGGCAGTGTAACGCTGCGGGCAGCGGGCGCGTCGCAGGTTTTCGCGACAAAAATATCTATATTCCATGCGGGGATAAAGAATCGAATTCCTCCTAGGCAAACGGATACTAGGGGCAGCTTTCGTTCACTGCTTGCAAGCATCGTCCGTAATCTTCATTCACACTATCCTATCCGTTCTTCGTTTACAAATGTCTTGTTCTGCCAGCATTGCAGTATTTGTAACAAAACTCAATACGACACTCGTAAATATTTTCGTTTTTTCTCGGATAATTTATCATACTCTAATTAGCACGACAGACTTAATTATGTACACCGGCATGATATGGTGGCTTCGTGAACTGTCTGGTTAGCTCGCTCCTCCGCTACGGGCCACTTATTCCAGTGCGAGTACAATGTAGGACGCAGTGGTTGCATAACTCCATACCCAACATTCTGTACGCATGCGGTGCAATGCGCTTGTACGAACCGGATATTTTGAGCTAAATCTTACAGTGCACTGCACTGCATGCGTACTGAATGTGGATATGTTTGGGTATGCAACCATTTCGTCCTACATTGCAGCTTCGCTGCTCCCACAGAGAGTCACATCGGACCATTAGTTGGTGGCACGTTTCCGTGCACGCCGACAGAGAACTACTGCTGACTAAGAAAAATGGCATAAACAAAAACCCTTATCATTCGTATTTTTGTGCCTGTCGCGTTAAGCGTTCTTACGCGACACCTCCCGTGTAATTCAACACAAGCTTCAGAATAAGCGCAACCGAGACGAGTAATTATGGCATAGTTCCCACTGGTAATTCTGTTACGACTTCCGTGAACAATACCATGAGCCAACTAAATCAAGCCGGAAATGATATCCTGAGTAGGCGATTGCAACCGTCCTAAACGCAAAACGTCCGCCGTAAATTTTGCCCACCCAGATTTTTTTGCTTTTTCGATCGTGAATGAGAACAATGAGCGTTAATAAGTATCCGGATGATTTTCTCTGACTGTAAGTTCGTAGCCGGTCGTTTCTGCCGGACTGTAAATTCGTAGCCGGACGTTTCTGCCGGAATGTAATTTCGTATCCTGTCGTTTTGTCCTGAATGGCTGCGGACCTAAGTGGTTTTTTGAGTTACTTTTTGCCAACCAAGCATAAGGACCCAGGCGGTGAACTGCCACTTGGCACATGGACCCTGGTTGTAAATCTCCACCCAGGAATATTGACCTAGGGGGTAATTGCCTGAAAATACAGTCATAGTTGAAGTTACATGCATAGACGAAAGGGCCTTACGTGGGTGGATTTTTGGCGCCGCCTTCCCACACGCTGACACGCATACATCTAATGGTAGCACGTCAGTTTACCGACCAACAACTCGCTTCCCGACAATGTGCTGACCGACATATTGCTAACTTACACAACTCGCTGACCGACAACTTGTTGACCGACAATTTGCTTTTCGGCTAGGTTGTTGACCGACGCTTTGTCGAAACATTTTTGTTGACCGACAACTTGCTGTCAAGTTCGGGACGTTGGTTTTGAGTTTTCTTAACTTCTCGTTGCTTATTCTTAGGCTTTTTAGGTTTCTTAGGTTTCTTAGGTTTCTTAGTTTTCTTTGTTTTCTTAAGTTTTTGGGTTTCTTGCGTCAGCAAAATGCCGTCAGCAAGTTGTCGGGGTTCACAAAAAGTCGTTCAGCGAGATGTCGTTCAGTGATTGGTCGTCGAACTGTCGGGTCATCATTTTGTTGGCCTAGACTCCAACTCTGACTCTGATTCTGACCACTCAAACTCTGACTCTGACTACTCAAAGTCTGACTCTGACCGCTCAAAGTCTGACTCTGACTCTGAAGGTTTCTTAGGTTTCTTAATAGGTTTCTTAGGATTCTTAGGTTTCTGAGGTTTCTTAGGTTTCTTAGGTTTCATAAATTTTTTAGGTTTCTTAGGTTTCTTAGTTTTCTTAGGTTTCTTCGGTTTCTTAAGTTATTCTTAGGTTATTCAGTCAGAGTCAAAGTCAGAGTTTGGACAGTCAGAGTCAGACTTTGAGTAGTCAGAGTCAGAGTTCGAGCGGTCAGAGTCTGAGTCAGAGTCAGAGCTTGAGCGCGGGCCCATTTTGTTTGTCAGCAAAAAGTCGTCAGCAAGTTGTCGACCAGCAGGAAAGTCGTCAGCGAATTGTCGGTGTGCCGTATGCATAATCTCACGATTGTCCTATACTGCACAGGGAGTTTCGCTTTCCCAACTGAAATGCCAGCTATATTTTTCTAATCTTCCGAACTCGTTTCATTTTAATTAGTGCTCAGCGCAAGCATTTTTGTACGGTATGTGTAGGCTTTTGCCGAATAAATACATCGTCCCATGGTACAGGAGCGCCAGTACGCTGCGCAATCGACATCCTCATGATCTCATAGACAACACCGTACCAAGGCTTAACACAGAAACCGCGTTGCGTTGAGCATCAGTATTTTGGTGACTTTTGTGACTTGTGAGTATAACTGCTACTAGCAGAAAAGTGACAACCTTCAACAGTCTTACCCAAAAAGCACCCACCATTAGCGAAGTACGAGTTTGCAACTGCAATTTACTGTACTTGCTTCCGTTGGGGGTGAGGCTGCGCTCGTTACGCTGTGCTAAATTCTCTGCGATTCCTGATTCTCGCCACGATTGCAGACTGGCAGCGTGTCATTTTGACGTCACCAACAACAGGGATTTTACGGTGCGCCAACTACGCATTCGCTCTGTTGCTGTTCGTGATATGGGCGGACGGTGGCGCTATACCGTGGCCATAGCACTAGCGCCTAGTTTAAGAATAGTGTAAATATTTTAGCATACATTTGTCGCCCGTTTGTATAGCTTAGTTTATACTTTGTTGTTAATTTTCATTTATCTGCCGCACTAACAAACATCATAGTTTGCGAATGCGTGCTGTTTGAAAGGTGCCGGAATACACTTGTTTCTATGCGCTTACGATGACTTCTGGGCGTAGCTTGGGCGTACGGCTACCAACCGTCACGGGGCGCCATCCGGGCGAGAATCGTCAATCTGCACGGCGTGCAAGCATGAAGCAGCTGATCAGCTGTTTTGTGTGCACGCAGCTGATCAGCTGTTTTGCCAGTCATTCTCATTTGATCTTGACAGACTTCGGTCTTCGGAATTCGCGTTCCTTCAACTTGCAAACTAAGGGCTTTTGAAGCTCCCTGTAGTTTCCGTTTTCGATAGTGTAGCGACGCTCAGTACGATGAGCTGGCGCTGGATCGGATCGACACGGAAAGCGATCGCCAGTTTCGAGATACTTGCCCATAAGAGCATCACTGCGACAGTGCCGCGGAATTTCTCATGTTAGTTGCCCGTTGACGTCAATAATACTCTTACTAACCTTATTGCACCGTGCTGCGGCGCGCATCCGTATGAATGAAAAGTAATTTTCATCCCCACAGTGCCAGCTTGCCGTCTCCTCTACACTAAAGAAGGTCTTGGTCTTACCAGCTATGTACGGGATCGGGAGAGGAATGCGGCCGTAGTGGGCTCGATGAAAGGTTGGCCCCCATTGCGTTCCGTAACGATCACTGTACAGTTAGATCTTGAAAGAAAATAAAACGAATCATATTATGACGTGTCGCCGTATTGGTGGTGTAGAGCGTTCCAAGCAGAAGTTGGAAGAGCGCGTTAGCGCGGACACGACATCTCCCGGTTTCGCCAAAGCTGATCTGAAAAGGATGTACTATCTTGCGGAGAACGATGAAGATTTGCAGCTGCTGAATAAAATGCTGAAGAAGTAAGTAGAAGTACGGAATGTTGCATGTCCGACGAATGAAAGCACGTAGTCGTGCAGTTTAGCTTAAATGCGTAAAGGTACAGCGAATAATACGAATTCATGGGTTACTTTGAATCTTTATTGGTCAAATCAAACTTAAGGCAAAATAAAGAAAGAAACACAAAAATTACAACAAGAAAATTTTATTCAATTTATCCAGCCCTTCCATCGTGCGCAGCACAGACGCCGCATTACCCCGTTGAATTTCTATCGACAAACTCTGACGTAAAAATTGATGCGAGCGTGCTTCGCCGGTTTGCTGCTGAAGTCTTTTCCCCACTTCTTTCACAATTGCGATATATCACAATTCACCTATGTCCTATATCTTTACGCCGCTAATTAGGAATCTGGCTTGTACGCTGTTTGAGAGTCGATTGTCGTTGTGAAGGTATGTCAAGCAGACGGAGAAGAAGCACTTCACTTTCGGGCCGTCTCTCATGCGACTCTATCATCACCTCAATAAACCCGATGAGGCCCTAGCCTCCATTCAAGATCCCGTAAGCCTTCATTGGAGCTCCGAATGGTCTAACACTCTAACTGGATTTATCCAGAATAATTGGAAAACTTTTCTGGTTGCTATTTTTTAAATTGCATTTCGTAGTTCTATTTTATTAGCATTTTCTAGTACATAGTTTTGGTTAGTTAAAAACACAATTTTGGTGGTTAAAGAATAAAGATATTAGTTATCATATTTTAGTAGCAGTTAAATACGAGAAAATAGAGCTGATTGCAGCGGCAATAAAATCTGGATTTCTCGGGTATCCGGATATTTTCATTTTCGTGCATTTTGATATAATAGCGCCTGAACAGTGAACTGGCATCATATGATTTTTCTCTGCAGGATCTGGTCCATGCGTACGACCAGATGACTTCCTACACGGTGGCGATGGACCTGTTGTATGAAAATCAGCGCTATCACGATGTGGTGATGCTGTACAAAGCCATGCTGCAGCGTCGGTTTTGCGATGACACTGACAGCATCCACTCCCACGTGCCGAATTACTGTTTAACCTTGGCCTGTGCGGCATGCTATAAGCTGGTACGATGTTAATACGAATACTCGTTGAATAAACTAAACTAATGAAGTGCGTTCCTCTTGGCCACTAACGTTTCTAACGATTTCTGATAGTATACAGTGATTGGGTACTACTGTAACTTTGTTGGTATACGTACAGTATGCACGTGATAACTTCATTCATATCCGTTAAGGATTGCGATCATTTGTAGGATACTCCCGAAACGTACGCAACGGCCGTGGAGTTGCTGAAAGATGCCATCGACAAGAAAGCACGACCGGTTATGCGACGCGCGGTGGCGTTTACGGCTGCTTTAGCTCTGAAAAATGTAAGCCATTTTAAATTTTTAATACACTTTAAATTTAAGTGATGCAGTAATTAATACGAAAATGTTAACGTGCAGTAGATCTGGAAATTTTTCACTCAAATTTGCTGTAGTGAGTGGGGTTTTTATGCGCGCTGCACTTGTTGTACTACCGCTGTAAACGGTACATACTGATTACAAAACTGAAGAGATTGTATATGAATGCACAGAGCCGAAAGAGTCTCATTTTCCCGTACGCCACACCCGACACGACAACAGATTTGCTTAGTGAATTTATTGTCGTATGCATCGGGACACGGTCCCCTCAAAACATTTAACACTCGAGACAAAAACAAACAGAGCTGGCATTATCGAAAACAAAGAGACATTTAGCATTTACTGAAAATCATCTCATATTGGTATGTTATGGTAATTACGGTAAAGTTTTCCCTTTAAACTACTGAGTACAGTGAGTAGAACGGCTCGTATGCTCATTGTGTATTGAAGGTTTTTGTAGGATAATGCGGCCGGTGCACTGGAGCTGCTGCGTGGTATTCCTTCGCATCGCAATTACAAGGCCCCCCGCAACCTGACAGTCTTATGCCTGACTAGATTAGGCCGCTTGCACGAGGTCTTCTCTATTATGCGGCATTGGCCCAATGTGAAGCATGATAGCGAATCCAAATCGACAGAGTTCCGCTTTTTCCAGGATGTGGTACGTGTTGTATGTAGTTTATGATTTATTTAACCTTTTTGGTGGACGGCATGAACGTGGAATGATAAAAAAAATGGGGCGATGGTTGGCGATAAAAAGTACATGAATAAACGAAACACAGCAAACGAAGAGGAATCGGATACCGAAAAGTGGTTTGTTCTACAAGTAATATTATGATTATTTGGTGATAGATAGCTAAAGTGAAGAGAGCCGTGAGGAAAATCAAAGACGACAAAAAGCTGCGCGATGGTTTCGACAAGACCTTCAAAGATCTGGCACAGGATAGGGCCATTGATCCCAAGACCCTGAAGGAGGACCTGGAGCGGCCCATTCAAAACTATAATAAATTAGCGGAACTCCAGGGTCAGGACTTTCGTGGTCGCCCGCCGACCACTGCGACGTGCACTGCACCGGAAGGCGTCTCGGAACCCCTTCGGCATCAGCGCCACCGCGATCAGATGAACAAAGCCGTGGAAACCGGAGACGACAAGATGCTGCGCCATGCAATCGACCAGGTCTTCCAAGCTGTGGATCCCGACGATGCATTTGGCGCCCAGGCCCTGAACGAGTGCTGGGATCGGCTTATTGAAGCCAGCTATATACCGCCGGTCTCCCAGGGGCTTTAATTATTTCCAGCTGCTCAGCACGTTGCGCATTGCCCCGGAGTCCATCCAGCGACAGAGCCACCGCGATAACCAACGCTCGTCGGGCGGCTTGACTGAGATTGGCGGACGTCACGAGTCGGGCAGCGGTCGCATGGGCGGGTCTGGCGGCAGCCGCACAGCGGGGGGCGGCGATGGAGCGCAGCTGATTAAACGTGACCGGGTGTTGTTGCCCGAACAGGGTATACAGCGGGTGCGAAGAGACCCGGACAGCGGGAAGGATAGGGTGCGAAAGACTCACGTTCACCGCGCGACAGATACCCCCACCCATTTAAACCCCAATTGGGACGCGTGATACCGGCCGCGTGCGGATTTTCGGAAGCCCGGCGGCGGTTGAGGAACCGGGCAGCGGAAGGGACGGAGCGATTTGCCCGGGTGACGTGTAACGCGGGTTAGGTTGTTGGTTATTCGTTGATCGTTTTGTGGTTGTTGGTTGGGTTGACTGGTGATATTAACAGGCCTCTTTTTCTGCAAATTCTTCTTCGTAGAGTAATATAACGAAATCCCGAGTAGAACGTCGGCTCAGAGTAACGCTGAGCATATTCTCCGCCCGATTTTATTTTGTCCGTTCACTAAATTATCACAAGGCGAAGAACCGCTCCTGTGTCATACCTTCATGTCGTTGTTTTTATTCTTGTTTTTATTTTACTGTGATCTCTGTTCGGCAAACTGATGACCGCAACCGGGATAAAACGATTAGAAATTCAGTGTACTGTGTAATATCGTGGAAAAACTAAATAATAAAACGGATAAAGGTCACAGCCTAAAATTTTGCTTGTTTAATTTAATTCAGTGCTAAACAGAGTCGCTGCAGCTATTACAGTTTTTCCAGCAACGGAACCCGGTCTTCGAAAATGCATCTGCTGACTATAAAATCAGTGCGTGTTTTTTTGTTAAGATGTTATTAAAGGTGTTTCCAATTATTCATCTGATTAAGTGCATTGTAATTTTTGCACGCGCCTTCCAAAACTAAAGCCACATGGTATACAGCACGCATACAACGAATCAATGCCACAAAAATGTAACCCTCGTAATATCTGGTCATATAGCAAACCACCGTAATCGTTACAGAACCATGATGTCGGAACCATTAGCGCTTTAGCCTGGCTGGCGGGTGCTCCATGGGATGTAGGGATCACTCGTAATGGACTCCGCTGGTTCGCCCGTGCACGGATCCGCTAGAAAGCACCCGATGACGTTCACTTTTTGCAGCGTGTTACATGCAGTACTATGCACGTCATGTACCGTATCCGTATGTATGATAAATATGTCAGTTATACTTACTAGCACATTATTGTTATCGGTAAAAGGCTTTACAAAGGATGCTTTCCTTACATTTCCATATAACACTGAATGGCATGGTAATATACGGATATGGGTCCGTGCTGGTGTCCGTCACCGGATCCAAATGAAAGCGGTACGGGAGAACGTCGCGGAGGGTGCGGTTATTCTTCCACGCCCAGTGGTGTGAGAAGCAGCACTGCGTCATCACGCTGTCGTCCATGTTATTTCCCGGCTTGCAGTCCCGGCAATGGGGATAACCGTCCGCTGGGCAGAGCGGCAGTGAACACTCTATCCTGGTACTCGTTAAGTTCTCGTAAGTTTGAGGCCACCTCCGGCAAATACATTAGACCCCCAACGGCCGCGTTGCTGCGGAAGTATGGCCATGGTGCTTCGATCAGGACGTATTGGGGTTGGCCGGCTGGTTGATTTTTCGGGATGCTGAAGGGAATGTAATCGCCGCGGGCTGTCCACAGTAACCACAAACCAGTGGTTCCGGAATCAGCGCGGAATTTGCCCGAGGCTTGAAGTCAGCCGGTTTTCCCTCTAGAATGGAACCAAAAGGTCTGTCTGTGAAGGATAGGAAAAGGCCGGACGTGATCACACTAATACCGTGGGCGCGCGGAAAACCGCTGGCCATAGACGTCACCTGCGTAGACACGCTGGCGGTTTCGTATATCGACCGCACTTCCGTGAACGCCATGCAGCAGCCGAACTCGCTGAAAGGAAGAAACTCGCGAAACACGCTTGGTTGCAAGCAAGATACGATTTCGTTGCTGCAGCCATCGAAATTTACGGACCTTATGGAGACGGTACTAAAAAGCTAGTGGAAACGGTTGGAAACGGAATAGCAACTTCAACTGGCCAAAAGCGGGCGAAAGAGTTTTTTAAACAGCGAATATCTATGCAAATACAACGGGGAAACGCGATTTGTGTAATGGGTACGATCCCCGATCACGATTGCATAGAGGAAGTGTTTCTTTTGTAAATGCCGTTTTGTTCTGGTGCATAGTTTGTACCCGTACCATGATACTTATTAAAGGTGAATCTTTCAAACCAGTTGCACACAACAGATGAACACTGGACATGGTTAATCAAGGAATCAATACTCTACATATGCATCGGCTAGTACTAATGCAGCGGATTACTTGTAGATTTATATGCAAGTACTGCACATGTGATAATACGTATTATAATGCTGTGCTTGGTCAGCGTTTAGGCTTCGTCAGCACGTATGTAGTATGTACTATGTGCGTACTGTACTGTATGTACTGTATCTCTATCTGGTCGCACCTTACCAGGTGCTCGATGTCGCGAATACCGGTAATCCAAAACTTTTTCGGATGATACACTAGACTTCAAGTGTTTTTGATGCTGCCGATTTTCATAGAAATGCTTATTGCAATGTGAGTTTTGCACGTTCAGGAAAATTTTTGGAGGCAAGCCTGAGCTTGCTTTCCAGTATATTTGAGCAGACAAAGAAGCAAAAGCATTACGATGGCATGGATATTATATGCTCTGTGATAAAAGGTATTCCGAATTGCCATAATCGCTTTCAAGGAAAAATACAGCGAGCATTGGTTGAGCTTGAACATGGTTGGTAATACTTATCCATGGACCATGGGACCATGACCAGAAGTACAATGGTCAATAAGTAAGTAGAATAGTTGTGCTGCGACCCTCGCAAGTGCCAAGAGTTCAGTACAGTTTTTTGTATGTTTTTTACTGTACAACCAACCGCAACAAAATAAACAATTACACCGATATTTATACGCCCAGTATTGAGCTCGACATTGAGCTTGATCTTGTATAGCATCTTTACGCAGTTGTCGCGCCAAATGTTTTCCTGACGATGCAATGTATAATTGAGCAAACGTACAACGTACAAATGATGTGATGCAGTGAACAGAAATATGTAAGCGGTAGTTAAATATAGGTGCAACACGGAATAACTCACAAGGTTTACATATGATGCTCTTCCACTGCGAAAAGCTGACATTTAAAGACTGAGTTTAGACGGGTTAATGAGCCTCCTTTTCGTATGGACGCGGCTTATACTCGTATAAATTTTAAAAGCACCGGTTCAGAACGACATCAGTAACCGCCGTCTTTTTATTATTCTTTGATATTTGGTGATGTTAGTAATTATACGAATTTTTATCACTCGCAGTAATGCCGCAGTAAATCGAGTGAAATGGTAATATAATAATTATACAGAACAGGGGAACATTTTAAGGATAATCAGACTACAGTATAACAAAGCGCTCCTGCAGTCTTGCGTTGTTAAGGTTAGCCCTACAAAAAAAACCGCATGACGGTAGACGATGATGATTCGAAAAAAGCAGAACTTTCCTTTCTGCATGTACAGCTATTCCGCTAACGAGAAATCCTCAAGTGCTTCGTGACTAGCGGCAGGCAGACTTGCGGAATGGATTTCCAGCAATATGCAGCAAAGAATTGCTGAGCCAATGCAACGTACGCAGGAGTGGGCAGTCAAGTGGGTGGTGGAAGAATGTAAATCCAAGAATTTTCACAATCCTTGTCAATATGCAGCCAATTTCTGCGAACCTCCCGGGCCTCCACTTTGCAAACTCTGCGACTTTTGAACACTCGTAGATTTGCAGCCGGTAATAAAAGCTGCTTCCAAAGTAATGTTTGGAAAATTTACATAAACAGATTTTCTTATCGCTTAAATATACTGAACTGTCCCTGCGCAATGATGACGTCGCTTTTGATTCTTGGTCTCTGCAGCTCGGTGTTAGCCAGCGTTTTCGCCATCCCGACTACAGACGGTAAGCAAAAGGTCACTTCCAAACAGCTCGTGTAGAGCGCAGCTGTTCTTTTGTCGCCTAACACAGCTAGTGTTAATTTTTGCAGATTCTAGAATGGCTCATGTCACACCGGATTTCGACTATCTTGACCCTAATAATCAGCCAACGTGCCCATACGGGAATCGAGTTCGATGTGAGGTATCTACGGGAACCCTGTGCCAGTGCTGCCGAAATCATGACGAATTTGTCAAATGCCTTGGAAATGCTCCCACATCCCAGCTAAGAAAGTAACATCGATGGTCAACATGTTCTGGAATCCACGCTTTGCCCACCAGTCTCACGGTCAATTTTCCATTGGAAAGCTTGAAAGTATGATCAACAGTTGCTCGATGATCAAAGAAAGCAAGAACCATATAAACTCTCATTTATTAATGAATAACTACTATCTACTAAGAATGTTTTAGATTCCAGTAATAACATTCAGGCATAGCTTAATTTTACAGCGCTACCCGAAAATCATTAAAATCCTTAATAAACAACGCAACCGGAAGAAAATGGAAAGCGTAACTATTGTTAGGTTGTTGTGTAACAAATTTAACATTTCGTTAATATTGCGCAATCAAAAAGGGTGCGTACGCAAACCGCAGAGCGTCCCGTACATTAGTTAAAAAGGACTGTACATTAGTTAAATCGGACTCGTTAACGGTTAACCCAAAGTGTACGCTTGATTTCTTGGTGGTGGTTGTCGGTTGATAATACGTACCTTATCTGCAAACATGCAACTGCAAAAATGTTAGGTAATGCCGGCGCGATTTGCGAACTCACTAAATGCCAAGTGTACATACATTTTCAATCAGCCGAAAAGACCACAAGGAAGAATAAGGAAGAGTAAGAAAGGTTTCAGAGGAAGCAGACATTCTCAGAAGCCCAGTTAATCTGTGTGAGAAGTGTGTTACGATGCCAGCATCTTGGACTGTACAGTACTTTGGACCAGCGTGTGGATCGGACATGTGCGGTGCCTGCGTGAATGAACCATTTACGGCGTGTGCGATTGTGCTGTGCATGCTAATGTTACTGAGAAATGATTGAATGATTACCTTATTTGTTTATTTATCTTATTTGTCTTTAGCCGATCGCATCTTGTTATTGTAGCCAATGTCCATTCGGAATATTCCTGTTGCTCTCTTATTCTATATAGACTAGGAAAGTGCACTCGCTTCTGGCGGGCACTGTATGACCGAAGCGTAGCAGTAGATTTATACATATTTTTATCTGCCTATTAGCAAAATTTGTAGAATTAATGTGACGATTTTAAAGTATGTGCGGTGTCTTTAGAGTATACACAACCATGTAACCGGTGAGGCAAATCTTATTCCGCTGTTCTCGGAATACAGCAAAGTTTTGAATCAGACATTCTTGCCGATCATATTGAACAACATTGTGCACAACTAAAGCCTACTTGGAGGGACATGTATTTACGGTCTCAGTTACGGTGGACGTCCTTCCTGGCTGGCGGATGCATAGGTTCACCGACCATAGACGTGTTTTTCGAAAACATTTATTCCAATTTCCAAATTTTTTTGAAGATTTAGGTAACGTCAGGTAACGTCAAGTCTTTGTTTTACTCTATCGCCGCTCGAGTAGATGGCGGTGACTTTTCCGGCGAAATCCAAAAATATTTTCTACATGAGCTGATTGTCAAATGAGGTATTAGGAATAGTTACACGTTAACCTACTTTCGCTTTCCATGAGAGTGCAGATAGTCTGTACTACCTACGGTCAGGTCAAGACGCAGCTTGGGGATGCCGCCAGTGCGCTAGTCACACCAAGCAGCCATGACTTTATCCGGACTTCCAGGCTTTATGTTCTAGTTCCATGTAGCGGTTACAGTATTCAAAAATTATTGGTATTGGCAACAAGTAGTGTACCGGTAGAAGGGCACCGTCATATCGATTACCAACATGGACTTCGTAAGGATATTAGCAAATTGAGGTTACCCCAACCTCTGTTTTTTAACCAAAACCGACTACAGATTCAAAATCAGCGCATTTTTCTGATCTAGAAATCATCCTTCAAAGTCAGAAAAGGTCAAAACCAAATTCTGACTGCCGGCCCCCCAGTGCCCCAGAACTACATGGGGTGGTGGCAGTTGAGTCAAAGACAAAACATTTTGTTTCTGCATTTTGAATACTTATTCTAGGTGAATCGGCAACGCTGAATCCGAATATGATGTCAGAAAAATGTTTTAACGGTCCCCGAGGGCGTCCGGTTGAAAATTTGATTTGCTTATAACTAACGCGTTAAACCAGGAAGAAGAGAAATTTTCGCCGAGCGCTCTTGGGGACCGTTGAAATGTTTTTCTGACATCATATTCGGATTCAGCGTTGCCGATTCACCTAGAATAAGTATTCAGAATGCAGAAACAAAATGTTTTGTCTTTGACTCAACTGCCACCACCCCATGTAGTTCTGGGGCACTGGGGGGCCGGCAGTCAGAATTTGGTTTTGACCTTTTCTGACTTTGAAGGATGATTTCTAGATCAGAAAAATGCGCTGATTTTGAATCTGTAGTCGGTTTTGGTTAAAAAACAGAGGTTGGGGGGTAACCTCAATTTGCTAATATCCTTACGAAGTCCATGATTACCAACAAAATACCTTACTCAGTAGCCAAAAGGAAGGTGTACTCGCAGCGAAGTATATGTGCATTTGACAGTGGAAAGGCCGCGCATATGTGCATTTGATGGCGGTGACCGACAGACACCACAGTTTGCACGCGCCTTGAGCATATACGGCCAGCGCGCATATGATCGTGAACAGGTCGCGCATATGTGCATTTGATGGCGGTGACCGACAGACACCACATTTTTCATGAACGCTGAACATAGAGGACCTTCGCTACCCTTCGGAGCTGTAAGAAAGTTACAGCTGTCACCCGGTTTGATAAACGATTATTCGTTTTCCTTAGCGTGCGTCTGCGCAATGTATGTTAGGGTTTTATCATTGGTTTTATCAAGCGGATGACTTATACAAATACAGAACCAAATTTTTCCGGTTCCACTATCCCATTTTCACTGTAGTTCGCATTTGTACGGCTACAGTAGCCCACAATGAACATCACAGCAACGAGGCGATCCGCACCGTTCAAGCGGGAGCTGTGCTTTTACAATCTGCGCTCATGCACCGGCACGCAGTTCACAACAGGAGTCAAACATCAGATTTTTACCGAACAAATGACCGTTTCGGTCAGCATTCAATTCAAGGCAGTTGCTTTTATGCAGAAAACCAGTTCCTTCTAACAGAATACGCAGTCCGTCTTCTCCACACGATCCGGTAACTGCTGCACGCGCGGTGTCGTTCAGTTGCTGCTCCAAATCCACCAGCGCTCTAACACGGACAGTAAATTAATTTTAAATGCAGACAAAGCGAACGCTGTATTTAACAACATTGTACGACACTGCCAACCTGCAAACGTCTCGCACGGCAATGCTGGCGTTGTGCGAATGCAGCACGCTAGGCAAGGCTGGAGGCAGCTTCAATGGGATAGTGTCCTTGTGGATGATGTAACAGTCAAAGAGCGCGGCAGTGTAACGCTGCAGGGCGACCGGCGCGTCGCAGAGTTTGGCAATGAAGATATTCCATGCGGCCATAAAGAAACTGAATTCAGCCTTGGGGAACGGATATTGCGGGCAGCCTTCGTTCACCGCGTTCAAGCATCGTCCATATTCTTCGTTCACACTGCAAAGATGTCTTTTTCTGTCAGCACTGCAGTGTAATAAAAAGTCACCCGTTGTAAGCAAAGTTAATAAGATACTACTGGTAGTACTTGAAAATATCTTTGTTTTTTTCTGGGCTAGTTAGCACGACAGACTTAATTTCATACCGGCATGACATGGCGGCTTCGCGAGCTGTCTGGTTAACCCGCTCATCCGTTACGGGCCATGCTTCCCGCCACTTATCCCAGGGCGAGTAACGGCTTTGCTCCCACAAAGCGTCACATCGGATCATTAGCTGGTGGCAGATTTCCATGCACGCCGACAGCGAACTGCTGCCGATGAAGATAAAGGTTTTCAATAAAAACCATGGTATTCGCATTTTTGTTACTTGTCGCGTTAAGCGTCGGGATAAGACACCTTCCCGTGTAATATGAAACAAGATGATCGTAGCTAAGACGGCCGGCTAATTGCGGTGAAGTTCCCGTTGGTATGTGTAATTATGCTGCAGCCAAATCGCGTTCTGTATCTAAACAATTCGCGATTGTAAACGTTGATAATGCTATGTGATTGAATCTTGCTGTAAGTTTGCAACTATATAATGTACCGACCGTCGATAAAACATTTGTGATGGGGGAATTAATACAAGCACACCACTAGTTAGTTTGTATAATACGCAAACGGGCTTCAGAAATAGTAAAATACCGTACAGCCTAAGTTGTCCCGCAAAGCGCGCTCCGGTTAAGCATATGTACAATACATACGAGGAGGGGATAAATGAGCTCGATGTACCCGAGCAAGTGGTAACAGAGCTCGTTATCCGTAACCGTGCCTGTTCAATAGGGCCAGCCACCAAGAGACGGCAGCTTGTTCTATAACGCAGAATAACTGAAACAGCCGTTGAGACCGATAGCTGCTTTTTTCTCCATAGACTCCTATGCTAAACAAAATCACTTGTGTCTTACACAGTGCGAAAGAAAACCACTCAACCTACATTCCAGAAGCATAAGAAAAAAATTGCAAGATTTTTGATACCAAGAAAGCTATTATTAAGGATGATAGAGAAAAGTTATCGCCATTTATGTTTCTCGTAAAAAAGCTGATAGAGTTGTGCGTGTACCCGACCGTGGATCGAGATCTCATACTAAGTCTATGAGCAACATAAATGGCGATAACTTTTCTCTATCATCCTTAATAATAGCTTTCTTGGTATAAAAAATCTTGCAATTTTTTTCTTATGCTTCTGGAATGCAGGTTGAGTGGTTTTCTTTCGAACTGTGTAAGACACAAGTGATTTTGTTTAGCATAGGAGTCTATGGAGAAAAAAGCAGCTATCGGTCTCAACGGCTGTTTCAGTTATTCTGCGTTATAGAACAAGCTGCCGTCTCTTGGTGGCTGGCCCTATTGAACAGGCACGGTTACGGATAACGAGCTCTGTTACCACTTGCTCGGGTACATCGAGCTCATTTATCCCCTCCTCGTACAGATACATACGGTACCCGATTACTCTGTACATGGTGGACTAGTGTTACAGAAAGAGGACATGTTTTTGGCGCTCAGAGTTGGGATTTTACTCGTACGGTGTCGTGCTCGATGTTGTTTTTACTAGCAGCTTTGTTGGGATTTTGTTATTTAAATTATTGCACATTGAAGAACCAGTCCTGTACCATAACTCGTCAAACGTTACTTTCATTGTACTGTGTATGTACGTACTTGTACAGTGTACGTACTTTGGTCTCTGGTTGGGCGGCATCCATAAATTACGTCACGCAAGTTGGGGGAGGGGGGAGGTTCTGAAAGCGTTACTGTTGTTACAAAGGGGGAGGGGGGTATTAAAAACTTTACTACGATTCTGACGTCACCATGCTATATCTATGGAGGGGTTCTAAATTTGTTACGTAGCGCTCAGGGGAGGGGATCTGAGTTTGTTAGCACTGGTGACATAGGGGGAGGGGGGTATCAAAATGTCGAATTTTTGCGTTACGTAATTTATGGATGCCGCCTTGCTGGGTATCTTGATTAATATACTCGAGTAAGTTAATCAAGTTTACTCGAGTAAGTTTCTTAATCTTAGTTTTCTAGAAATCACAACAAAACACTACGATCAAAAACCTACTGTAGATGCAGAAGGATTTTTTGAATTAGGTTAAGCAGTAACATGCATTATGCGTTAAGTGTCGTGCTGGCGGGTGTGGATATTGGAGTCAGTAAAACACGATTATGGATACTGGAGTCAGTAAAACGAAAATTGGTTAAGTGCTTCGACATACCTGCGTTTAATTCACTTTCCCAATTGTAAGTACTTCTCGAAATATTTCTAGCTTCGCTTCGGTCTTTTAGTGCTAGCGAGCAGCGGTGCACTTCCCTAGTTATGCTTATGTCCATTTCTGTGTAAAGCTTGGATAAGATCCATCCATAATGAGACTTTTGGTACACCTGAGCCCTGACTGCGTTTAATCTTTCCGGAAGAGTTAAACTTCCTTTACTCACGCGAGGCCTGCTTTGCGCGACAGAGAGAGCGTACACCTAGTAATCTATTGCAAACAAGAATTACTGATTCAGGTAAGACGCCTTCCAAAAAAACGTATCTTTCCAGGTAAAAAAAATCTGCAGTAAAATGAAGAATGCGCTTCCCACGGCATCCATGTGCCATAGGAAGCGCAATATTCGTTTTACCGCCACGGCATCGCACAGCCTGCCGCAAACTTCACGGTTTTAAGGAACCGACATCGAGATCACAAAAATTGGTTCCCGTCGGTGTCTAACCGAATAATAGTACAGCGTGGTGAATAATAAATCGGAGAGTTCATTGATCTGGACGTGGTCGTACGATAGTTGCTGTTGCACAATGAACACTATCATAAACAGGAATACTAGAAATAGCTGCAGTTAGCATGCACTTGCTGTTTGATAAGTTATGGATTATGATATACAGTAATAGTGCGCGCAGCACGCAGAACACAGGTAAGCAGTTGGGCTAGTCCGTGCTGACCATGTAGGCCCAAAGCAGTTTTTCAAGCCTGATGTACCGCAGAATTTGAAACATGCTGTGTTGCGAAATTTCGGCAGTGCAGCATGCGTGATACACTGCGACGACATCCACTCACTTAAAGGTGCCCTTTAAAAGCTTAAAGGATGAAACGAAGGACATGAAATAACCGGCAGCAATGAGCTACGGAACTGGCTGAAAAGTTGAAAATTCCCATTAGCCAGCAGTAGGTAGCTGGGAGAGGATGAATTCCCTCATGGTCAGGATGAATTGCATACGGGGATTAGGTAACACAATCCCAGTTTGCATGGCATGTTACCGTACTGCTCGTACAATTTGTACGAGCAGTACGGTAAACACGCCATACGATAGACCTCGCTTTCAAATTTTCAAAGGCTGTGCTTCCTTATATTGGCCTTAGCTAAGCGCTTTGGCAAATGTTTTACAATGCTTCCATACTCGTATTGCATTCTGGATACGCAAACATAGCTGCGTCCTGGCGCTTATTCTCAAGCGGGGTGCACTGCACAAGACCTGACCGATGCTGTTTTCTGTGTTACTGTGTGCCTGGTTAATTGAACGGAACAGGAACAAACATCGGATAACGCTCTCGATTGCGCAACCTTGTAATACACCCGAGGGCGGCAAGCGTGTCAGAACTTCGATGCTGACTAAAAACTAGAAATAAATGCAAGGACCATAGATCTACTTCGAATTTTGAACTGATGCGAGTACTCGTACACTACTTTGTATTTCAGAAAGGGCACTGCAACTTTATGCTCAACTTAGCTGCTGAATAACTGGTTAAATCAATAACTAAAAAGGTGTAAAGAATACTAAACGGCCATGGTGGCTGACGTGGTCCATTTCACCAACCTGTTCACTAAAGGTCACCGAATATTGAAATCCTTGGCATTCGGTAAAAGCGTTACTGCAGCGGCTCGACCAAGTCGTGCCACAGAGTTTGTGTACGAGTAGGGAAAATTCAGCGAATGCCATTGTCCGCCTACACAATTACTACGCACACTTTGGGCAATGTTTTTCGTACGTAAGCTCTGTGGTACAACTGGGTGGAGCCGCTACAGTATGTGCCGTTCCAGGCTTGCGCATGAAGCCTATAAGCAGATTGCGTCAGTACCACTTTGTCATGTTTTAATGGATAAACAGGGTGGACATTTTATCCAACCAGGGACAAATCAGCTGAACAAAAGCATGAGGAAAAAGCATCCACAGTTTTAGCAGAAGACCTGCAGCGGTCAGTGATCGAACTAACAATTCTGATGGAACGAAACAGTCGATAATCCAGATAAGGCTAATGTATTGCAGATACTCTTACACTTTGTTAATGAAATATAGCAGCATGCTATTTATGTTGCATGCGATTCATATCACAATGACATCACCGTTCTCAATAGTAAAAATTTTGGAAGCCACGGGTAATGCCGACCTGGATGCTACCTCCACTAGCCCCATCCCGTACCGGGGCATACCTTGGTGGGATTCTGCGGATGCGGACTAAAAGCCCAGTGGATACCGGTCCACCAGCACTCCGAGGTGTACCACGCCCAGCTGCAGCACTTGGGCGGGTCGGGTATGGGTGGCGGGCGATTAGGGCGGCGTCTCCACCTCGCAGCGTATTGGTCATTGGTGGGCAGAAATTCTTGGCGTTCCTCAAAATTAACCATGCTAGCCATCGCTTGTACAAGGAACTGCAAGAGCGTAAAACCATGTAATTTTACTGCATTTTAATTTTATTTGGTAAATTTATCCCGCAATGATGTTATACACACCAAACACATCAGACAGCCGGCAATGGTCATTGTCCGCCGTAGAGACATCATCTTTCAATTGCGGTTGCTGTCGTTCTGAAAAAAAATTACTTCCGTTCCCGTAAGACCAAAATGTAAGAGGCGTGAATTTTTTTTGCAACACTGTGCCGATAATCGTATTAGTTCTGTAAGCCGCCGAGTTTGAACTACTTTACACAAACCTACACGTCAATAATGTTTTTATGCTGGAACAAGCATACTGGATGCCAATATGTCTATAGTAAATTTTGATGTAAGGTTTCGCTGATAATCTGTGGTTGGGAATCGTGAAATTAGCCGTCAATTGCGCTGTGCTCCAAGAAAGCTGCTTCCCCCTATGATATCACTTAGGTTACTGAACTCTAACGTGTAATCCGTGTACATAAGTAATTACATAAATAACGCACTAAATCAAAGAATTCGAAACCCGTGCAACAAACTGCATATTACGCGGCTGTCGTTTTGGAGCTTGATATCGCCTTTCATATAAAAAATAAATGAATTAAAAATGCTAATGTCATTTTACTCGCAGTACTCATGCTCTGCACTCATATTCCTGTTCCAGATATACTGTCCAATATTTGTGACTGTTCTGGTGCGGACTTACTTAGTTAATGGCGAATTGAGATTCCGATATATCGCAGTTTTCCGTGTCGTTTTACGAAAAATTCTATGGATTCGGTACAGGATGACAGGATTTTAGTACGTAGATAAATGCAGTTACCAATAATTAGAAATTATGACAAAACTGCTAGTAAATTTGTAGTATGTTCTACGAGCTAGAAACCGTCTGCCTGCTGCCGTGTGCCAACCACATTAAAATAACAGAAATTCAAATTAATGTACGAAACAGTTATAATAATGACTTTATTATTGCTAGGCAGAACGTCACGCATAATAAAACGGTTTCGTTAACGATCGTAAATACTATGTACAGTGCTTGTAAATCTAGAATTCTAGAAAGCCGCGTTCAGATTATCAGTACGTAATTAACGTAAGTACTTTAGTACTGCAAAACGCAGAAAGTATGTACGTATTTGAAGTAAGTACGTATTTATGACGTTACTTGTCTTCTAACGGATGTGCACAATAGATTTGTATTGTGCTTGTACTAATATTATCGTCAAAATTAAGAAGCGTACATTTTATGTCCATTTTCCATATTTGTACGTCACGCTCTTACCATAATAATCTCATGCTAAGAAGTTTGTGTTTGTTAGAAAATTACAGTTACGTTCTTGCCATAATAATTTACATGGTGTTGATGGCAATTAAGAACTAAGAGGTTGGTGTTTGTTAGGGAATTACAGTTACTCAAGTAGGCAATAACTGTTCACGCATGGCATCAGTTCTGAACATATTCACGCATGGCAGCAGTTCTATATAACAGATTCTATCAACGTTTCCTGATTCGTTTCCTAGGTTCAGGAGGTCCGTGAATTTGGTCATGGATTCGTACGCCAGCATACTTCCCTTAAAGTCAAAGTTTTACCAATCTCAAACGCATCTGAACATACAGTACATATACTGGAATGCATAGTTCACCGTTCGTGCGTGCTTGGTGAAGGAGAGCATCTTCGAGGTGTATCCGGCTTGCTGGAAAATTTAAGTGAAGATGATGGCATATGTGGGATGGCTGCGGCGCTGCGCATCATCTTGTGCTGTATTGTACTTGTATACACCATACCGCTCGAAAATTCTGCGAGACAGTGGGGCGGAGCTATATGCCACAAAATATGCATTCTGATAGGCTTCTCATTACTTGGGACCTGGGAGCATATTTTCTATTCAGTAGATCAGAATAAAGAAATGCAAAATTCCCCGGTACAATTCCCGATAAAGTCTGCACTGAATGTACAGAATGATAAGAACATAGCATAAAACCTTCAGTAGGTACGTACCTGTCTGTATCTCACACGGTGCACTGCATGTTCACCGGAAGTACAGTACATATTATGTATATGGAACTGCAAGTAATGCTCAGTGTATACGTCTTTTGAAACAGGCAGTATTATAACGTTCCACTCACCATCACCACTATCGGTAACGTAAGTAGTGCCGCATGCCTGTGTAATATATAAAATGCGCAAAGTTCAAACGCGGATTTACTTACAACGTTTTTTACCCTCGACATACAGACATCGAACGCAAAACCGCGCCCGTTTACACGTCTTGCATGTAGGTATGTACGGGCTAAACTCGACCGCATGCGCACAACTGTCAGGACATACAGACTGACATCATGCGTGCAGAAACATTATGCGTGCAGTATTATGCTTCTAAATTGTATCACCACATTTGAATTTCTAAAAATATAACCTGTTGAAAAGTATCAAAACAAGATGCACTTGAGTATCGCTGCGCAATATTCTTTTCAGTTAAAAATAAATAAAAAGACTGCGGTTAACAATACTTCTGGGTAGCCAGACCAAAGCGGGAACCCGCCACATGGTTAAATGGTTAAGCAAGTACGTATACAATCTTCTTTCGTAAAATACAAACGAAAAATCAGAATTAAATTTATGCGACCAACAAATTATTCAGCGCATACTTTGCTAAATTAACATGGTATCAAAAAATAATTTCTGACTTACGATGGAAGGCTGTCCAGCAGTATTAGTCGAAGTCGGGTATTAAATTAGATTAAGAAATCAAGTACAGAACGGGGTGTATTGTAAACAGCACCAGCAGCTGGGTAGCCAGCGCGCAGGGTTCCCTGCGATACGACGGCAGTTCTACATGACAAGTATACCACAAATTGTTAGAGACAGCCACTAGAATTTGTGGACCTTTTGGCAAGTCGAAATCAATTTGTAATATGCTAGTCAGCTGTAATGGAATCAAAAATAAATTGAGCAGTTATCAGACAACAAGTAATCAGTAAACAGGGGCACCTGGGCCAACACTGATCATGCGCAGTCCAATCTGGATTCCCAAAATGCAGGCATCCCTCCACTATAGATGCATAAGTAATGCCACAAAAATTATCAGTTTTACAATTCTAATTTCGAAAACAAACAAGAAGGCAAGAACCAAAAACAAAAAAAGATATAGAGCCCTATCATTTTATCGTTTAACCGTCTCCGTAAGCTCAAAGTATAGAGAAACGATCACGTGGTTTGGAATTTTGCTATTGGCGGTGGGCAGCCTCGATCTAACTCAAAATGCAGACCCGCCAATCAAGATCACAGAAACACGAAGTTTGTAAGTCGCTGGGCGTCGCTTAGACCCGTTACAAGGTACGCCCATGTTGGTAACGGTTTTCGTCGACGCCCACCGACAGACACCGAGCGAAAAGCGACTTACAACGAAGCCCAGCCAACTGAGACTTGGTACGCCTATTTCTCGCATCGATGTAAGTCGCAGATTCTCGATGTAAGTCCGCGTTTTAACTCTGCGCATCCTTTCTAATGTGTACGATGTTATTATCTGGAGACGCCGTTCACAGGTGACACAGTGCTTTATGGTAAACATTATTCACTTTAGAAGCCATGTGTGAAGCAGATGCAAAATGCTGCACAGCCAATAATCCGCTGCATAACACCACCCGGAAGATCTGTGTTGCATTGAATGAAGTCCGCTCGGATATTTGAGCTGACGAATGATTTGTACAACGGAAAACCGGAAACAAACTGATGGATGGGAATTGATGTTTCTTTTATACCTTTTTTTCTGCATTATTCATCCTACTCGATTTCAGTATTTTTATTCGGTTTAACTGATTTGGTGTTTTTGGTAAATAAATTTCCTATTATTTATATTGCTATCGGGCTTAGTTATATTTCTATTGTTTCAATGATCTGGGTAATTTTAATATTTTTATCGAGTTTTTTGAAAATTATTTTACAATCTACTTTTAAATAATTGTTTTCTCACGATTTATTTTTAATTTATTAGACGTGGAAATTTTAATCAATAACTAAATTAATAAATAAAGACAGTCAACAAATTCGCAGAGATTTTGACAACACCGCGGAAAAGGCAAACACGGAAATGGCACGGTTTTATTTGCGCACAATCGTCATGCAGCGACACTGACCGAGAAACAGCAACAAATCGCGAGCAAAAGAAATGATCAAAGCTTAAAAAAGAAACAACAGCAAGCACACTTCAGGCGACGATCATGCTGCAGCGGCGTTTAAAAAATCAAAAACAATTCCAGCACCACGTTAATTAATAGTTGAGGACGCCGAAGATGCGGCGAAAAGCGAGCGAGATGCCGACGGATGTCGTTGAAAATGTGTTCACTTGAAGCTGAGCAGTTCCACGTCGAAGACGAGGACGGAGTTGGGCGGGATGAGGCCCGGGTAGCCCTTGGCGCCGTACGCGTAGTCCGGTGAGCAGGTCAGCTTGGCGCGCTGCCCGACGCTCATCTGCGCCACTCCCTCATCCCAACCTACACCAACAACATCCGGCTAAATAAATGCGTCATTCACTGGAATATATTCCAGTGAATATATTTTCAACAAATATATTTTCAACAAATATATTGTCAAAAAATATATTTTCAACAAATATAATTCAATAAATATATTTTGTACGTATAGATTTGCAGTATGTAAAAATAGAATAATTTCTCTCGCCAACCGGTACAAATTTTTCAATTGAACGTATTTTTGTGAGCGATGCTCGTCTCTCTAAATACTGCAAATAAAGCCCCACCACTACGAATAATGCAATAACGTAAAACAAATGTTGTACGTCTTTAGTATTTTCCACTCGTATATATGCGATTCCGGATAACGTTTTTTAACAATATTCTGGTCTATTCTACAAACGGTGTGAATAGAAAAATGCTAAAATATTTCAAAGAAAACGCACGAATTTACAGACCACCGTAAGAAGATTCCAAGAACATTATAACTAACTGACAAAAAAAATCAAAAAACAAATAAATAACAGAAATCCTGGCACCAGAAACCTCAGCGCGTATTCAAATAAAATGCCTGGCTAATTAGAAAATCTCAACGAATAAATGGATTAAAACTCATATCACGACTAACTGTTGAGCAAACCCAAGGCAATAAACCAAGCACACATTCTACACCGTTGTTTTAAATTAGAAGATTTATTTCCACATGCAGTAAAACTGGGGTATAACATACAAAGGGGAAACATGTACAAACGTTACCGAAGTACTCTACATTTTTATAAATAATTTCCGAGCTAATAATTTCAACAAATATTAAACCGGCAGCAAATATTAGGCAAGTACAATTTTCCTTATGATATCCTTCATAATCCTCGCCATTTAACAACGGTATTTCCTTTAAGCAATGCAGTTCCAGCTTTTCCTGGTTATTTACACCAAATCCATGTCAGAATTGTTCAGCGTACCTTTGATGACTTCGCCTTGGCCCAGACGGAAGGTGAACGGCTGGCCGCGATCGCGCGACGAATCAAACTTCTTCCCGTCCGTCAACGTGCCTGCAAAGAAACAAGGATTTAATGTCATATTTAAAGAATTCCGGTCAAACGAATTAAACGTGAGCGCACATCGCGAATTTTTCTGACAAATCCTTTCCAGTTAGGATGTACGTAAACAGAAACACTCACGATTCTATGAATGTTGAAGTAGGACGGGAACGTCATTTTAGGCTGGTCGAGTACGATTCTAATCAGGAAATTCTTCGAGCATTAATAACGCAGCTATGTATACATGTACACCATTTGAATACACTGTGACAAGTATACGTACTAAAAAGACGCGGCCAAGTACTTACATTCCTTACAATTTAGCAGTAAAACTGTAAAATTTTAAAAACACAATGGGGAACCACGAGTCAGTAACCCAAAGTTAGCGAAGGATTGAATTCCTGGACTATTAAAATTAATCACAATATTAATTCACAATAACAAATCATAAATCACAATAAATTTGAACGAAGTTTCCCTTAAAAATTCAATTAAAATAATTAAATAATACAAATTCCGTTTTTAAAGGAAAATTTATGTTAGAGGAAACCAGTTCAATTCACTAAAGAGTCAAAAGTAAATTAAATGAAATCTTAATTTTCAGGCTCAAAAAGAAATCCAAATTTTAATTCAAATAAACGTAAATAATTAAAATTACTCATCATAACTCATGGCAAAAATTTTGCCACAATTTTGCCGCAAAATCGTAAATCGCGGAAAATTCAAAGGCAACAATGCCGCAACATTAACACGCGCTACAAAACTCCTACGTTTGCGATATACATATCTCAGGGAAATTTAAATTTCAACGAAATAAAAAAAGCAAATTCGGAAGCGAAAAAATTTTGCAAGTGTCATCTGGAAAATTCAATATTAACGAGCGCAGGGTTCAACGAACCCATTCAAAACTCAGAACTGGCAACTTTTCTTCCAAATTTCCAAATAGGGTCTTCCGACTCTTACCTGTGTAATGCACGCTGACAGTTTGTCCCTTTTGAGGGAAATTAGTGCCTGAAAATAAAGCAATTAGAATAATTAGATTCCATGAAAGAAAAACGCACTGCAGCAGCGTCACAGGATGACGTGGAGATTTCCACATAAAAATCAGGTTTCACATCACAGCATGTTATAACATGCATCAATTTGGAAGACCCACCATCGCCGGGCTTGATCGTTTCCACCTGCACACCCATGAAGACGCCGGGCAGATTACACACGATAAACAACAGACAAAATGTCCAGGGCCAACTGAAGAACCGTGAAGTAACGGCCGATGAAAACTGATGCATTCTGGAAAAGAATTTATTCGTCGCTTGATTCACTCTCGCTCTCGCTGTGGAGTTTATTAGTGCAGTGATGAGCCACAATTTACTTAATTTGGCCAAGGTGTCGGAGTCATCCACCAGGTCAAGGACGACGTAATGGAATTCCAAAACACCGTAGCGGAAATTCCATTGCAGTACTTGGCGGAATTCCATTCCAATGCAGAGTATGACGCCGACAACCGGAAATCCAGCCCCATTTCGAGTTGGAAGCACGGATGGTGACGCGATTCCGACTTCGCCGTGACTTCTTGGTTCTCGCTGGCTCACTCCGGCTGGATGCGCGTGTCTGCAGAATAAATTTCCGATCTTTGTGGAAAATCCTTGCCGTGCGGCTTGTCTGTGTTTGTCCTCCCCATGCTCAGTAATTTCGCAAAAAATTCCACGCTTATCACGCGCACATTTCGCTCCAGTGTGATTAGAATGGGAGTTACGGTGGAGACAATCAAACCTGGCGATGGTAAGTCGAAGAAACTTTGCGACTTGACTGTGCGAAATTAGTTATTAGTGCTTGTTAGAACAGGCCGCGATTTTGTGAACTGCCTGTTAATTCGGCCTAAAATAATGCGACCCGGATTTTTTACTTTTTTGGATGCGGGAAATGTGTGTCTACCTTTCTAAAATTTTTATTTTCACAGAGGCCACTTTCCCGAAGAAGGGACAGACCGTGAGCGTTCATTACACAGGTGAGGAATTTCGCATCCCGTAAAACATGGCGCATCTGGTAGAATGTCTGTGATCCGTACGGTATTGCACACCATAATACGGGAGGCCGTCCGCAGTCGCCGTATTATTTTTCCATATTTTTCCATGTTTATCACTTTTATGTATTTGCTTTCTCGCCTTTCTGCTTCGCTGGAATAATTGGCCTTCCCGGTGTATCGATCGATAAAATAGCGGTGTTATGATTTTCTCTTAATCTGTAGGCACACTGCAGGACGGGACGAAATTTGATTCCTCGCGCGATCGTGGGAAGCCGTTCTCCTTCAAGCTGGGAGCCGGGGAAGTCATCAAAGGTTCGTGCTGCTAATAATTACTTAATCAGCCCGGATGAATAGCGCGGCCTTTCCGCCTGATTACTCTGTTTTATTCAACTGTATAATTATTCCAATTTTCTCCGAAGCCGTAGATCTGCCTCGCGGTATGCCATCATTCCGGCATTATTTTCTAGAATTTTCTGCACAGTAGTTAATCTTTTCTGATTTAAAATTGATTAAGTCATTACACAGGAGCTGCTGAAATATTTAGTTTTTTTTGTTATTTTTCCGAGACTGTTTTCCGTGTCCGACACCGACTGGTACGGTTCACAACGAAGTCATTGTTAAAGGGTTTATGAAAAGTTGATACATGGAGGCATAAATACGAAAAATAATAAATTTGTAAAATTTATTTGTAAAATAGTAATTTGTAAAATAGTAAGTTGCAGCAATATTAAAAAAAATTAATAGTACGAAAAATTATTGCTGCAATACTCCGTTTGCCAGCGTTTATTAACTGTGGCATTAAATAATATAATTATGCATAAGTGTTTTCAAAAATTATCGGATTTTTTGCAAAAACTACTGAAACGGTATTCGTACAGACGGCATACAGTGTATACTATCCGGGAAGTTTGGGAGAGAATGCTGCATCTAGCTGTGTTGTTTTACCATTTCTGACTGAAATTATTAACAGTAAGTAATTTTCGTAATTGTAAAGCGTAGGAATATCATCGGCACATCAGGAATTTTGCGAGCTGTTTAGCCACATATGGAGATTAAAATAAAAAAGGAAAATCATAGAGTAGCCGAAACTGAGTAATAAAATAAACAGACTAAAATGCAATTTAATAAAGTAAAAATAGATAAATGTATTTTGTAAATTGATTGACAATATGAGTATAAATTAAAAATGAAATTAAATGAAAAATATTGAATGGCCGAAAACTTAAAAAAGACGAATGAAATTAAAAAAAAAACGAAATAAAAATTTCGGTAGGAATCGCTGGTCTTTTCATAGCTTGTACAGTGTTGCTAAAAATGGAATACCCGAAACTGAGTGTCAAATAAACTAAAATAAACATTATTAAAGTAGAAATAGATAGATAGATACATGTAAATCTAATTGATTGATTAACAAGATGGAGTATAAATTTAAAAAAAGAAATTAATATGAAAATTATAGAATGATCGAAGCTTAAAAAAGATGAACGAAATTTAAATAAAATGGAATAAAAATTTTGATGGCTTTTCACAACGTGTACAGTGTTGCTGTGTGTGTCCGGTAGGTTGGGATGAAGGTGTGGCGCAGATGAGCATCGGGCAGCGCGCCAAGCTGACCTGCTCGCCAGACTACGCGTACGGGAAGAAGGGCCATCCGGGCGTCATTCCACCCAACTCCACCCTCATCTTCGACGTGGAACTGCTCAGCATGAAGTGAAAACCCTGCCGACAGGCCCCGTTCTCTCTCAGCGACAAGACAAACACCCTCAACTCTAACTTATCCGCTGCAAAATGGCTGTACCAATACACTGCTTTATAAACACGGGCTAATTCCGCTTTTTTTGACCATTTTACCCTGTTAGCTGGTTGCTTTCGGCACCTGCAGTATGTGTGCGTGACACCGGAGAGGCGAAACAAACAGATTAAAATTGTGCGGGATGGTGTTTGTATTGCGGCGATCGATGGTGTTGATTTATGCGACAGTTGCGGCACACACGCCAGGTAATTGTAGCCTGTTCAGAGGTCTAATGACGAGGGAGAGTGCGCGTTTGGCGAACGTGCTGGGGTGAAAAGGTTTAGACAATGCGCGAGTGCGGTCGGTGCAGTGTTTAGGAGAACACTTGGCGGGATTTTCACGGGTTTAGGCAAATGTGCAATTACGGTGCACGGGCAACTTGATGGCTGGAAGATGTTGCGCGGGTGACACTTGTCGTTGCAGTACGATGCTTAGCGATGCAGAATTTCGATTCTGTAGTAACGTTCTCAAACACCAATGCATTTTATTCAAAATCTACGGAATATCGACGTTTCGTCATGTGATTATTATTCTCCTGCCAACTGCATTAAAAACTTTTGAAATTTGTCGAACGCAAGCAGTTCCACTGGATATTTACTTATTTATTCTGGATGAAAATTTCTTTTCTTGATTGTACGAGAATTAATTTTTTGATTGTTAGTTAACCCTCAACAAATGCACAAAGTGTTGGTCCGCTTTTTGGTGCTCCTCGGTCTGCAGATATTTTCTACTTCATGTGCTACGACACGTTTCGTGGCGAAGACGCTGGTAACGCGCTCCACCGCCGTCCAGTTAGCCAGCAGTTCTTCCCGACCCGCGATAATAAACCTGACACGTTCAACCGCCGCTGTAACTACCGATGCCACCCGACCCACCACGATGAACCTGACCCGTGCTGTCAACGCGACGACCACCCCTACCCCGGACCCCGTCACCACGACGGTGTACTCCACGACCTACCCCACGACGTACCCCACCGATCCACCGCGGATCAATCCTAAGGATAAGACGATCCGGTTGTGCGTCATGGTGGAGAAGGATCCATCGTTGTACTATGATTATTCGCGCGCCGCAGCGGCCATCGATATGGGCATCGAGTGGGCCAATCAGAAGATGCTGACCGACGGACGCCAGATTGTCAAGCTGTTCATTGATGTCGGCGGGTCGTGTGTCTTCAAGAATGATGCCGTAATTTTTCAGGTACCTAGAAAAAGAAATGCCGTACATATACTCTGCACTCCAAAATACTCCTCGTACGAATAAAAAAGCCTTCTACGGTGCGTGTGAGTAAACGTACTTACTTGTACAGTGCTGTACATCCAGTCTGTACATAAATATAAACTGCAGTAACAGTTTTCCTGAGTAGCGCTTATTTCAGTTTTGGAGGCTGCTTGCGATCGTTTATACAAGTCGTTTGTCCATGCAGTAAAGTATTAAGTACTATTTTTAAAAGGTAATTTTTAATGTACATTCCGTCGTCCTCGCAACGCAAGCGATATCTACAAAGTAATTAACCGGACATGTGACTTTACAACGTATCCAGCACGGAGTGTCGGTAATTAGCGAAGAAACTGTATCGGTTACCCCGTTACTTGCATAAACTGATCCTACGTCATACGTGGTTTACTGTTTATGATACCGATATACGCATTTGCATTTGACTTATTAATGCTTTTACTGCTTGGGACGTGCACTACGTACTTGCACAGCAAAACGCCTTTTTTTGCCGGTGTTGTTTTTACTTACCGCAAATCAGTAGACGACGTCTGGCGATAGGCATTGCGGTTGCGCGACCAAGGCATCGTGTGCCACGCCTTCCTCGGTCCCGGGTGCGGGTACAACGCCGACGCCCTGTACAACCTGATAGAATACACCCAGACCCCGATCCTCGGATGTCCGGCCGCCGGTTCCACCCTGCTGGCCGACCGTTCCGATTATCCACTGCTGACCCGCGTCAGCTTCTCCCATCGGGACGCGGTGAACTTTATGCTACGTTTCTGCGCCGCTAACGACTACACGCACGTGGTGGTGATTGTCGACGTGACCACGACGTTCTACCAGCAGCTGGGCACGGTGTTCCAGAGTGAACTGAAACGGCGCCGGGAATTGACGGGATTCTCCATGCGGTTTATTAAGAATGATAAAGCCAACCGGACGGATTTCGAGAAGATTCTGAGGGATGTCAATACAACCGCCCGAAGTTGGTATTGTTGATTGATACGTGCCTGTCAAAATAATGTTTGTATTGATTATTTCAATGTGTATTAAATCAGCGTTTATTCGTATTAAATTACTGCATAAGTGCTTATACGAGTGCTGTTTGTATATACAAAGTATATTAACTGCTCGTACATAATAAGTGCTGTTTGTATTTGCAGTTTATATTGTTTGCGCCAATGCGTCGGTATTCCGCTTAATAACGGTACATTTTATTAATTTGCACGGTACAGTCGTCCAATACTATATTACGGAATCTGTGTATTTTTGTGTTGTAGGTTGCTGCTAATAATTTGGCTATGACCGATGGAAATTATGTATAATTGCGAAACATTTCCGAAAAGAACAGTTACTACATGTTAATTGAATTTTTTATGCGGATTTATGTTAATTTTTTTATAGGTTTATGTGGGGATTGAGTTGTTTACCAGTAATCGCTGGGGTGTGTTTACGTGGCGGATGGACGACGGTCTTGACAGGGTGAATAATTACTGATCATACGTATACTAAATAATTTTAATATAGCCAAGTAAATTACTATACGAATCATTTTTCATGCTTTCGAAGTAGCGGTAGTTTTTTGTAACGTGAAATTAATAGGCGGCCAAACGTTCCTTCGACTCAGTGCTGTTTGTCTCGCTGAACCTGCCCCGCACCAGCTACTATGATACGTGGTCGGCGGAAGTGAAGCAGCGCGCCCGTATCGATTATAACTACACCTTCGCAGCTTTTGAAGAAGTAAACGTCATTAACCTAACTTTAAACTCGTTCGGGGCACAATCAACGGGAAATGCCTTAACTGCAGGTGGACCCGGTAGTGGTGACCTTTTTCGACGCTGTCCTGGTATACGCCACGGCCGTCGAGCGCATCCTGACCAATCCCGACGGGAACAACAACATCCTGGACGGCCAGCTGGTCTCCGCGTATCTGCGCAATATGAGCATGGAGAGCCCGGTCTCCGGGACGGTGTATATTGATAACAGCGGCGATCGGGTCAATGATTTCCTCTTGAAGACCATCGACACTACCGGTCGCATCGTGGTACGCAGTTGCGGCGTTTAGTGATCGCGGCTGGTTAGTGACCGTGCTTGGCGGATGTTGTACAGGTGGTGTACACGTTCCGCACGCTTACCGGCACGCTGACGCAGATCGGCTCGGCCATGTGGCCCACGCCGGACGGGAATCTGCCTCCGGATTCGCCGCCGTGTGGATTCACGGGGGATGCTGTCGCTTGTCAACCTCCGGGTAAGGCGAAAGACACCAGTCAGCACGGAATTAACGCTATACACTCTAGGATAGTAGATAGTGTTCCCTTTCCGCTAGTACTATCTCTTAAAGCGCAGCTAATAATTCTGTGTTGCATACGAAACTCACGCATGGGCCAGTGCGACACATGTGATGAAAAACCGTTTTCTGTGTGTTGAATCAAAGAATCGGTTTTATTGCATGATGAAAATGGGCGCCGGTTTTGCCTTGTTTTATGTAGCTGATCTTTTGGCTTGACGGTATAGGCGAAAACGCAGCACTGTTCTAAGTTGTAGTAACGACCAATGAAACAGTGTATGCAACTTGCAAAATGCGTTCGCTTAAACAACCGTTTTGATCCTTAGCTTTACATTGAGGTTACTTACACGGTACAATTCCCGATCAGGATAGCATTGAGGAAGTGTTTCTGTCATAAATGTTTTCTAGTACGAAGTTTGTACTTACACGGTTACACCCACAATCGGCCTCATAGTGTCGGCTCGCTTGTGAGAGGATTCTGAGAAGTGTGAGCACTTTGTCCCGCACTAATTGTTTAAAATGCTGTTGCTTTAACTGTAGCGCGTATGTCCACGGCGACGTTGGCCGTCGCCGTGGTGATTCCCTTGGTGGCCGCGGGAATTACCTGCGTGGTAATCGGTTGCTGTATTTCGCGGTACGTATTCTTGTGCAGTAGCCATGTTGGTGATCGTTACGCAGACCAAATTTTATGGGTCTGTACGTGTAATAGCTGGCTGCGGAACCAAGCACTGGATCCCAATTGGTGGCGCGTGCCGCATGCGGAACTGGAGATCACTGGCGGGAATATGAACAAGAGCAGTCAAGGCAGCCGCTTAGGCAATCGCAAAACAGTGGTATATCTCGGCGATTTTGAAGCGTGGTTAGGACTAATGCGCTTCATAATCGGTATTCGCAGGCGGATGACACCGGTTCGCAAGTAACACGTCAGACGGACGGCACGGCGAACTCCACCGGGATCAGCGGGATGGTGGGTCGCACGGCCACCCTAAAGGGCAACCTCATCAGCGTAACCGATGTCACCGATAAAAAGCGCAAACCGAACAGCATCCTCATCCGCGAGATGAACGCGGTAAGACGTTTACTTTATCTAAAATCTTGGACCATTTATTTCTTTATGGGTTTATTAACTTTATTTAATTACTTCCAGGTGCGCATCACCACTCATCAGAATCTCCAGCGTTTGCTCGGCGTCTCGGTGGATGAGGATGGGTTCATTGTGTTCATCCTGGGTGAAGTGTGCCAGAAAGGTTCCTTGACGGATTTGCTAGAGAAGGACTCGTTGAAACTGGATTGGTCCTTCAAGAACTCCCTCATCAAGGACATCGTTATGGTAATATAATGTGGATAAATCGATCCTTCGGTGCTGTGCGCACTGGAAACACTTTCGTTATAGGATTTTGCGATAAGAAACACTAGGTGCAGTTTTACCATACAATCGTTGTGGATGATATCGTAGTGCAAGGGCCTGCAGTCTGCAGATCAGAAGTGCCGGTAACTGCGAAACAGCATTTCGCAAAATTTGAAAATTAGCATTGTCTGTATTTAAAATCAAACGTTTGAAATTTTTTACTTTTTTTTGCAATCGCAAAACGAAAGTTTCGCACACATTTGCTACAATAATAACACCAAAGCCCCGCTTTCCCGTTCCGTCGTGAAGCGTTTCCTTTGCTAAGGCTTGCTAATTTACGACGATTCAGTTCAGGCCTTTTTACCCTTCTTTCTCGCAGATACGAAATCCATTTTTTTGCTAACCGGCTGTGTTTATTAAGGGGATGACGTATTTGCACAATTCCGTTATTGAATCACATGGAAATCTCTCGTCGCATACGTGTTTGGTGGACAGCCGGTTTATGCTAAAGGTCAGACTCGGTTGACACGTCTGGTGGAATTTAATTAAACAATTTTCTTTGGGAATTCACGTTAGGTATCTGATTATGGATTAACCATGTTCCGCGACCCGAAGGATTTACTACCGCCCACGGAGGATCAGGATGAAGAGCGGCGGAATTTTGCGGATTTATTGTGGCGTGCACCGGAGTACTTGCGGCAGGCCATGCCGGTGAAAGGATCGCAGAAAGGGGACGTGTACAGTTTCGGGATTATACTGCAACAGATTATTCTGCGCTCGTCGCCCTTCGATGTTCCCGGTGATACGAAAGCGTATCAGACCGCCAAAGACCTTGTTATGCAGGTAAAAATAAAAATTTAAAATTCCAAGAAAAATCATTTACGGAAGTGACTTATTAGAATACTAACAAAAATAAAATAAATATATAAATACCAAGAGAATAGCAAATTACTGCGATAAAACTAACTGCCAAAAAATATAATGTTATTATAAAAATATTGATTAGAATCTGCAGTTATCCTAATAAAATGAAAGAATCTGGGATAAAAATAATTCGACAAAACCAGTAATTAAACCACTGATAAAAAACTAGCTAGCCGAATGATATAAAAGAATTTTCGGGAGTAAAGAGCTGTCAAATTTAAAAAAAAGATTTGAAACAAATTATTGTTTAGTATTTTAAAAAAATTCTAAGCAATAATTAATGTTTGAGTTATTTAATTTGAAGAGAGTGTCACTTATTGCAGATTAAGCAAGGTAGTCAGCCACCGTTTCGACCCGCCGTCCCGGTGTCCGCATGCTCCAGTGAACTGTACCACTTGATGGAGTTTTGCTGGGAAGAATATCCCATCGAACGGCCCACATTCGTCAAAATTAAAGAGAGCCTGAAAAAGGTCATCGGCAACTCGGGCGATAATATCATCGATCACCTGCTGAACCGCATGGAACAGTACGCCAGCGATCTCGAACAGCAGGTCGAGGAGAAAACGGCGCAGTTCACGGAAGAAAAACGCCGGGCGGAGGAACTACTTGGCCAACTGTTGCCCAAGTAAGACTAAGAACCAATGAATTATTGAATTAAACCGAACGTTTGAGTTGAAATAACCGCAGAGGTGCACTCGCTTATTGGAGACCATGTATGAAAGAAGTGCAAAACATTTGTTTGTTTTATACGTTTCAGTTTAGGTAGAAAACATTGTCTGTAAGCCTTAATTAGGATTTAGAATGTTTACGGTTCCATGCTATTTTTTTTATTTTATAAAAATATTGCAGCGCTAAATTTTAAGAACAAAGTACCTACCGACTACCGCTATCAGTATGCTAGTAAATAACGGAATTAATAATTTACTGTTTCACTCATTTGGACATGCAATCTTTTATCTCTCTTCTCATTAATATTTTATAATTATCTATTTGATATACATGTAAGTATTAATATTCTTCTTAAATATTATTATTTAAACTTCGCTGGCCGATCATGAAAATTTCCATACACATGAGACAGTCCCATTAAATCAGAAATACAGAATAACGTAGAACACTGGCTCTCTAAACGTAACTGTTGAACTAGGCAATCGTGTTATGGGCGGCTAATTGGCCTTATGACAAACTGCATGAACAAGTACAGAGTCTGTACTGTACATAGATGCGAAGGTTGAACTTGTGTTGATTTTTTCGGTTCCCATCTTATTGTTTTGTAAATTTTTTGTTTCGGATTTTTTATTTTTTCTTGTCCTTATGTAATTTTTTCAGAGTCCACGACCATCAGTTTAGTCATTTAAAATACTCGTACATATAAACTATGTATAATAAACGGCCAAAGGCGCATGCGTGGTTATACACGCTGCTGCACATCAGTGTTCTTTGTAGGTCGTTTTGGGATAGCTATGACTAACGGACGTCGAAAATACGTACATTATTACATTGACAGTTTAAAAATACGTCGACGGAAATAATGTTAGTATTATATGACTTGTACCGGTTTTGTTTTAATTCTTGTCGTTACTGTAAGATAGACTAATAACAATTTCATTGCAGCTACTGACAGCCAGGATATTGGTTGTATGTACGACAGGATGTGTAAATTTTATGTAGAGGACGTGTGACTTGCGGACAGACGCCACATTTTCGTAATTTTTTTAAGATTTGATGGTATTATAAATTAAACTGAGATTTTGAAGAATTTTGTTACTGCATTTAAAAAAATGATGTCGATTGCATTAATTTAAGTCGTTTGAAATAAGTACAGCTTTGACCCCGTTTTAACAATAAAGGCACCCTCTTTCGAATATATTTTAACGCACGCACCCCGTTTTTCGCGGACTAAAGACGCGTCAGTTGGGACTGCTTGACGGCACAGTTTTTTTTGACATAAGTTTTGGACTTAAGAGGCATCTTTTTCGAGTTGGCAAATTAAAAACTGCGCTCTCTGCAAATTTCCCAGGAATTACATATTATCGTTACAAGAAATTGCCGTATTACATTTTTAATGCTTATCAGAGTGCATTAATTCTAAGGTCCAATAATTATATGTGCCGGCATATTCAGAAAAATGCTACCGTAAATGTTCGACTAACGTATCTGTAGCAAATGGCTGCTATTCGCCTTAAAAAATGGTGTCTATAGCTTTTTCTCAATTCGAGGTGACGATGACAAACAAATCCCTAAAGGGTGTTTATAGTGCAACGGGATGCAAAAGGGGTGCTTATAGTAAGCAAGAGTGAGATGGTGCTTGTATTGCCATCTATAAAAAAGCCGGATCTGTTTAAACAATTTTCAAATTTTTATGATAACTTGCCTTAAACCTCAGCTAAACAGAAGCAACGCGCATGCGATTTTCCCTAACCGTAGCCGTTACACTACGATTGCCTGCTGTTTGAGGTGTTGCTATGTATGAGCCTGCAAACTTACCAGGTACTACAGTAGGTAGTCGTTTGTTGAGGTTCCGAGACACTCTTGGTGAACGCTGAATATAGATGATTTTCAGTGCCATTCAGTGTTAACAAACAGCGTCGACGATACGAAACTCCGGAATATGCATAGTGAAAATATGAACATAAATTAAAATTATTCGAGAATTAAAGATTAAATTCTCTGAAATTTTGCCGATGTGCTTGGAAAGGTTATCACTCCTCTCTGTTGTTAAAAGCACTGAATAAGCTACAGTATATTTTTTATTCATAAGATCCATCGCGGAATCGCTGACGCGCGGCCACAATGTCGAGCCGGAATCTTTCGATTGTGTATCCATCTACTTCAGCGATATCGTCACGTTCACCGTGATCTCGGCCGCGGGGACGCCGATGGACGTGGTGTCCATGTTGAACAATCTGTACACCATGTTCGACGCCATTCTGGAAAAGTTCAGCGCATATAAAGTGGAGACCATCGGTGACGCTTATATGGTACCGTTCACTTCCTGAATTTCCTGTTTTATTGTTAATTTTTGTGTATTTTTATAAAGTATCGTGTAGGGCTCGATGTGCAACGTTAAAAAGGTCACGACAATATAATTCCAGGTGGCCAGCGGTCTGCCGGTGCGCAATGGTAACCGTCACGCCTACGAGATCGCCCTGGTGTCGTTGACGATTCGCAAGGAGCTCAACGACTTCCGCATTCCGCATCTGCCGACCGATAAACTGAAACTGCGCATCGGCATGCATTCCGGTAAGTCGGTTTGCTGGATCAGTGTAAGTATGCCGAATTCAGAGTAGTGTCATTGATTTTATTGACAGGTCCGTGCGTTGCGGGAATTGTTGGCCTGAAAATGCCTCGCTACTGTTTGTACGTAACCTAACTCCCAGATTTCTTCGTGTCGTTTAACGAATTTGTGAAAACTTAATTTGCAATTTTTAAAAGCAGAAATACTTTATGAAAAATGGTAAAAAAAATCCAAGAATAAAAATCCGACAAGGAAATTTCATCCTCAGAACTGTTTCAGGTTTGGAGACACCGTAGTTATTGCGCAAAAAATGGAATCTAGTGGGGAAGGTAAATGAGCCTATTAAAAATGTTACGAGAATAATCAGGTACAACTGAGTTGTGTTAAATGGACGTTATCTTGTCTAACATGTACATAAATTGCTCAATATGGGTGTAGCACTGTTTAATTACTGTATAGCGCCGTTGTGGTCTGATGGCAGTTTTTTCACCCACAGCAAATAATGAACATTATCTGTTCTGCACATTAAACGTCTAAGAAAAAAATTCAGGATGTAATGAATTATTTTTTTATTTTTCTCTTCTGCTTCTCCTATTTCGATTTTCATCTTAAACTTCACGGAGATGTGGAATTTTAATGATCAGAGCCATCACACTACGATTGGATACGGGTTATTATGCAATTTAGTTTCAATAATGTTATGTGAATTGATGTAGCGATGAGAATCCAGGTAACCCAAGCCGCCAAGGAGCTCCTGGAAGACATTGGCGGATTCCAGTTAACTGAACGCGAAAAGCCGGTCCTGTTCCGGGTAATTCCGACTCCTTGGCCACCTGCACTTGTCAATAATGCTCGGTGTTTTCAGGGTCAGGATTTACGTACATTTTGGCTGGTGTCCGGGGCGCTGAGAGAACATTTCAATACAATCACACATTTCAATTTTCAGAACGCTTTATACCTGCAAATTAGGCGACATTAGCTTGGTTAAAATGTATGAATGGCGGTCGTTCAATTGCGCCAGTACAGCGACTGTGTGGCAGAGTCGATTAAAATGTTCCGGTGATTGGTGGGCGGAAATGCGGGTCGTTAATCATGATCAGTGGAACAAACTCATCAAAGTCAGGTGTACTTAACCGTTTCAGAATAGACAGGCGCAGCTTTTCTCTCCGTTGAAAGCTTATCGATTATGTGCCCGAGAGGAGAGTAATCGAGGCAAATGGACTACCGGCACGCCAACTAACTGGCGTATGCACTCTCGCGGTGCATTAAAAACCCGGTTCGGTTTTTATACGGTAGTGTTATGCGATTATAGATAGGCCTCCTGTTTTAACAATATTATGCACTCGTTTTCCCGGCGCTGATGCAGCGTGTATACACAGTCAGGCAAAGTCAACATACGACTACTTCTATTTTGTTTGACAACTGCACAGACTCCTTTATTCGGGATCAAGTAAAAAAGTAGGTGCTTTGTTTCAACGCGTATTGCGCAAGCCAACACTTCCCTGTTCGAACCGATTCTGGCGATTTATGCGGATTGGATGTGTCCTTGATTGTGCTGTGTTACTGATTTTGCACCGGAGACCGGTTGGCCGATTTCCAGTTTTTAAATTTTACGTTGTCGTCTCGTTTATTCCGATAGCGAACGCGAGTCTAGTTTATTAAATAAGCGAATGATCTTCAATGTAGCGACTGCACAGAAAGTAGATGCGTCGTTTTTCCCCATGTTGCGCAAATACACGCTTCTCTGTTCGATCCAAATGCAGACCATTTTATGCGCATTGAACCTGTCCCTGTTGGACATAGTTTTTTATGTTTACTATTGAACTTTTGAACCGCGAACAAATTGCCGGTTTTTAGTTCTGCGTTGTGATAATGCAGCGTTATATAGCAATATTCGTTGTCCTGCAAATAGCCGGTATGCGGTGTAAACGCTTGACCACACTGCACCCGGATATCACTGAATTCCGCACCCTCACGACGACATTTGCCACAACCAATCGCACCACGACCCACAGTGTACCCAACACCACGACGATGACAGCGGCACCCACACCCACCACGACCTTCCCGACCCGGGTCACCCCACCGCCGGGTCCCGGCCAGAAAGAGGTGCGGTTGTGCATCGCGATGGAGAATAATCCGGCGTTGTTCTATGATTATCTGCGGGTGGCGGCGGCCATCGATATGGGCCTGGAGTATGCCAACAAGAATATCATGCAGGATGGGTTTGTTATTAAAAAGGAGGTAATGGATATCGGTGGCAAGTGTCTGCGGAAGAACGAGGTGGTCACGCATGCGGCGCTGAAGTTGTTCCTGAAGAATGTCACGTGTCATGCGTATCTTGGTCCAGGTACGAAGGAAAGTAGTGTAGAAATTGAAGGTTGCCTGTAAATGCTACCGCAGTAACTTTTTATCAATTACCCGAACATAATTGGTACTTTTTCGCCAGTATTGGCCTTTTTCAGTTTACGTATATTTTTTTGTCCATTTTAACTGCTCAGTTTACTGGTCAGTTTTTTCGTGCTAATATTCCATTTGCCAGTCAGGCTTACATAAGCTCTTAGTGTTCCAGTTTTAATGTTTAAACTTAAACCATCCGAAGTAGGCTGTAGTGTTGACGGTTAGCTTTTTTGTTGCTTTTGATGGTTTTGCTTAATGACGGGCTACACAGATTGTTGGTTACTGTACATACTGCAGAGTGTAGATTGTTCATTACACTTATCAGCATCGCAAGGATGTACGTAGTGCAGTGGCGACGCTTGAGTGGAATTGAAACCCTGCAGTCGATCATTAATGTCGAATAAATTAGGTAGATCTGCTTGAGACTTTCGCTAATTATTTGATCTAATTTTTTCAGTTAGTTTTATTTTGTTTATCACAGCAAATTTACCAGATAAGTCCGAAATTCAACGAGTATATCAATTACCGTACGTTAGTGTTAGTATAGGTATTTCACAATTCTTCGCTTCATATTAATTTTATTAATCCTTTGATTCCTTGGTCGAGTTCTAAGCTAATTTTGAACATTTGTAAAACTCATCGGCAGCACCACAGTTTGTAACTTTATGTTACAAAAATGTTAGTCACTTTTTTTTATCACTGCCTGAGATTTTCGTGGACAAATCCAGCGGTAATTTTCCATTTAGGTTGCGGTTACAACGCCGACATCCTGTACAACTTCGTCGAGTACACCCAGACCCCCATCATCGCCCTGCCGGCCGCCGGGTCCGCTCTCTCCGCCGAGCGCAACCAGTACCCGCTGCTGATCCGCTCCAGTTTCGCCCACAAGAACACCATCAACTTCCTCTTCCGCTTCCTGGACGACAACGACTACCGTCACGTGATGGTCATCATGGATACCAGCAATAGTTTCTACGAGCAGATGAGCGTCACCTTCAGCGCGGCGCTGCGTAAACGCAAAGACCGCTCTGCCGGGTTCAACACCGTCAATTACCGCAGCGACGCCGCCGATAACGATACCATTGATGCGGTTCTACGTAACGCCAATAGCAGCGCTCGCGGTAAAATAGAATCGCGTAAGCAAAAAGTGGGTGACTATTGATTGCTCGGGTTTTTGCAGTGTTTATTGTGCTGGCCGGTGCCACGGCGTTCCGCGCGTTCATGGTAATTACCGATGGATTTATTATGGTTGTGTGTTAAGTGCAACATTAATACTGTATTTGGGTTGGAAATAGATTGCGGCTGATCAGGCCGGGATGACTGATGGAAACTATGTTAAGTATCGATTTGGCTTTTGATTATTAAGTGTGGTTAATGGCGTTTTTATGTCGAGCGTTTGATTTTGTCGCAGGTGTATATCGGGGTGGAGCTGTTCCAGAGCGATACTTGGGGAGCGTTTACGTGGTCCATGGGAACGGCACAGGATCGGGTATGTTTACAGCATCTGCATTCCCGGAAATATTCGAGTTGAATTAATTAACATAAAAATTTTAAATTTCTATTTTTATTTGAACTAATTCCCAGAAAAACTGCAAACCCGAAATAACGATTTTCTACTGTAGTGTTTAGTTTATTTCGGACGAGTTAACCTTGTCTGTCTTAAAAATCAGTTCAAACAAATCCTGGAACCCTGAATGAAATTAGAGTTTTATTATTAATTACAGTTGTGAAAATGTAGTTCTGCTTATTTTTTCGAAGGAAGCGAAAAGCGCGTACGGGTCGGTTTTGCTGGTCGCCTTACGTTCTCCTCGTCTGGCGTATTACGACGATTTCGCAGCGCAAGTGAAGAAACGCTCCCGGAAAGATTATGGTTACACTTTCGGTGGCTTCGAAGAAGTGAGCACGACGATCGAAACTTGTGCCTCGGTGGCCGGCTAACGGAGTTTTCTCTAGATTGACCCGGTAACGATCAGCGCATATGAATCCGTGCGAATGTACGCCGACGTTATCCGAGAGGTCCAGGATAACCAGGACGACATCTTCGACGGGAGCAATATCGCGTCAGCCTTCCAGAACCGGACGTTTACCAGCCCGCTGTCCGGGGAAGTGGGCATCGACGCCCAGGGCGACCGGCTGAATGATTTCGTCATGCGGACGTTCGATAAGAACGGCCGTTTAGCGGTCAGTTCCCTTTTATAACAACATTGTTTTGCTCTGGTTTGAGACTACGTTTGATTGAAGGAGTTCTATTTGTATCGGGCGCTGGAAGATAAACTGGAGCAGACGGGACCACCGATCTGGGGCACGCCCGATGGGCTATTGCCGCCCGATGAGCCACGGTGTGGATATACCGGCGATAATCCTGCTTGCCAGCCAGCAAGTAAGCCTTAATCAGGAAACCGAAGAAAATAAGAAATCTAACGAACCTAAAAAATTCCGCTAAACTCGGAAGGACTGGATGGACCTAAATAACCTAAGGGCATTCTTGATACACTATATAACCTAAGAGATTGAAAGCCTACCACGTAGTTCTAGAATGTTGAAGAATATAGTAACCGTAAGCTTGGAGAAAGCGTGGTTTCCGTTATGTATTTGTTTATTGTGGAATGCATTGTAGAAACTCTTAGCGGGGGCCTGTTGGCGGCAGCGGTCGTGGTGCCTCTCCTGGTCTGCATTGGCCTAGCTGCGTGCCTGGCAGTTTTCGTTGTCCGGTAAACCTCTTATTTTGACTTACGCGTGTATGCTTTTACGTTGGCTTATAATAATTTTACAGGATGCTGCGCAGCCAATCCGATCCGAACTGGTGGAAAGTGCAGCATTCCGATCTGGAAGTCACCGGTGCTAATATCAATAAAGGCAGCCAAGGAAGCGCCATTGGCAGTAAAAAGTCCTTCGTAAGTTGTTCGGCTTAGACTAGCACTGTAAATCAGAGTCAATCGTTCGCAACGGCATTAAAACAATATCAGAAACATGGCATGAACTGATAAAAATCTCTAGCATTTCTCTCATTTTTTCATATTTAACCGCATCGAATTATTGATGAACAGGGCGACGATGCCGGCTCGGTTGCCCGTAGCGAAGGCACTTCCGCCGGTTTCAGCGTTATGATTGGTCGCACGGCGACCTTAAACGGCAACCTGATCAGTGTGCATGACGTGTCCGATAAACGCAAGCGACCAAATGCAACCATTATCAAGGAAATGAACCAAGTATTTTATTCCCTGTTAAAAAAACAATATTTTATCATAATCGATCGGTTCTTTCGAGGTGCGTACGACAACCCATCAAAATCTGCAGCGATTGCTGGGCGCGTCAATTAATGACGAGGGCCTGATCGTTTTCATTCTGGGCGAACTGTGCCAGAAAGGTTCGCTGACGGATCTCCTAGAGAAAGATTCACTGAAGTTGGACTGGTCTTTCAAGAACTCCCTAATTAAGGACATCGTTATGGTAAAAGAAGCGTACTACTTTCAGGTGTTTTACCGTGTTTACAACCTTAAAAAATGTTGGTTGACAGGGAATGACGTATCTGCATAATTCGTCCATCGAATCACATGGAAACCTGACCGCACACACCTGCTTAGTGGACAGTCGTTTTATGCTAAAGGTTAGCGTTTATTTTTCGTAAATGGGAATTGAACTGCTAATGTTGATAGTTTGAATCTGCAGATTTCGGACTACGGTTTACCGTCATTTCGTGACCTTAACGATCTGAATCCGCCTACCCTGGATCAAGACGAAGAACACCGAAATTTCGGCAACCTTTTGTGGCGTGCCCCGGAATTCCTCCGTCAGCCGATGCCAGTGAAGGGTTCGCCAAAAGCCGACGTATACAGTTTTGGAATTTTACTGCAGCAAATTATTCTGCGGTGTTCGCCGTTCGATGTGCCCACCGAGACACGGGCGATGACCAGTTACCAGTCAGCAAAAGACTTGGTCCTTCTGGTTAGTGTAATTTCTTTTGGCTAACAAGGTACTGTTACTACTGTATATTCTCTCGCGAAAATTGCTGAACGTTTTGGTCAACAAAGCTAGCAAGAAAAGCTAATTAACATTATTCTCAGAAAAAGAAAGCAAAAATTTGCCAGTAAAACTTTGAATTGGTCTCACAGAATAACGGTATAGTAAGCAGTTTCTCTCAGTTTAAAAACAAATGTGAGTATTTAATTTTCGGAATGAAAGCAAAAAAGTTGAAAATTCTAACTGACAAGCGGTATGCAGCTTTTTACAGATTTTTCAGGACAGATTGCTTTGTCTCTCCCAGTGCAATCTGTAACATGCCCATACACTACATCGTTGCGCATTTCTATAACCGCGCAGCAGCAATCTAAATGAGACCGAATTTCTCTTTCATGTTCACTGACTTATCTACGTTAGCATAATTATATGGTCAGAGCATAATTTTTAGATGCAGAAATGTTTGCAGTTGTTTCTTCCAGATTCATGCCCGCGAAAGCCGAACTTGATTTACCTACTCTACATTCGAAAAATCCAGTAAAATTTTACAAATTGCATTAGTTGCAATATCGAGATTAGACCGGTAATTCTTTTTCAGTTGTAACTTTTAGGTAGGTGGACCTTATAGCTGGTAACTACTGTGCGGCTTAACTTACGCCAATCATGTAAAAGGAAAGCTATTGCACTTGAACAACTTGTTTTGCGGCTGCAGAAAAAGACAAAAATTTCTAAACCGAAATGAGTTCACTGTACACTTAGTGCTAAGGCAATCTTTTATCGGTTGGTGAGAAACAAGTTAGCCCTCTCGCTACGTTATCGCCTAAATATAAAAGAACAATAATTTATGTTCACACGCTACGATTCAGCTGGGCCTGTAAATATGATGAACGATTGTGGAAAATGATTTTGCAAACGTTAAGAATTGTGGCGCTGTTGCAGGTAAAGCAAGGCACACAACCGCCTTTTCGCCCGAAAGTGCCAGCTTCCGCGTGTTCCAGCGAACTCTACAATCTGATGGAGCGTTGCTGGGAAGAATACCCCATCGAACGCCCAACATTCGCCAAAATCAAAGACGGTTTGAAGAAGGTCATCGGCAACTCTGGTGATAACATCATCGACCATCTCCTGAAGCGGATGGAACAATACGCCAGCGATCTTGAACAGCAGGTTGAGGAGAAGACGGCACAGTTCATGGAGGAGAAACGCCGGTCGGAAGAACTACTCGGCCAGCTCTTACCGCGGTAATAAAGTGAACCTCTACAATGGCAGAGTTTACATTCAAAGCGTCTGTTGATGAAATATGGTTTTTTAACTGTTAGTTCGGTGGCGGAATCGCTCACACGCGGACAAAACGTGGATCCGGAGCTGTTCGACTGCGTATCGATTTACTTTAGCGACATTGTCGGCTTCACGACGATTTCGGCCGCCGGGACGCCGATGGACGTGGTGTCCATGCTGAATAACTTGTACACCATGTTTGATGGGATTCTGGAGAAATTCAGCGCGTACAAAGTGGAAACCATCGGCGACGCATACATGGTAATGCATCAGGTTTTTGGTTGTTTCTTGATAAAAACGGCCAAATGGTTAGCAAGCTTCATGCCGATTCGCTCTAATCCAGGTGGCGAGTGGCCTCCCGGTCCGCAACGGCAACCGGCACGCCTACGAGATCGCTATGATTTCCTTGACGATCCGCAAAGAGCTTAACAACTTCCGCATTCCGCACCAGCCGGATGACAAGCTGAAGCTGCGCATCGGGATGCACTGTGGACCGTGCGTGGCCGGGATTGTCGGGCTGAAGATGCCGCGATATTGCTTGTACGAAATGAAATATTTTATTTAGTGCGCTGGCCGGCATTATTGCTCCGGCTTTTCACGTGGTTTGCGATACTGGAAGTGTATTAAACAGTTAACTAATACGTCACGTAAAATTGTTGCTCAAATACTAACGTTGTATAAGTAAATACAGCTTAAAATACCGGCAGCTGTTAATGTGCACTAAAGGGTCTAATTACAACTCAAAGGACTGGTGATTTGCATGGAAATGTAGGTTCGGGGACACAGTGGCTGTGGCCCAGAAGATGGAATCCAGCGGTGAAGGTGAAAACCACACATGAACCTAACGCTACTGCGGTTGTATGCAGTAACGTTAATGTCCTTGCAGCACTGAAGATCCAGATTACGTTTGCGGCCAAGGAACTACTAGATGATATTGGCGGCTTCCAAATGATGGAACGTGACCATCACGTGGAGTTCCAGGTACGTGCACTCTTGCTCCATCAAACAGAGATTACTGCAGGGCTGTTTCTTTAGGGTCGGGAGATCCGAACATTTTGGCTGTTATCCGGCAAATAGATCTCCTCTCGGTGCTGGATTTTGTCAGAGTATTCACCATCAGCTGTAGCCCCACACTGCAGTGATGTATGATTTTCCTCCGGTTTCGGTCTTTCGTAAGCGTATTCTTGCCTTGATGTTTTGGTGTTTAGAGAAATTACGAATTCATGTCTATCATGAGCTCTTGTCTTGGTTGTGTTACTGTCCAGTTTTAAAATGCCCGAAAACTGTAATATGTGCAATAAGCGGTGATTTTATAGTGCTGCATTCGTTCGAAGATTTCAGATAATGAAGACCGTACCCACGTAATTAACATAAATAAGACTGCTTCGGGTTTGCAAAAAAAGGGCAACCATTTTGAAAACCGAAGGAAATCAGATTTTAATGGGCTTTGTTTTAACTTGTTATCATTTTTGTTGAAACGCGAGCCAGCCCTTTCACTACGTTATCCTCTGTAAGTATTACCGTCGATGTTTCGATTGCTTTTTGTAATGTGCTGGTACATGCAAAGAGTTCGGCTTAGTACGAACTATGAAATCATTTTCTATTAATTTCAAATAATGACGGAACCCGAGAGATCGCATGAAGTTTGAGGTTTGCCACGCCGTTGTACATTGTACTGTATATGGGCTTATGGCGTGCGTAATGTGCAACCTGGCCGTGGCACTAGCCACCAACAAGAATGGGCATTCATTTTACGATCCCTGAGAGAAATGACATCAGAAAATAACGCATCGAAAGCAATGTTTATGCGTAAGACTACTTACAAAAACGTTTCAGCTTCAAGTCAAACCTTCGAAAATAAAGATATGCTTAAAATACAAAACTTGACTGCTACCGTACCTTAAAATACAAAAAAACCCGTCATACGGTTTTTTTTTTCTACGGGTAATAATCTCCGGAACTTTGAAATTAAACTTCCTGAAAATAACCTTTCAAGGCTTGGCTAGGTATTCTCGGCAGGTTTCATTGAATTGAACGTAAGAGTAACTTAATCGTAAGTATGCTTCTTCCGATTCGGTCTCGACTATGTTGCGGAGTTGCTCGGCTAACCAAGAGGACGTCTTGCGCTCGTTCGGTGCGAGTGCCCAGCATTGCCTTAAAAGTTCATACCTGCCAACCGAGCAATAAACCATTCAGCGGGATTATGTTTTTATGAAAACACGGTAATCATAGTTGATACAAGAGCTAGCAAAAGCCATCTCAAATCTTTTTCGTCGTGTTCCTCAATAATTGTAAGTGCAATCAGACTAACTGTCACTTACATTATCGCGGAACACTGTGCTGGTTTCTCCAAGCGTAATCCATTCTGCAGCGCTGAAAGGAAAGCGGAGACTGTGCGATGCGGAATGGCAGAAACACCGGCATATGGTACGGCGCCCAGACTGCACACTTCCCAGAGAACCACGCCCAATGACCACACGTCTGACGGGGGCGTAAACACTCCGTTCTCGATGGCTTCCGGTGGCATCCAGCGCACGGGTAACGCCTCCTTTAAACGACCCAGTTTCGATTAGGTAAATGGATATTCGAACTGCGTCGAACATCTTCAAAATATGCAGTGATCCCAGTACCTGCATATCGTGTACAACGAATTCACTGCCTGCCCGTGCCATTCCGAAATGCGAGATCTTGACGATGTTGTTGCTGTGTACTAGGATATTCCGCGCCGCCAGATCGCGGTGAAGAATAAACTGGCTGTGGAGATACTCCACACCGCGGCTGATCTGGTAAGCGAACTGCACCAGAATTTCGGTCGAGAATGCCGGTTCTTCCTCTTCGCTACTGATTTCAAAGGCAGCGATTTCAAGCGTGCCGACGCTACCGTCGTAATTTGGCTTGGCTGACTGAATTGAACTTAATTGTGGTTCACTGGCTTCGTGTGACCATTTTCGTAAAAGATCCGTTAATGGTCCGTACTTGCAGTACTCCAGCAACATCCGTATATCGCCTGTGATCGCAGAGACTATCGATTATTCTTGATACAGATGATGCACATGGACGTGCCTTGCTTACCTGTTATAACTACGCCAAGCAGATTGACAATGTTCAGGTGGCGTCCGACTTTCGCCATGATTTCTAGTTCGTGAATTAACCGGCGCAGTTGGCCGGTACTTGTCGATGATCGGGCACTTTTTACCGCTATTTCAATCAAGCTATCAGCATCTGGTTGTTGATGGATCCTGAAGACGCTTCCTTTTCGGATGATGTAAGCTGCGCTGCTGTTTAGCACAATATCCGCTACGAGATAGTTTTATACACTGTGCGTTATTTGGTCCGGTGATTGCTCCGGCACTTACATAGCTGCAGTTGGGCTAAAGGAATTTCCAGCTGACGAACATAGCGTTCTGTCGCTACATCCATGGTAAGCAGTTCCGTGTCGAAACCACAGCTGAATTGAGTGTTCTGCAGGCAACCCAAATGCCGGCTAAAATGCAGCATATCACCATGCTGTAAACGGCGTCGTCGGTGTCGACACATTAGATAGCCACTGACTAACGCAACCGCTAGTACCACGGCTGGAATAACCGTGGAGAGCGTCACCGTTGCCACAACGCCGCGCTGGACGGCTACGAGAAAATCGTTACTAATATCGTGTTAATCGGTTATGAATATACAGCGCCGTGTACCTACTGCTGCTTATTGGTAGGTGTCGCTTGAGAGGCTGCCTGACAACAATGGAGTCAATCAGAAATGGATGTAACGTTTCGTTGATTGCGCTCGTGTTCCCGTCGGTGTGCATTATGCCCAATCCGAGGTACATCTTCGGCCACGTATCCAATCCGGGTACCGTCAAATTCAGAGCCCAATGGTCATCCACATACCAGATAAGCTGCTGACTTGTCCATTCCAGTGTATATACGTGATAATCGACAGATAGATTTCGGTCACTAAAACAGGTACTTCCCGAACTGATTATAGTGAAAGACGGTACTTTGAAGTAGTGCAAAAATACCTGGTAAACTGACTAGCATGACTCGATGTATTTCCACTGCTGTCTAAGTAGTTCACCACTCCCTCAACAATACGCCAGCGTGCGGTGGGTAATCCAATGAATACGCTGGGCACAGCGGGAACTGCGCACCGAAACCCAGCTAGCATTGTACAGGAATACAAAAACACGCAAGGCAGTAAGGTCTTCTCTGGCGGGAGTTGGGCCCGGATGATCAGCACACCGTATTTGAAATGGAACCCGAATTTCGTGTTGACGTAACGTGGAGTGCGCAACACGCCGGCTCCGCTGCGTCTTGTACCAACCTCCAGCCGCAGCGCACCGCCTTCTATGCGGATGTTTTGACGATCGTCCGGTGCCAGTGTGGACGGAGGCAGCGTCTGGTCCGTCACCGTCCATCGCCGATCCAGCAGTGTGCCGTTAAAATCATCGCGGAAGATTTCTTTACTGTCGGTATCGCCAGTTACAAAACCCGGTGATGCAAGAATACCGAAAATTAACAGCAGGCTGCTAACAAACGCTGCACCGAGCGGGTTAAACATGACCGATTTTTGGATCTGAAATTAATACGTTTGGTAGTGGCTGGTATACCCTGCAAAAGTTAATAATGTTTTAAACGGCGTCTTATAATGTTGCTAGAAAATATGCGCTCTCTTATAGACCAAGCTGAGTAATCCTGGGAAAATAACCAATCCATGAAATCTGGTTGTCTGTTTGGCTTTATGGTTAGCAGTTTTAGTATGTTGTAAATCTCGGTTGGTGCACACATGGCTTGTAAGTTTTTTAATAACTGTTATTAGGAGCTTCTTATCGTGACAAGACATGCCAGCGGCAAAATAAAAACACATAGCAAAAAAACAACTGCACAATAAAGCTGCGCATAGCGAAAGCTGGTAGAAACCGAAAATAACTCAAGGCGGTGTACTTCTATCAAATATAGACAGGTGTTTAAAAATGGCTATTACAAATTCACAACTGTAATTGTAAAGACGTATATCCGACAGACTTGTGTATTCCTATGATACCTTAAAAATACGGTTTATACAAACAAAAAAAGTGAATGGCAATGGAAATCAACATTATACGCATATATTGCTTATTGCTATACCTGGGTATGGGAATCCAAAGCATCCTAGGTGCGAATGTGACAGAAATCTTTAGGGACGATTTCAACGGTACAGCTTTGGATACTACAAAGTGGTACATCCAGAAAGACTATCCGGAATTTACGGAGCACTACGATCCCGGCAATGTGCGCCTGGAGAAGGGCATCCTTAAGTTGCGCGCCGGTAACCGCCGCAACGGCAACGTAACTGTCTTAACGGGCGCCCGCATTTTCACGGGAGACAAATTCAGTTTCAGCCAGGGCGAAGTGGTCATGCGGGTGAAATTCCCGGTAGCCAGTAATCAGCAGGCCGGCGCTGGATTAGCGCTGCTTCCTTGTATGAGCACCGCGATACGGGACTGCTCAAAAAACGAGTCGTTGCCCATTCCGACGGTATATGTACAAAGTACTACGCCCAACGTGCTGGACGGGATTCTAACGTACGTGGACGAAGCGGGTCGAACTTTGGAGCGCACTTATTATTTTTACAAGTACGTACGTAGTTCTAGCTGATAATCTGACGCTAAAGCAGGTGTGGTTTGATACCGTTGCAGTGATGAAGATCTGTCGCTGGATTATCACACTATTAGATTGGTTTGGACGCGGGATCTTTTTGCCTGGTTCGTGGATGAGGAGTTGGCTTTGAATCAGACTGTACCAGGACTGTCTAGGTGGCCGAGAATGTATTTACAAATAACTATGATCAGCACGGCAATTTATAGCCAGCCTAACTATCCGTTTGATGCCGCCGATGTACCGCACCAAGAATTCTGCATTGACTACATCTATGTTCATCAATTCACCAATGCCATTTGGAAAGGTATTCAGCGCGCTTGCGATCCAAGGACCATAAGCAATCGATCCGAACAAACGAAATTAATCCAATTAATTCAAAACGTTTGATTATAGATTCTGAATTTTTGACTGATTTTAGACTATACGATACCAGCCGTATTAGCAACCGTTATCCCAGTGACGCTCCTCACAGTCCTTGTAACACTGATTGGGATCAAAATGAGGAGCAGGCGACAGCGGCATGGCAATATGCAGAAATTGTACGGCGCGAACCGTTTCGTTTCCACTATGTATAGTCTGAAAAATCTACTGGCTCGAGATAATGCCACATTTCGCGTATGCTCGGAAATTCAGCAGCGCGTTCAGCAGTTAGAAGTTCCATTGAGCAACATCCGCCTAAGTAAGACATACAGAATAATGTACCAAATTTAACCACGTAATTCATGTCGATTCATTATGGGCGATGACATCAGCAGAAAATTTAGACCTCCTATGTAGTTATTTAATTTGTAGCGGAAGAGGTTTTAAATTCCAACAACACCAGTGTTACTCTAAAAGGCTACGCGACAGGAATCCACGGGGAAGAAGGATTGACAACAATTGCTGTCAAACGATTGCAGCTCGCGACTGAAGCCTCTCAAATTCGATTGCTACGCCAGGAACTGGAAATCTTAGTGAAGGCTGGTCAACATGTCAACATAATTACGCTTTTGGGCGTCGTGCTGAAAGGTGAGTGAGACATGTTTGATTCTGCATCTAGCTTTTATTCAGTTTCATGCAGTTATTACTTTTTCTGTGGCTGCAGAAAACTTATGCTGATGACCTAACTAAAAAACTATTTTCCTCAGCATAAAAGAATTAAAAATTGGTACGCATAAATAAGAAGCTTCGTATTGATTTTAGGCGACTTCTTTCTACTGCTTGAGTTCGCCGAATACGGAGCGTTGCCGGACTATCTCCAAGCGCACCGTGGCGCTTGGTTTTACAACCAGGTTGACGCAACGGGCAACCTTTTGCCGTTTGACGAAGACCAGGCCAACCAGCTTCAGCAAACACTAAACGAACCCCCATCGAAATTCGACAGGGAAAATTTTGACTGGCAGATTCTGTCCACGCGTAGTCTGCTGCGTTTTGCGCACCATGTTAGCCGCGGACTGGAATATCTCCACGCCCGTTCCATCATCCACCGTAACTTATCCGTCACAAATATTCTAATCTGCTCTGGGCAAGTAGCAAAAATTTTTGGATTTGAGATGGCTCAGCAGGCCACCGAGTACATCGAAACAGATTCTGTGGTACGATGTGGCAGCAGTTGCAGCTCAACCGATTAACAAACAAATATAGTTCTTTGTGTTTTGTCCAGGAGGTCTTTTCGCCACGCTACTTGGCTCCGGAATCTCTCAGCGCAAGCAGGTTTTCGACCAAATCCGACATTTGGTCGCTGGGCGTGGTGTTATGGGAAATGTTCAGCTTTGCGGAAAGTCCTTCCGCTGTCGATGCAGATACAAATGCATGCGACGACGTTGAGTTTACTAGGTTCTTGGCCAGTGGTCGGCGCATGCCAAGACCGGAAAAATGCCCCAGCGTGATGTAAGCACCGTATGGTTTGCGGCACTTGTGATTTATTATAAGAAGTTGCCATTTTCAGATTTGACCTGCTGCCTAATTGTTGGAGAACAGTTCCTGATGAGCGACCGAATGCTTTATCCGTAATGAAAGCTTTACAAAACGCCAATGAGGACCTCATGGAGCACACCTACCTTCACCTGGATTACTGGCATTCCCAAGGAGATAATCTCCAAAGCGTTGCTGCGAAAGAAAACCACATCGAAGCGAATTCGATCAAGGGCTGAGCGTGACCGCCGTGCCGTAGAATTTATCGAACCGACAGTTATTTTGGAAACCGTATGTCAATCTTGCCAATAAAAAAACTTGCCAGAGAATGATGCTGAAAAGCAGCCTCTCTGAATACTTTATCGACCTTTGATATAAGATTATGCGTTGAATTCCCGCGATTGGATAATAGTTCTTTTGCTCTGATTCGGTGCACGTCTGTCACCTTTTATGGTATCATTAATAAAGCATTTTTTAATATGGTTGTACAGTTGATTTGTTTCATTTGTTGCCATTATTTTAATGTAATTTTATATTGAGTTCTTAACGTTCATATTGACTTTTTCTAAATTTTTATGGGAAGAAAAACAGTTATCAGACCATAGTATTTATTTCGACGCAATATATTGCACTGTCGTATGCGTGTTAGGGTACAGAGTCGTGAGTTTACGGAAACACTAGGCAGACTTTCGGTTGAATAAGGTCATTCGTTCAGCTTAATCGCCGTTTCCACTGTCACTGCACCGTTTCCGACGCCATTGCTTTTGATGTACCAGTAATCAAGACAAAGATACGTCTCTTCTGTCACATCGTCAATGATGCTGCATAAAGAATTAGTAATGTAAGATGCATTCTTTCGATCATTGGGCGTCCGTTTCCAGCAATCCAGCATCAAATAGCATCTAACAAAATCAGCAACAGCAATTTTGCAGGAAGCAGAGATGATTTTTTTGTCTTTGAAAGTTCCTCTTTATCGAGTGATTAACAAACAACTAGGATTATTAGGATTCTAAGCAGTAGATTCAATAGCGCAATCAGAACACCACTTACTTTATCTGGGGACATTTTTCCGGTCTCTGCAAGCGTAGTTTGTTTTGAATGAATGTAGGCGAAGCGCCGTCTTGGCTCAGATTCGTTTCGGTGACACCAAAAGGAAGTTCTTCAAAGCTAAACATTTCCCACAGGACGACGCCCAGTGACCAATTGTCAGATTTCGTCGAAAATTTGTTTTCGCTTATAGATTCCGGAGCCATATGATGAAGTGACAGCGCTGTCTGTGGTGGAAGAACAATCCAAGTCCGACACTGCACGCCAGCAGTTATGATTGTATAATAAATTTTAATCACTGGCAAAGTTACCGTGAGATCCACTGTGCTGTACTCAGTTGTTTGCTTCGCGAATTCGAGTTGAGAGATTTCGGCTACCTGTCCGGTGCAGATGAAGATACATCTGGCAGATAAATTGCGATGGATAATGGAGCGAGTGTGGAGATATTCCAGTCCGCGGCTGATATGATGGGCGAAACGCAGCAGACTGCGCGTGGACAGGATCTGCCAGTCAAAATTGTCCCTGTCAACTTCCGGCGGTTGTGCGTTCAGCGTTTGCTGAAGCTGGTCAGCCTTGTTCTCGTCGTATGGCAAAATATTGCCCATTGCGGTGACTTGGTTGTAAAAGAGTGCGCCGTCGTGCGCTTCCAGGTAGTTTGGTAGCGTCCCGAACTCTGCGTACTCGAGCAAGAGAACAGTTTCGCCTAAATCGATAAACATCTTATACAGTTTGGTTACGTAGCTGATTCCAAATGTATAACATATTCGGGGAGAAATTTGACTGCAACATGAAACTTTTACAAAATGCGTTCAGCACTAACTTTTCAGCACGACCCCAAGAAGTCTGATAATGTTCATATGATGTCCAGCCTTGAGAAAGTTGTCCAGTTCTTCAGCTAGTAATCATAGTTGGTAAGGATCGTTTGCGCTTTTTGGCCGCTTTGCTGCGATCATTGTCGCTCCTTTACCCTGGATTCCTTCCGCGTAGCCCTCAAGCGTAACACTGGTGTGGGTTGCATCCAGGATTGTATTAGCTGGAAAACAACTTTGACCTTTGTACAATTCAGAGATGCTTGGAACGTCATCATTGGTGGCTGATAACAAGGGCAAAACTCACTTAAACGAACATTTGCTAATGGATTTTCCAGGTCCTTAATGTGGTGCTGAATTTCCGGAGACAGGGAAGGTGTGCCTCGATCCCGTGATAATAAATTTCGCACACTGTAAATCTTGGGAAACAGAACGTCAACAAAATGCTGCTTCTGCATATTGCAGTGTCGTTGCCGCCTGCGTCTGAGGCCGAATCCGATCTTCATGGCAATAGAGATAATTAAAAGAATAGCAATAATGGTTCCCACTGTCGCCTGTAAAGCGTGATCTGTAATAGTGTTCATACTTGTTGAAAAAAATTTTTATTTCATTGATACTAATCTAATCGTTTACCGCGTCGAACGGCATCAGTGAGCTGCTGGACCGATATGTAGTCAATCCAGAACTCTTGCTCTGGTGCGTCGGTGGCATTAAAGGGAAAGTTTGGTTGACTGTAGTATTCCTTGTTATATAATGTGAATAATCGTGGCCACGTTGAGAATCCCGATACTGTCTGGTTCAGCACCATTTCCTCATCCACATACCACGCCACGAAATCGTGTGTCCACACGAGTTGTACCACGTGGTACCCTGACGACCGGTCTTCATTACTGCAAATTTGCAGCTCGTTTCAATTCGTTAAGCTGGCCACCGATATGAGATGATTATTTAATTGTTTAAGCAAGAGTTTCGTAAACACGTAATGATGCCAATTAAAATTTCAATTAATTAATCAATTCGTCTAATTATAAAGCTCTTCCAAAAATTATAATACAGCAAGTTGTTACGTTGCCGAACGAGATACGGCTAGACTGATACCTACCAAAAGTAGTAGTCCATGTACGTCAGTTCGCGACCAGTGCGGCCTTTATACATCACACCGCCATAGACAACGCGTGGCGTCAAACTGCTGACCCACAGTTGCAAGGCCGGTAACATCTCGCTGTCAGTGCAGTCGTGCTCTTTACTGTTCCGACACGGCTTCAACGCTATGAAAGCACTGGCAGATAAATCGCTGGCCAAGGGGAATTTCGCCCGAATAATCATCTCACCGTAGGTGAAATTAAATTTCTCCCATGTGAAAATCGCGCTGCCAGTCAGTATGGTTTGCGAGCCGTTGAGCCGGCTACCCGTTCCCATCACCAAATGACCGGCTTCCAGACGGATATTATCGACATCGTAACACTGCTCAATGAAAGCTGCATCCTTTTGCTTGAACCACTGGGATTCATTGAGGTATGCTCCACTGAAGTCGTCACGGAAAATCTCAATCATTTCGGCACTGACAAAGTCATAACTAAGTAACAGGCAGAGAAGAATGTACAGTACTTTGAACTCCATGTTTGTTGATTCGGACAACTGTTGATTTGTTTTTTTAACAGATGGGCGCCGTAATTTCTTTGGCGGTAGACGCGCAAACGCACTCATGATACAGATGCCTCACGGCAGTCAGGTGGCGCACTCGAGATGGATGCTGGAAAGCAATAATTATAAAAATTTATTACCGTAATAATACGCACCAGGTGTTAGACATATCATCATCATAAATACCTAGTTTCTCGCGATGCAGGATAGATTATAGAACATCATCTCAGTAAACAACGTTTTACTTTTGTTCGCAATATTTTAGAGTAACCGATCTGCCATATTTTGAGCAAAAACCTGAGCTGTCTGTGTGGAAATTTGCGCCGTGCGTAAGAATTTAACAGTCGAAGGAAATTTTTCGGTGTCATAAAAATCGGAAGCACGCGAACTGAACTTCCAAGTCTCAGAATCACCGTTGTACAAGCTTGTCCGGTAATTTCCTACGTAAAGGTACAGCTAGCGCGAAGTTAGCGCATATAACGATGGCCACTTCACTACGTTCATCAAATTTCGTAAATGCGCACAGCAGTCAGGTTGTCGCTTACTGCACCGACCATTTTCTAGCCACCTTCCGCCAGGCGGTTACTATTAATCTCATAAAATTGTATGGCGTGTACGAAGCCACCACCCAGCCAAATGCAAGTTACGTGTTTAAACAGTGTGGCGTGGCGCGCCGTAGTGTGAAGTTTGGCGTAACACGCAAATTTGTGTAAATCGCTGTATGGATTCGTAAGAAATTACCGGACAAGCTTGTACATTTTCGGAAATATTGCCCACATACGCAGTGATGATGGCTTGCCTTAAAGTAATACTCGAGTAATTGTTCTGCATGCATTTTGAATGCTGTCCAACAGTCCCACATCCGCCTCACTCGATGCCGAGGACACGCTTGTCGAGGTCTTCCGGGACGATTTCAACCAAGACCAAGTGAGTCTAAACTGGACGGTCATCGATAATGCACTGCCGTCATTTCTCTCGCCTCCCGCCGATCGTCAGAATATTAATTTGAAGGACCGTATGCTGCGACTTGAAAGGGGACTAGTGTGAAATGGTTCACACATTGTCTACGCTCCACGCTACTTGAACACCGAATTTCTCTTCCAATTCAAATACGGCGAAATGTCCATGCGAGTCAAAGTTCCCGCTGTGCATGACGCTGATGCCATCGTTGCACTGAGCTCCTGCACATTCACAAACTCAACATGCCGGCTGCCACCAGTTCCGAATGTAACGGTCGTGCTTGGCACTGGACTTGGTAATGTTATTGGGAGTATGGTGGACTATGTGGATAGCGAGGGAGTTACTATGCGTCACGTTGCACACTTTACTAGGTGAGCCAAGAGCTTTTCTTTTCAGAACATCAACAAACGCCTGCTGTTGTGCACATTGCAGCGATAAACCTCTGTCCCTTGATTATCACCTGCACAAACTGGTGTAGACCAGCGAAAGCTTGATGTGGTACAAGGACGGACAATGGGCGCTGAATTCAACGGTTCCCGGTATGGAGCGCTGGCCAAAGATGCATATTATTCTGGGTATTATGCCCAGTTCGAACGACAAGGCTGGTCCAAACTATGTAAAAAATACCTCAGTATCCCAGGTGTTTCTAGTCGATTACATCTCTGTGAGCCAGCGTAGAGAGAGCCCACGATCCCTTGCTGGTAAGTTTTGCGGCTGTCGCTGCCTGTGATATTGTACCGGTAAGATAGCTCCTGGATACGCAAAATTGGAATTAAGTTTTTATTTACGGCAAAACGACATTTACCCCGAAAACGCAATACCGCGCCAGCAAGGGATTCCCCTTAATTATGGCGAAGCTGTTTTCCTGAGAACAAGCAGAAATTTTATTGGCGCTATGAGCCATAAGAGCTGATGAACAGGATAACCAATACTGTACTGTAGTCTACCAAAATGGCGTAAATTGTACGTATAGTACGGCTAATCGAACAAATGCAATTTAGGAGCACTACCTAATGCCTACGAGCTCTAACTATGAAACACGTAGCGTCTTAAAGCACTGTATTTATACTGTGAAATATTCTGCTGTAGGCACAAAGCGCCCGGTTCTTTTGTCTGCCATCCTCGGGATGGATATTCCAGCTGCCGTCGTATTGGCTGCATTGGTGGTTGGATACGGGATGCATCGCCGCAGTCGGCACAGTATACAGCGTGGTAATATGCTGCATGGCGATCCGAAGGTGCGCTTCCAGCGAAACGTACCCAACATATCCGATATATGCGGATTTGATGCCGATATCGTGGTGACGTGGTCAGAGACTTGGCGGCCGATCCCTGCGTCCGTCTACTCGAAGTGCCCTTAGCCAGCTTAGAAATCTGTACGTATTTAGGACAGCATTCTGTTACTATAATAAATTACTGATGTTTAAAATATGGAGCTTGGTACGGTTCCTCGCTAGTCGCTACTTCCTCACTGATTTGTTCTGCGTTAATGATGCGTAATTTTTGTTTAAAGCGGGCGAAATAATAGGCGGCAGCGCCTACCATCTTATCCGGAAAGGTAGCGCGTCGGGTTTGTATATGCAATCCCACTGTGACGGTGCTGCATCAGTTGCCGTTAAAACTGCGAGGAAACGAAGGAATCTGTGCAATACTCGTCGACTGCTTCACGAAATAGAAACGCGAGCAAAAGCCGGTCGCCATCTGAATATCGTCAACGTGCTGGGAATTGTCCTTAACGGAGACGTCCTGCTGCTATCGGAGTACTGCGAATTTGGGTCCCTGACAGCCTTTCTTCAAAGCCGTGGGCATGTGAAACATGGAGACGTAGACCGATCGGACAAGAAGACATCACAAAGCGCGATCACAAGAAACGAAAATTCTATAGACAAATCACTGTTTTCTAAGCTTATTCGCTTTGCTTATCAAATTAGCCGTGGAATGGAGTTTCTCCATAGTCGCGGCGTTCTCCACCGCGATCTAGCGGCGAGCAATGTGCTGCTGTTCGACGCCAACGTGGTGAAAATCTCTCATTTCGGAATGGCCCATCAAGGACCGCAGCACACTCTCTGTGATTTGCAGGTAAGAGGCCTCTCTGTGATTTGAAGGTAAGAGGCTCTTCCTAACAGCGGCCGCGAATTAGCTCCAACGAAAATTTTTGGTGTGGATGAAGATGCATAACATATGGTTTACTGTATATACTAAACCAAGGAAGTTCAAATAACTATGAATCTATGATGGCTCTGCAGCCTGCTTATTATATCGACAGGAGCTGTTGCCGGTGCGGTGGATGCCCCCGGAAGCCATCGAAAGCCAGGTTCTCTCGCAGCAGTCGGATGTGTGGACCTTTGGTGTAGTATTATGGGAAATGTTTACCATGGGTGCCACACCTTATGCCGACGCTAACTCCATCCGGAGACACTCCGTTGGCAAGTTCCTGACAAGTCTGAAAAACGGTTTTCGGTTGGAGAAACCAGTGGACTGTCCAGATTTTGTGTACGTGTGAGTTGCGTGTGGTATTTTGAGCAAATCGAAACAATTCTTGTTTTGCCACAGTGCTGTACTTGAATAAGTTCGATCTACCATTTTCAATTTTTACGGCTGCGGTACATACAATGGTCATCGTAGTTGGTTTCTCATCTGCACCGGTTTCGAGCCTCACTGGCTGCTGCCTTGTGTAAAAACTTAAACTGTTATTTTTAAATTTTCCCATGTTTATTTGAGTACTGAAATATCCCAGTTTGATTACTAGGTTCCAACTCATGTGCCAGTGCTGGCGGCCGTCACCGGCAGAGCGTGCAAATTTTGCGGGGCTTTCCGAGCAATTCAGAAGCATCCTCGGCGCCGACTCGGAGGAGATCTATTTGCGATTAAACTATTGCTACTCCCAGTTCAATGAAATCCATCGTGATACTTTAAAATAAAAATGATCAGGCAATTACGGGCATTGCTAGCCTGTTACTATGATTTTATAAGTGGCTCGTAAAATCGAAATGCGATTGGCAGCTTTTATGCGTGGTTCTTACGGTACCGTTAAAAATTGTTTACGTTAACACTGGCACGAAATTTCTCGGTAACGCAAACCCGGCTTGTTGTTAGAGCGGTGCAACGAACAATTTTATGTTACAAGACCTGAGTATTGAAAAAAATGTGGAAACAAATACAGTGCTTGTAATAACAGAAAGTAATTTTATGGGTCGTCATTATAATGATAACCCAAAAAAGCTACGATTCGATTGCTGCAGCCACTATGGAAAGGTTTCTGAGCACTACTTCTCCATCACGTATAACCATTTCCGCGTTAGAGGCTGTGGTCAGATCGATACTGACCACCGACGACGCTTGTCTAGCCGGTTAAACTGAGGTCCGCATTGTGCGCTTCGCTGCCCTTTCCGGGCACGGGGTCGCTATGGTTGTCATCGTCCTGAGAGTACCAGTAATCCAGTGGAAGGAAGGTACGTCTGATCCGTCACATTGTCATTGAGGATTTTCAAAGTCTCGGCTGTATAAGCAGCATTCTTTCGCTCATCTGGCACCCACTTCCAGCAATCCACCACTTCATCGTATCGGCTGAAACACCTTGCGTATTCTACAAATATTCAAGAGGTAATGACAAGAAAATCATTTAACTCAGGCACCATTACTTGCTGGGATGCGTGTTCATGGGCGCATAAACAAACGGTTACAAACATAAAAAATGTTCACTACATTGCGTACATTGTGCTAGGGCATCTATCTCGTCTTTCTAAACGTCGTCGATTCTGCAGAATTGTAAGGAAATTCCCGTTATTACATTCGTTCAAATCCGCGTAGGGAAGTTCAACCAAACTAAATATTTCCCACAAGACCACGCCCAACGACCGAGAACCGGATTTCGTCGAGAATCTGCTCTCGCTGATCGGCTCCGGAGCCATGTATCGTGGCGACAACAATTCCGGAGGGAAAACAGTGAACTTTAACAACAGTCTGGAATCAATGTTGAAAGTTACCGTGTGATCTGTTGCAGTGTATTCCATTGCCTGCTTCGCCATAACTAATCCGGCGAGTTTCGCCTCTTGCCCATAGCAGATCATGACATTCTTGGCGCACAAATCTCGATGAATAATAGAACGGGTGTGGAGATACACCAGTCCGCGCCTGACATGGTAGCCAAAGCGCATAAGAGTGCGTGTGGATAGTATCTGCCAGTCAAAATCCACCTGGTCAACTTTCGGTGGATGAGTGTTGAACTCCTGCTGAAGATGGTTAGCCTGGTCCTCATCGTATGGTAGAAGGTTGCCAGTTGGGTCCACCTGGTTGTAAAACCAGGTGTCACCGTGCGATTTCAGATAGGTAGTTTGGTAGCGTCCCGAACTCTGCGTGCTCCAGAAGTAGAAGAGTTTCGCCTACAGTCAATAGACCGGCTTCAGATTTAGCATTCTGTGTTTAATAGTTTGGAGATAACGGGACATTTTGGACATAAAATGCACCGAATACCCACTTTTTAATACTACTCCGAGAAGTGAGATGACAAAACATTCAAGTGTTGACCCGCTTTCACCAACATTTCCAGCTCTTCAGTCAATAGTCGCATCTGGCGAGGGTTGCTTGGGTTTTTTGGTCCCTTTGCTGCGATGATTGTCACTTCTTTATCTTCATGGATTCCTTCAACGTACCCTATCAGGGTAACGCTAGCATCGCTTGCGCTTAAAATCATCTTGCCTGAAATTCCAAAGGTCAATTAATTTTTCCAGCATCCTTTAAAGTCATTAAGATTGGCTGATTATACGGCAAAACTTGCGAAACACTCACTCAAGCGAATGTTTGCCAGCGGAATTCCTACTGTAGATGTTGAATATGCTGCTGGATTTCCGGAGATATAGAAAGCGCACCACGATTGCGGGACAGCAGATTTAGCAGTCTATACATTTTGGAAAAAATAAACCGGTAATCAATATGCTGCTTCTGCATGATGCCGTGTCGCTGCCGCCGGTGTCTGATTCGGATGCCAAGAACTGCGAACAAGATACTGAACAAAGTAACTGGAATAATGGTTCCCAACGCTGCCGGTAAAACATGTTCTGGCAGATGTGTTGGAGTTGCTGCTGTATTGTGAACAACATAAAATACTGCTGACACCAATAAGATGCAGACTGCACTTAAGTGCGAAGGTGCCATCGTAAAACAATCAACAATGAATGGTGCATTCTTAGAATAAACTATTGTCAAACCGTGCGGTAAAATGTGAGCGCAACCAGTGACACGGATTTAATGTATTTTACTGATTCTGGTACTGTTTCGAAACGTAGCGAATCACAACTTTAACTATATCATCAAGGTGCGGACTAAATACTTTTCGGCTGCAGTTGTAACTTGTAATTTGTAAATGTATAGAACAAATGTAAGTGTATAGTAACTGTATGGTACAAACAACATCTTAGATCAAACTGTAGTCAAACTCGTGAGGTAAAATATAACCATCTCCGTCAACATCGATTTCTTTGTACCATTCCGGAATTTCGGCCATTGCCCCTCTTGGATGCCGAGCAAGAATCTTATCGGACAACTTCAAGAACACTTTACATTCGTCCACATCCAGCTTGTCATCGCCATTGAGGTCTGCAAAAGAATGCGCACCATGTCAACACAACTGTACAAGCGAGTACCGGATCGTATAACTGCACTCAGCTGCAGTGCATGACACCCATAGCGGAGTATCAGACTTTGAAGAATACCAGTGCCAACGATTTTCTTACCGATGATAGCGAATTTGTGCTGCGCGGTACTATTGTACACAACTTCCCGTTTGCCGCGGCCTATTCTGCCGACGCTCACCGTGTTGGGCGGTCCGCCTAGTCCACCTCCATAACTGCACTGGCTCTTCGGCTTGCATCCACCGTTGCAGTTGCAGCAAAAAGTATTGCACTTGCCCTTTCCGCAACAACCAAAATGGCTAGGATCGCAAGTTCGGAACACGCGGCAACGGCTGTAATTCCGGCTAGTGCAAGGACACCGACCACCAGCAAAGTGTTGAGTGAACCGGCCATTGTTAAAACGTTTCTCGTAGGAAAAACTTGTAGACTGATAAAGCTGTGCCAAATGAATACGTCTGCAGCGACTGTTATAGAACTGTGTGTAAATATGCTGTTTTATATGTAATAGCTTTAATACTTATTGCGTGTGCGTATAAATACCACCGTATCAGTGTTGTAATCAGTGCAACTGATAGAACTTCGTGAATTTTGACGCCTCGCCCAAACCGGTATCAGATCGGTTCATACATGTGGTGCACAGGATCGTTCGAGCATTCCAGGCAGAAGTGATCTAATCTCGCTGTTAATCAACTACTAATTCGTAATATGCTTATGAATGTTTCGACAGACGAGTGAATCATACGACTATCGAAGCAGTTATCAATTTGATCGAAATACCTGTTTATAGCGTTTCATTGTACAGGAGTAACAGGACCCACACCGGAGCCACCGAAACAAGCTACCGTGACTAAGAAAGCTCCTGGTTTGGAAATGGTTATGGCTATTGAGGTTGGTGGACCGAATCCGGCGGCAGCGGTGGCGGAAGCCGTTGATAAAATCCAACTGGGCGACGACACGTCGATGGAGTATCAGGATTCAAGACACAGAGGCCGAGGTGATTGTCGAAGAATAATTGTTTAATTATTACTATGAGTACGTATATGCGCTGGTGAATCATTATTTAGTTTAACTAATACTTTTGCTATTCTGACAAGAAAACCTAGGGTAGATTTAGCATTGTAGTGGTACGTATCGTACTTGTAAGTTGTAATCACTGGCACTTACAGTTACGTATAATCGCGTGTACGGAGTCGTGAGTGTACGGTATGAAGTTAACATTGATCTCAACCACCGATGGTAATCTTCCCACGATACCAAATTATTGTCATAATTAGTCTGCTGCGAGTTGAAAATTATGAAATCTATAACAATAGGAGTACATACAGATACGTACGCTACTGGTTGCACTAGTGTATCTAAATAAATACATATAGGGGGTAAAAGTAAACGTGTTCCACCGTTCCCCTGTACTGCTGCCGTCACCCGGCTGGAGTTTGACGTTGTGGCTGAACATGGCGCTTACGTACCGCGCCAGATTTAACCATATGTATTGCCGTAACGTAACACTCCAGGCGGGTGACGGCAGCAGTACAGGTGAACGGTGGAACGCGTTTACTTTCGCCCCTTATATTGTACAGTACACTACACTCAGTACACTGACTAGTGACTACAGTATGCTACGTCGTTAAGACCTTTAATAAGTATCACAGTGCTAGTACAAAACTGAGTACCAAAGCAGAATATAATTTATAATAAAAACACTTCTTCGATGCTATCCTGTTCGGGGATTGTACCCATCACGCAGATCGCGTTTCCCCGTTGCATTTGAATAGATAGCCGCTGCCTAAAAAACTCTTTTGCGCGTTTTTGGCCGGTAGCAGTTGCAATTCCGTTTCCTATCTTCTGGACGAGCGTTTTAGTTCCATTTCCCCAGGGTCCGTAGATTTCAAATGCTGCTGCCATGAAATTGTACCTTGGTTGCAGCCAGCCGTGTTTTGTCAGCTTTCCTCGCTCCGCGTGCTCGGCCGCAGCCCCGACGTTCACCAGGGTCCGATCAATATACGAAGCCGCTAGTGTGTCTACGCAAGTCACGTCGATAGCCAGTGGCTTTCCGCGCTCCCAGGGTACGAGCGTGATCACGTCCGGCCTTTTGCGATCTTTCACAGAGAGACCTTTTGGTTCCATTCTGGCTGGGAAACCTGCGGTTTTCAGGCCGCGGGTGAACTCTCCGCTGAGGCCATCATGTCTTGGCAATCTGCCGGCTGACCGTTTACAACGGAGCCCGTGCCGCCCCAGATCATCCACTAGTCCACCGCAAACGCACACGTGAGGAGTGACGATTGGAGCTCCCAAGCGTAGCGCTATGCTTATGCGAAAAGTGTTGTTTTCCAGCAAATTTCCGAGACATGCTGCGGGTAACGCATGAATCCATACACCAGATTCGGGGACAGATACCGCCTTTAGGTGAGCGATTTTCTCCTTTGTGGCCCGCAATTCGGTTAGCCTTGCATAAGTGTTCAGCGTTGTGGGTGTGTCCCAGGCTTTTTGAACATGTCGTAACACTTCAGACGGAAGTTCATCAGTGTCAGCCAATAGTTTCCAGGCGCGCGTGGCGGCAGACAAATCGGTAGCCGTTAGCGTCGGGCACAGCCTTGAAGTCAGCGGAAACAACGAGGAAGCCGATGCCAAGTAGGCAGAGGGAGCTAGCTTCTCGGTGCGTCTGACTCCCAAGCCGCCGAAGCGAACGGGGAGAGATGCCTGGAGCCACGTAGGATGATCCATCCGTACGTTGGTGATCATTTCCACTGCATCGCGGAACACCTGGTCGAGCTTGTACAGCTCCTGCGGAAACATCCAGGCGAGAGAGGTGCGCAAGATATGCACGATTTTCGGCGCTCCTAAGCAATTTTTCAGCAGAAACAACGCTTGATGTTTAGGAATCAACTGCAAACGGCTGCACATTACCCCGAGCTGACTGATTTTCTCGTTAACAATCGGTACGACTGCTGGTGGTAACAAAGGGGATCCGAGCAGACAAAGCTTATCTGCTGTTAGCACTGTAATTCCAGGAAACAAAGTAGTGAAGTTTTCGATGACCGATAATCGCTGTACTTCAGTACCACCACAGAGAAAAAGTTCACATTTCGCAATGTTGACGGAAAGGCCAATCCGTAGGGCTTCCGTGATAAGCAGCTGGAAATTGCGTAGTACACTTGACGGGTGGCCTCCTAGCGTCCCGTCATCCATGTACCAGGCATTCAAGTCCGTGTTGATTTTATCGATGATTAGTTGCAATACCGAACAAAACAATGCAGGGCCAAGAGGATCTCCTTGTTGCACACCAGACTGGGAGGAGATGACAGTTTCCCCCAAAAACAGCATCGAATACGTACCGTAGCACAGCTTTATAAAAGGGTAGTATTCCGGAATGACTTCAGAGGCTATTTTCAACACTTCTTCCCGTGATACGCAGTTAAAGGCGTTCGTGAAGTCAATTTTCAGAAGGGCCTTGACATCTTTGCTATACTGTAGGAGGAAATCTCTAGCAGTATGTATAACAGCTTCGACACCTCTCTTAACACCCGAACCGAGCTGATGTGGCTGTAGCAATTCCGATGTGACTGGCCGGATGCGGATATCCACTGCTTTTGCGGCGAGACGTCGATACACGATGCCAACAGCGATTGGACGCAGGCCTCCGTCTTTTTTGCGTAGAGCGACGAGTCGGGCACCACAAAGCAGAGGGACAATTTCCGTCGGTATATTGCCTGTCAGAATAAGATTTAACAGATCTGTCAGTGAGTCACACAGAGCAGACGAAGCGTCATCCAGTCTTGCACCGATCAGATCCAGCAGGTGTTGGGGTCGCAAATAATCTAACCCACCTGCGCTACCACGAGGCATCGCCTCTAAAACTGACAACACCTCCGTTGGAGAAAGCGGGACAAACGGCGTGGCTGGTAGATCAGCGGGGAGAGTAGGTAGCGGGGCTGCAGGGTGTTTGCGCTGCATGCTCTCTATCACCTCTGGAGTGATGTCAGCTACGGAGTCCGACGAAAGGAGAGTGCGAACGGCTCCGCTCACATTAAAGTCGTCAATTTGAATGCCAACACGACGGGAAATCTCATCCTCGGGTGTAGCGTGCCGAGGCTTGCCAGGAGCGGAGGGTTCTTCGCCATCGAGTTCTCCGCTTTCAAATTTCGCGATGCGATCACGTATATGTGAGGTGATTGAAGTTTTCCGTGACTTTTTAGTATCCCCTGGGAGAGACAGGATCGCTGAGGGAGCAGACAGCAGCTTATGCCACGACGGGGTATCATTGGTAGAAACGACGCCCTGCATAAGCTTCGTCAAAGCTATGGCTACCGATGCGCGGGCGGCTTTTGGTATCCGGCGCATAATTTTTCTCCTAGCCGTGATAAAGGAGGGGGTCGTTCCGACCGCGGGCGATAGACGGCTGCGCGCGGGCGATAGATGGCGATAGACGCGCTGAGCCTGTGGGGGTCCTTGAACGCGGCCTAGACCATTTCTTTGGCGCTCGAGGCATTTCCCGCTTCCACGATGGCTGCCAGCTCGTAAGCAGGTGAACTGACAGTCTGGGCAAGTCCACGTCATTTTCACTGTAGGGGAAAATTCACGGCAGAGAGCGAATCGAGAACACTGTGGTAGGAAGCAACTTACAGGATGCAGAACGGTGGGGACCCGATAACTACGGGACAAGCTGCCACGACAGCCTCTGATGGAATTCCGAAGAACTTCCACAGACTAGGTCCCGTAGCCACCCATTATACACGGATGAGGGAAATTAATCATCCGGGGGCGAAGTCATTCGGGAATACTACCCTTTTATAAAGCTGTGCTACGGTACGTATTCGATGCTGTTTTTGGGGGAAAGTGTCATGCTACGTTCAATGTTTTAGTAAATACTACAGTGCTTAGCAGCACGTAATCATAGTGAATGATCGGTACTTAACGCTTGGTACAGATTATTATTATTATTATTATTACGGCACAAGAGCAGACAACCCCAAAGGGACTTCAAGTCTGGTCGAAGATATAGTGCTTGACCGACGGACTAAACCCCCGTTTTCTTGAACATGGAGGACCTTCGCTTCGCTTCGGTCGAAAAAGTGGCGTCGGGAATAGTGGTGTCGTAATGGTAAAAAACCGTCTCTGGAGATTATCGAGCTGAAAGGCGGTATCCCTAACCTTTGCCCGTATTATTTTAGAAAATATGTACAGTACCTAATAGCAAAAAGGGTGCCTGTAAAAGCCGTTTTTTTCAGAAATTTATTTGCAAATTGAAATTATCTGAAATTATTTGATATTAGTATTATTGAAATGATTAGAAAATTAACTGCGCTGAATCAGGCCGCTACGCGAAATTTTAAGGCATTTACTTGGAATTTATTTACTTGGAAATGCTGTTCACCAGATTTCAGTTCTTGATTCGATTTGTGTGGACTTTTTCTGCCTTTTTTAATTTTGTGATTGTCCTCAACGATTGTACCCCCTGCAGTTGCTACGTTTATGCAAAAGCTACGTTTCACTGCACTAAAATGGTTGTTAACAAATACAATTTTTAATGCATTGTAAGCTATTTAAAATGCCGCAATTTATATAGATAAAAATTATCAAATGCTGTGTTTCTCAGAATATTCAGGTACTTCAAATCCTTTAAGGGAACCACATTAGCATGCACCTTTTTAAGCTTAAAAAACCGCCAGTTAATCATCAAGTACCCTAATAATACCACAAGTTAATATTACACTTGTACAAATAATTAATAAGTAAATATAAATTGTTGATGTACGTACTTTTCTGTAATCTTTTGTGCTCACTTCTGTTTCTTCCACCGGCTTCTGTTGATGCTACTATGGTTATTCTATAAACTGACCCCATTGCATTTTGCTTTTTCTGCTGTTGTGCAGCGCTAGTGCAATCGATCTTCTATACCGTTTGCTGTCAGTCGGGTATATATTGTGACCTGTGAGTACAACTTACAAGAAGAAAGCCGCGGTTTTGTGGCAGCGGCTGTATGGATCGTTCTCTATGGTCTGCATCACGCATCTGCAAGTATTCAGTCGCAGTTGCACCAGTGCGTACCGCAAGATTACCATGTACCACCAAGTGGAGGGCACTGCAAGCTCCACGCACACTGCAAGCAAGATGATTATTGATTATTCACCGGGATTATAGGCTGCGGCCGCAGGCACCATATTTGACGTAAGGAAGATCTTTCATTAGTAGCAGCGGCACTAATTTAAAGGCTGTTCTATAATCCATTTTACGGTTTAAGGACATTTTCAGGGCGGAGAATTTTATTGAATTTTCGTTAAACAGAATTCTCGTTAAATAGATGGTCTATTTAACATTCATTTTCGTGTTCTTATAAAAACTTAAAAGTGGAAGTAGACTACAATAGTTATTGTGCTTGTTGTGATCGGTTGCGAATATTTCTGTGCAATGGGAAAACCGGCCAAGACGTTCACGGTCGTGCTTAACCGCGACCAGAACTGGGCCTATCACGAGATTATCACGGAGGCCCTGTTCGTGCTGTGGGCCGGATGCCATTTGTCCTTGAAATTCGGTACGCGCTTCTTCCCAGAATGGGAAATAACGCGCAGCGACCCGGACAGCTATACAAATCTGGATTTTCTTCTGTGGTTGCTGCTTCGTCGGGTGAGCTCATTATTTTCTCCGAAAAATGCTTCGAATAATGAAAGGTGTAATCTTCCTTTCCTCGATATTATCGGTTCTGTAGGCAACAAACCAGGGCACAATTACCGTGCCTAAATTCGAAATATTCTCATTTTTTGTGGAGTACTTTACGGTAATCCGTAATCACATGCATAAAAATAGAATTTTACTTGCAAAGATCACTAGGAACTGGCCTTAAGAAAAGGCAGATATATGATTACTTAATATTTACTATTTAGGTATTCAGTTTACTCTGCACTGTAGATATTGCTGCACAGTCATATTAATGCTTAATTAGTCCGGCAATGCGCGAGGTATCAAGTAATTTTCTGCCGAAAATGAATTTATGCCATAGAATCGGAATCATATAACGAACGTCAATCTTTTTTTGAAAATTTTGCAGTAGTTGTTAAAAATTTTAAAGGGTGGATAAAAAGTCCACCTTGTGGGCACTGTATGTAGGGCGGTTGCCGGTGTGACATGGCGTAAAATCCCTTGTACACAACTTTGTATTGATCTGATGTATTCGAATTTATCTGCGTAACGCGTTTGATAGCTGTTGATATCAAGGTGTGTACAGAGTAGTTGGTTTGTCCACATTAGTTCGTCATCAGTACATTCATCGTTCAGTTTATACTGTTTAACGTTCAGTTTAACGCTCAGTTCAGTTTAACGATGAATGATTCATCGTTCAGTTTATACAAAGGACGTTCCAAAAGTAACTTTCCCTAATTTGTATCTTCTGCCAGAAGCGCATCCAGCTACAAATGTCCATATCGTTACATCCGTCCTTCATTAAGGAATCGAAGCAGCACATACGAGATTAGAACAATTTTTAATTCGACAGTTTTTCTCAGTGTGATTAGAGTCTGCCTACTCATTAATTTGATTACAATTAGACTGTGAAAGTTGCCGTAAAGAACCAATGACGGTGTCGGACATTTTTTCTCGCGGCTTGCCGGTGTAGTATTTATTATTTTTTTTGTTCCCGCTTATTTTTCGTGAAGCACAAAACGTACCTGAGCTAAGACTCTTTTACCTTGCAAGAGAATTACTGAATAAAAGAGCTTGTTCTAAAGTCTTTTTTAGGAAAATAAGAACGATAAGGGTCTATGTGACGTACGAATACGTACTACATCGTTACACGACATTTCATAACTCGACATTTCATAACGTAACGTTTCACAACGTACATTTCATGGCCGTAACGTTTCATGACCGCAACGTTTCACAACTGCAACATTTCATGACCGCAACTTTTCACAACCGTAACTTTTCATGTCCGCAACTTTTCACAACCATAACATTTCATGACCACTGCATTCTATCAATAATTTTAGCCGTTTTACTGTATTCTCATTTTAACGTAGTAGTCAACGGTGACAAAAATTCTGCCATCATCCAGCGTTATTTCTAGCTACGCCTGGGCGGTGCGGTTATGCCACAAAGTTGCCAAATTACTCAAGCAATCTTGCAATTACAAATATTTTTTTTAACTGGTAGTGTGAGTCATGATCTACAGTATATTCCTTCAATTAGAGTAAAAAAAAAATTCTTAAATTTTTAATTCTTAAATTATCCCTTTGGCACATACGTTGCAGAGCTGTATCTGATGGCATCTTGCAGACTGCTTGTAAGGGCAAATCCTTGTTGACGATTAACGCCGACTGTTGTGGCTTTGATAAGGTTTCGCCCGCGCGTTTCTTCATATCCATTTTTGACAAGTGAGCCAGTACTCCCGCTTTATCGGCTAGGGGTTGTGCTGGGTGACCTCTGGAATATCTCCGTCAATAAAGGTCATACGTCCATGGCAGGTTGTCTTACGACATCGCCACAACTTAGAACTGTTTTTCTTATCCTGTTTTTCTTAGAACTGTTTTTCTTATATAATACTGCCAAATTTTGAGAGGAGTTATCTGTTCGTCACTGAATCGGTTATGGTTGAATCGTGCATTACGAAAAAACTAGATAATCGAAGGTACCACGAGAAACAATATAGGTACTTAATGAAAATAAAAATTATATGCGGCATCAACCGCAAACCATGCCAACTAATTACATGGTTCAGGTCGATCCACTTTTTATAAAAATATTCGGCTTTACATCCGTGATTTGGAAAGCGGATCCAAATGTCACGGTTGTGAAATGTCCTGGTTTTGAAATGTTACGGTTGCGAAAAGTCTGGGTTGTGAATTGTTATGGTTGTGAAACATCCAGGTTGTGAATTGTTACGCCATGAAACGTTACGTCATAAAATATCGGGTTGTGAAATGTTATACAATCCTCGTATGTACTACATACGAGTACGAGCCATTTCACGAGATTACTTGACCTGGCAATGCTGGCAGTGAGTATCTGTGTTGTTGATATTTAGTTGTCATTCGATTAATGACCAGTGCATGTCAATACGTGAAAAAAGCGAAAGCTTAATCCTCAGCAGCCGGACGGCAGCATGCATGATGTGATGTGGTAGTAACCGTAACCTTCTGTAGTGATTATGACCTTGTATAGCGGTATATGCTGTACCTATATCTGGTAATAATTAAAATTAATCAATAAATATGCGAGCGAGAGTTCACGACCATGATAAAAATTTGTTTTTGTGAGTCCCCGGTGCTGCAGTAAAAAAATTAATATAAATATAAATACGAATAACTTGTACTTACTCATTGCACAGTATGTGATAAATGCAACCTTTAAATTGTTGTCTGGTCACGCCCTCCTTGACCATGGAAGATGAAAATATTTTTTAAGCGTACTGCGACAGTACACTACCATTTTACGGAAAACGAAAATTTTCTGAATTTGGAGAGGGCCAATGGGCCCTTGTAATTGCAACTATTGCGCCTCGTAGTGTAGTGTTACAAGTGGCAGAAGCGTACAACGGTCCCGCAAAGGAAAGGTCAGACTGAAAAAGGCAAGCGGAAATAAAACGCAGTTTTATTCATAAGTGAAAAATAACATCGGAAGACAAAATCTGCGCGATGGTAGTGCGCAGGGAAAAATCGAATATCAAGGAAAATTCATAAAATGCGATAATCACAATCATCGAAAAACACACGTGACTCGATCGGATATACCGATGAGGAAAGATCCGAAAAAGAGAAATACACGCGATGCGTCATCTACTGTGAAAGTAGTCTAGATTGCGATCTCGCTTTCCAAATTCGATATAAATTTGCTGTAAATTTACATATGTGTCCGGCAGCCAACGTTCTACATTTTGTGCTGTCTCACTTTTGGTAGAATATAACCGGCTGCGTATGGGATAACATCGCCTCCCCTTGGAAGTCATACATGCCGCAAACGGTCACTAATCCGGTTATCACAAGTCGAGAGCACTCTAATGCCGGTTACATCGGAACCTTCGCCACCGTCCTCATAACCGTACTGCTGGGCGTCTCTGCTGCCTGCTCCGCTTGGGTCAACCGTCACTGGAGAGTTCCCCGCTGGACACAGCATCTCCGCAACTGTCGCCGCATCACGACCTGGCTCGGCTACGGTACAACCTCCGGCGGCGCGGGTGATTTGGATTTTGATGAGGATCCGAAGACACCCGAGTGGCGAATGGTGGTGTTTAACATCCTTCTACTCTATGCCAGTATGTCTGTGTTTGTCGGGTTGTGGCTGGTGTTCTGCGCTTTGCCGGTGGTCATTCTGGTCGGTCTAACCATTGCCTTTGTGGGTCGACACTGCGGCGAAGAAGCTCTGTTCCCGACTACTGCCGTGTGCTTCTGTTTGCTTGCTGTGTATTGCATCGGCAGGATTTGGGGGTTATGGATGAACAAGACGTATTTTATGCAGCTGCATGAGATTATCAGGTACGATGTGTTCGTGAAATTAAAGAACAAGATTTCTATCTAATATTACTCTCACTCCACGGAAAACCAGTCACTTTCGATGGGGTTCACTGCGTCTGCATCGCTGCCAAAATTTAATTTTCAACGTCGACTCACTGTACTGACAGTTAATCGAAAACGAGGTAAACGCAGCCGCTGGTCCGTGGGGTGAGCGTTACCCTGTGGACAGAGAATAGGGTCGCTCAGTTTCCTAAAATAATTACGTACGTAGGTTTCATTACGGAGATAAACAGCTTTCTTTCAGAAGAGTCAAAATTATCACTTTTATGAAAATTTTAGTCATGAATTCTTATTTTCTCCCCAAGGAGTGCCACGGGAATGCGCCTTTTCGTGCAACCATTCGCGGCTTATCAGGAAGTGGCACACGAGACGGAAGCAGCGACCGATAGTTCGTTGCCCGCTAAGCTCGAGACGGCAACCGATCCTTCGTTGTCCGCTAAGCTGGAGGCGGTGTGGTCCTTATGGTTCACGATCATTCTGATGGTGATGCCGGCGCTTTACGCTGTGGCTAACCACTGCGTAGCGACCCTTGAAGGACTGCCGGGCGATAGCGGCTGGATGGATCCGTTCTCTCTGCTTTTATTTTCATTGGCCAGTGGCCGTGGCGGATCGACATCTGCCTCTGGACATTCTGCAAGCGGCTGGACATTCACCAATTGCACCGAGTGCTGTGACAATTACGCAACGGTATGAAGGCAGTAAAATGGCTGATTGGCATCGTTTCTTGGTTTCTGTGTCCTCAAGTTAACAAAATATCACTTATGGTGCTAGAAAGAGGCAGTTGGGTGAATGTAGGGTAACTGCATAATGCACATAGCCATTGCATCAGTTCCAGCAGATTATCCTCAACTTATGCAGTAGAAATCTCTGTAGTCTTAAAAGCGTGGGTGTAGCCACCGCGTGTCCACACACTGCGACATAAACTGTCAATGCTTCCCAACGCCCCACTCACGCAGTACGTTTTAACACACCCTGCCTTAGTCCGTTGAGTAGATCAGGTCCATTTTCTTGCTGCTCTCTCTCAAAGCGGTGGTCTTCTTTTGGAACTACAGTAGTACTTACATGCTTTCTTAGGGAATGAGCCAAACCAACGCGATGCTGTCGTACTATATCGATTTACACCAACCCCGTTGGACAACCAGGCATCCGGTTATTTTGGCGCTATTTAACACGGTCATCTCGCCCGTGACGGAACGTTTCTACATGGCGTGGATGGGGATCCTTGCGTGGGGTGTCGGGTTGCCAATGATTCTTTTGGGATTAACTGGAGCAGCATGTGGTGTTTGGCAATGCTTCCGCGGTCTAATCAGCGGCCTGTACCAGTGGATCTGGTAAGCGATTTCAATATACCTATCACTATGAACTGCCTCTATTGCAAACGGTGCATACTGCATAGACCTAATGGTAACAAACACTAACGCCGTTAAATTCGGCCCGTCTTTCGACAATACGCATTCCCGTACAGGAAACCGAAAACGAACCAGGATGATCCGGAAGACCGCAAAGCGGAAACGACTAGCCCTGATAAACCGGCTGTCCAGACAAAGAAGAGACCGTTCTGCGTGTGCGCTTTGTGGATGGGTATTGAACGCTACATCCTGGTGGTATTTTCTCGTTGTTTGTTCTGGACATTCATCCCGTTTCCGGTGCTGGTACTGATGGTCCCGGAACAGTTTTTGTTGCCAGTTTGGCTGCTGTTGTTGACAATCATCGAAGTGGGTCTCTACGGCTGGGTGTGGAAAAACATCTGTTGGGGCTATCGAGAACTGCATACAGATTGCGGCGATCGCGCACACCCTGTGAAAGCTGAAGCGGAAGAAGACGACGCATCGCTTTTGACAGCGTGAAAGCTGTCAAAGGTAACCAAATAGGCGTAAAGCTTTTAGCCCTGCGCTTGTTGATTCAGTCATGATCATTTATCATTCGCTTAACGTTCGTATTGAAGTATCGCCATACCACCAATACGTGGCGTACAGCTGCTTGCTTAAGATACAACAGTTACAGGTGATGTACTTGTACTGTACTTGTGCACTTTCGCATAGATTAGCCTATTTCAGATTGCACGGTTTATGTTTCTTTCGGCTCCGGCTCCATGTGGAACCTTCGGTTCCGGGTTGTTTTACGTCCGTTCGCGACGTTAGCAGCTGTAACCTAGCGTCGTGCGGTGACGCGTAAAAACTATCTGCCTTACGCGGATGCTTGCAACGGCTCAGACACATCAGTGAATGGCAGGCCAGCTTATGCTGCCCGTGGATCTTTTTTTAGCGCTCAGACCGCCGACCGTTAGCAGGGTGGTCACGTCCTCGCGCGTACTCGACTCGATAATTTTTTCGTTGCTGTACGTGACCAAAATGTAACCGCACAAAGATCTGAAGCAGTTTTCATCCTGCTAACGTACTGCTTATCTGACGCCGTGCACTTCTATGTACGGAGCTTCTACCGTATGCAATCTGAAATAGGCTATTGATTAGTGTTGTTCGTACGCCTGCATGCGTTCTTAATCGCAGTTATGTTATTAAAATACTTTATTGACAAGTTGTACAAGCTAAAAGCCATTTACACTTGAACTTGATAAACCAATTTAGAACAAAAAGAACAATTCTTCAAGCTGTTTAGAACACCCAACCGTTCCCAGAACAGAAGCAGCGTTCCCACGCTGAATTATTTTATTACCTCTTCATCAGTGCTAGTACATGTTATTCGTACAATACAATAAAACACCATGAAAGAAGTATTAAGGATAGATTTTTGAACGGGCAAAACCTTACGGTGGACTGTTCATCCGTCCGGACTGCTTTGCCTGTTACAAATGTGGAACGTATAGGACTTCTTTGAGAAACTATGGATTGATATGAAAAGTTAAAGTATTTAGGAATAAAGAACGGAATGATGACAGGCATCTCCTGTACTAACGCAATAGACTCTTGAAAATAAAAGCGTAAGTATTTATATCGAATTTTTGGACCCCATACACACGCAACAAAAGCAAAGAGTCTCATTAAGCCGTTATTGCTACTGCACTGTATGCGACAAACGCCGGCAATGACATTAATTTATTATTATACAATAGCCGCAACTTGAAAATTTGTACATTGTATCGCGCATGAAAGGTATTTTAGTGATTTTACTGTTTCGAAACGTAGCGAATCACAACTCTAACGACATCATCAAGGTGCGGACTAAAAACGTTTCGGCTGCAGTTGTAAAATAATGTATTGTACAAATGTATAGATACAGATACAAAAGTAAATGCATCGTAAATGTATGGTACAAACAACAGTCTTAGTTTAAGCTATAGTCAAACTCATGAGGCAAAATGAAACCGTCCCCGTCAACATCGATTTCTTTGTACCATTCCGGAATTTTTGCCAATGCTCCCCGCGGATGCCGAGTAAGAACCTTATCGGACAACTTCAGGAACGCTTTACATTCGTCCACATCCAGTCTTTCATCGCCATTGAGGTCTGTAAAAGAACGCACACCGTATAAGGAAAACTGTACAAGCCCACACCTGATGGGGGTTCAGCAGTAGTGCATGAAGCTCCTTACGGGATACAAAAACATTTGAATGCAACAGCCAACGATTTTCTTACCGATGGTAGCGAACTTCTGCAGCGCGGTACTATTGTACACAACATCCCGTTTGCCGCGGCCAATTCTCCCGACGCTCATCGTATTGGGCGGTCCACCGAGGCCACCTCGTCGACTGCACTGACTCTTCGGCTTGCATCCACCGTTGCAGTTGCAGCAGAAGATGTTGCACTTTCCCTTACCGCAACAGCCAAAATGACTATGGTCGCAGCATGCGGCGACCACTGTTATTCCCACCATTGTAAGGACAAGGACCACCAAAACAGACCTGAGCGAGCCGGCCATGATTGAGAATCAGTAAGACACCCTTTCGGTTAGGCAAAGTTGTTCCAGAAAGTTAATACGACTGCAGCAACTGTTACTGAGTTATGTAGTTAAAAACTGATGTTTTATATACTTCTATACAAAATAGCCGCTGCTTCTGACGTTTACTCATTGGAACGAGGACGTAAAGATTAAAAGATGCATACCGTACCATCGTTGTAATCGGTGCAACCGATGGAGATGCCTTGATAATGCCGAACCGCCAGAACCGGTATCAGATCGACTCATACATGTAGTGCGCAGGAACTCGGAGCATTCCAAGTAGAAACGATCTAATCACCCTGCTAATCATCAACTCAATTGCAAGCCATGTAACATGTTTATCGATTAACTTCTGAAGTCGGATGAATCAACCAGGCACTTATTCTATACTCAAACAGCCAAATTTGGGACTATCGATCGGCCTGCTGACATTAGCACTTGCATCTTGCGCATTTCCCAACAAAAACCATCGACCGATATCTCAAACGAACGAGGAAGAAATTTTAGGAATTTTGATACCAAAGAAGTTGTTTTTTATGTGGTCTAAGAGAAAATCGGCGCATCGTAGACATAGCACAGGATTCGAATCCACGGTAAATCGTATGGTTTGTTTACGACAGACTAAAACAGCTCGATTATCTCTTAGATCTCATACAGAATGATCTTTCTAGTATCGAAATTCTTGAAATGGTTTTCTCTTTCTTTTGAAATGTTGCTTGATGGTTTTCGTTGTGAAAATGCGCAAGGTACATGTGTTCAAATTTTTGCGCTTTTCCTTTTTATTGTTCATTATTCATTCATTTTTTTTGTCATTCGGTCTTGGACCGAATGTAAGGCAATTTTGGCGTCCATTGTATTTATAAGAAATCCCGTTGTTGTGCTTCACTACAGTAAAATCTATGAGACTGAACATCTGCGAACATTGAACACGGCTTTAGTCTTTACATTGACCTCTCGCCTAGGAACCGGCGCGTCTCGTAGACTATAACATAGGGGGGCCACCGCGAATATTGAACATCTGTGTAAAGTGAACATTGAACGCTTTACTCGGAACCGTACTAATGAAATGACTCTGTTCAGTCTGAACAAAGCCATAAAATTCGGCGGTGGTATGTGAGTACGATGGCACAGAGAGAATAGCAAGCGCTAAAACCTGGCATATGCCACATTTTGGCACCACGTACAGAGTACAAGCGGATCATTGAGTTTTGTCACCTGGATATTCTTAAAACTATTGCCAGTACATGTCCAATTTCTCCTTTAAAGTGTCAGCACATGTAAGGAAGCTCCGGAATATAAAATTTCAAAAGGTCACATTGCATTTTACCGTTTGCGCAAAATACCACGAATACAATACAAAAGCGCATTTAAAATGCAAGCGCATTTAAAAGAATGGAGAAAGCGCATTCAAATTGCGATCGCGGCACTTCTAACTCTAGTAGAAGGCACACCGTTGAAGTCTGCCTTACGGTGCTTTATTTGATTAATTAAGTGCAGCTTATCGAGACGTTTTGCTATCAAGCGTCAACATTAGCAATTTAGCATCGTAGCAAAGTTTGCCCAGAGTCGGTACACCGCATTAATGGCTTAGTTTGTGAGAATTGTTACCATAGGGTAACACAAGCCAAGAAGTAAGTAAAGCTTCTGTTCAACACGAAGCAAAGCCGACACAATTGTTTTAAAAAATCGTTAATATAAAAGTTCACGATAGGTACTGATTTTGAAGTTATTTAGTGTTTTTGGAGTAGCCGTACTTCAGCACAATAGCGCACCACAATATGTACTGTAAATATGTGCGCACGTACATGCATGGCTCAAAGACATTTCGTCGACTAACACTTCGTCGACCGACACCAAGGGTGGAGGATAGTGCAGATTTCGGAGAAACGGATCCCGATCTTGGTCGGCAGAACACGTGGCGAATTCCTTCTTTTGCGGCATTTCCAACGTCATTGTTCAGCAGCAGCAAAAACACCTGACACAACGTCAAACATCAGCAAGGGCTACAAGTATATACATTATTACATAATGTATACAGTCCAAAAAATTAATAATGTAGTTTTGGATATAATCATTGCCGCTTTCCTGTAGTATAGCGTCATACAGCATGAACTGCTTATTTATTTCTGAATTATTAGTTTACGGCAGAGTGGCAATGGTGCAGATTTAAATTTGACATTATTAAGTGTGTGGGTGAACCGTCATTTCGTTGATGAAATTCGTCGACCGTCACCTCGTCGAACACGACGTCGAGCTGATGTTTCGCTAGACCGTCCTGGTATCCTTAAATTTTCTTATGTTGTTATGTTTCTTTTGTTTTCTTACGCTTTCTTATATTTTCTTATGTTTTCTGATCTTTTCTTATGTTTTTTGATGGTAGTCGCCCTCGTGACGGTTGACGGCCCTCGAGTGGGCCATAGCGAGTTCCAGATTCGGTTTTTTCCAGTTTCCTTTCTATTTCCGATAAATATTTCGCAACCATTCGCGTTAAAAGTGAAAGGGTATACCTAATCCGATGACAGTACCGGGTTTGACTGTTATAGCCAAATGATATAGTACTTTGTTATTGAATTTGACGAGATAAACCTTTTCGAATTGGTTCTGGCGTGCGGAAAATAATATTCTTGCACTGTATGCATTACGACTTACGTTACCTGTTTCGGCTAACTTAGATCAAATGTTCTCTGTGATGCCACTGATTAGGCCACTCGTTTCTGCTGTTTGATCACAATAATTTACAGCGATATCAATACTGCATGGTTACAAATATAAAATAGAAGCACTAATATTAAAACAAAATTAATGGTAATGGTGGTCATACTTTTACAATCCTTTAATTATAAAACTTTTATTTCTCAATATGTATAAGGCGAGCATCCCTCAACAAAACTGATCAAATGAAGAATTTGTCCCAATTAACATGGGAAGGGACAGTGCACAAAACACTCATCGCATTGCCACGCATAATCTCTAAACTTAAACGTTGAAACAAAAAAGTAGAACGGCTCTCGCCCGTCCTTAAAAACAACTTTTTACCAATCTCTTTTAACGTAATAATGCCGGTCTCACACCAAGTGCCAAAAGTCTCGCATGCAAAGGGGACAAAATTACAGCGATCCATAAGCGACTTGTATTTTCCAATCTTCTCCCGGCAGGCCAGTTCAGCGGTAGCGCCAGCACACTTTGAAGTCGCGTCGATGTATGAATCCGCCATCGTGTCTCTGCAAGTGACGTCCCAAACTAACGGCTGTCCGCGGTACCACTTCCAACGCGTGGCTCCATCCGGGCGCTTTCCGTTTTCACGCAAAAAGCCAATGGGCTCCGGATATGCTTCAATGCCGGCATTACATAGCGCTCGCAGTATGATATCGTTGATACCATTATGGCGTTCCCTTCTCCCGATGCACTTCTTGCAAGCTAGCCCATGGTATCCGTTTTCCGCAACCTCTTTGCCACATCTCGCACACGAGTGCTGCTCTACGATCTTGGCGCCAAGCCATAGGCCAACAGAAATGCGGAAAGTCTGATCATCCAGGAGGTTGCCGAATACTTTCGCGGGAAGGGCGTTAAGCCAGGCCCCGGCGTACTTCGTGCTGACTGCTCTCAGGCGAGCTTCGGTTCTTTTATCTACACCAATAATATTCCACAACGTGTCCACATCCTTTTGGATTACCGCGTTATCCCAAACGCATTGGTGAACACGTGCCAGATCTAACGGCAGTTCTTCACACGCAGATTCCAGCTTCCAGTTTTGGCACGCATCGCTGACCAACTGTTCGCTGTTGCTGTTGAAGATCTGTGATGATAACTGACGAGTTGCAAACATGGAAGCCAAAAAGGCCGAAGGAGCCAATGCTTTTGCTCGTCGTACACCCAAACCTCCTTTGGCAACAGGAAGCGTTGCCTGCGTGTATACATGGCCATCCAGTTTGGTGTTGGTGATTTCTTCAAGGGCAACTTTGACGTGCAGGTCGAACTCATCAAGCAGTTCCGGCACTTTCCAACACGGGCTGCATCGCAACGTGTACATAAGCTTCGGGATGGAAAGGCAATTCCGCAGGAGGTAAAATCCATGATGGGCGTTAAGTAATTGCAAGCGGTCTGTAAAAATTTTTAACGAAGCAATTTTCTGTTGCAGTAAGAGGGTTATGGCCTCATCAGTTAATGGTGCCCCAAGAAACGTTACCGTTTCAGGCTGCAAAACAATCGCACCAGGGGCAATTGAATGCAGCCTGTTCTTGGCCACCTCGCGTTCTTCAGAAGTACCACCGATCAGCAGCATTTCACACTTCGCGGGGTTCAATTCCAGTCCAGCGGCGTTGCTGGCGGCGATGATCGATGTCAGATCATCAGCCACTTCATCCACTGTTCCTCCTAAAGCACCGTTATCCAAGAAAAACACTCTCAGCTTCGAGGACAGGCCTATACAAAACAGTAGTGCAACGAGGCAGTAAAGCAACGGTCCCATAGGATCGCCCTACTGGATCCCCGTGGCGGATGACAAGTCCTCATCACTGCCACTGCAAGACGAGACAGACGGTGCTCCATACACACTCTGGACGAACGGATAATATTCCGGGAAATGTTCGAGGACAGACTGTAACATAACATCACGCCGAACGGTGTTAAACGCATTTCTGTAATCGATTTTAAAAAGAACCCGTAGGCCGTCGTGCTCGTCGTGAATGAAGCTCCTGACTGCGTTTACAGCTGCTTCTGCACCTCCGCGAGTACCGCATCCAACTTGGAACGGAGTAAATAGTTCATTTGCTTTCTTTCCACAACGTTTTGCAACAATTTTAGCTGCAAGCCTTCGTAAAACATTCCCCACAGCAATCGGTCGAACTCCACCATCTTTCTTCGACAAGGCAATGAGGTTCGCGCCGAATAAAACAGGCCGTAACTCCTCTAGTAGTTTACCAGCCACGATAAAATTCATCAGCTTACACAGTGCAGAACATAGCGGCGATTCGACGGCATCTTTACCATTCAGCATGTCCTTAATGTGCTGTGGACGTAGACCATCCAAACCAACAGACGATCCACTTGGAAAACTAAAAACAGCACCGATAACTTCTGCAGCCGTGATGGCGGCGAATGTGGGTAAGTCGTTGGCTAGTGGGGTAGGAAAACACGTATCCTTGGGGGCGTCGGGATGCTTCGTGCGAAGAACCGCTAAGACTTCAGCGTCTATATTAAGCACGCTCTCTTCCGACGCTAACCGTGCAACCGCTTTATGTACGGAACATTCATTGATGTATGATTCTACCATACGACGCAAGCGTTCTGCATCGTCTGTCGCACGCGGTCCGCCACGGGCGTTTAATGCGGGGGTGTTGCTTGGGGAAGGCCGAACTCCGCTTTCGAAGTCCCGTAGCTGCCGTCGGAAACGCCCAGTGAGAGTTTCTTTCTTCTTTGATGCGGTATCTCCTTCATTTTGGAATGCACGACGATGGATTGGGAATGCACGACATTTTGATTATTTTTGACAGCGAAGATTATGTAATTATGGATGAATAATCTATAATCCTTGGATTATCTTCCTTGGATTATTCTTCTGTGATGTTCCTCGGGCTTTCAACGAAGTTACTTGGGGGGAATTCTAAATGAACCCCAAGTAATGTGGGTACGTCGTTTCCTCGTTCATGGGCTGTTGTCATTTGTTGCGTAGAACTCTGTTTTCTGCCTTTGTACCCTTACTTACAGCATATTTATGCCCACCCAATCGTTCTCCTGTTCGGGATGTGGCAAAGAGCTGCGTGGATGGGGCTCCTACAAGAATGCCTGCCCGAGAACCCTCTCGTCCACGCTGGTGCCAGTCACGGCCAGTTCCTCTGCCCCCTCTCAAGATACTGCCAGTGAACCATCACAATCCACCGCAGAAAACCTCATACATGTACTGAAGAACGCTAGGAAATCAGGGAAGATTAATAAAGGAATTCCCCGCGCAGCGCGTCCCCAAGCAGCGGAAACCTTCGCAAGAGCTGTTGAGCAGTGTGTGAAGGAACCTACCGTCTCTAATTGGACCTCGTTACTTTTGTTCGCCTCTGCGGTGCGGTTGATGCGGTATCTCCTTCAGTTGCAAAGCACTGAGCATTATGAATATTTAATTCTTTGATGCGGTATCTCCTTCAGTTGCAAAGCACTGAGCATTATGAATATTCATAATGCTTAGCATTATGAATATTTAATTATAATATTCATAATGCTATGCAATATAATGCTAATTAAGCATAGCCCACGGCAGACCATCAGTATTATGGACGACAAACAATTTCGGACCGGAAAGGAAACTCTAAGGTTATAATCGCTTGTAAATATTGCGAGAATATGTCTGCAGAGAAAAAGGCAGTTGAGCGAAACCGCGTTTTTGTAAGTCTTTCGACTACAGAAGTACAGAGTACAGACTACGGGCATGGTCAAGTATTGCCCTCATGTAATTACACTGCTACGGGCAAGAGTCACCAAGGTGGTAAACACTAAACTTTGCTCTCATTATAAAAAAAAACCGGCGCCATGTATATGCGCTCTTTTACATTCACAGGGTAGTTCCACAAACAACTAACCCTTATCTTCTTGTTTTGCTAACTGATTTTTTTGCCCGTTGCATACAGCGGCGAAAACAACCCGCGTTGTTAGCAACCCATGTGATTCTGATTCTGGCGCTGTTTTTAGATTGTCCAACAATACCGGTGACGCTACATGCATCAAAGATCGAAAGATGCATCGAAGAGTCAGACATCTTTCTCTGTTGGCTGGTATACGGCCAGTGCAGCGCACCATGGTGCATAAGTTATGATTCATAGAGATAAGAACGGGTATTGTATGTTAAAAAACGGAGCTGTGCAGCGCGGTATCTTGAATACGGTATAGTTGTTGCGGTATAGTTGTTTTGACCATTCAGAGCGTAGATAAGCTCCGGATCGTGATGACACACGTTACCAGTCGTTTCTACTGCGCATAATGCACAAAAAACCTACATAGGCGTTGGAAGATACCCGAATGTCTGAATCTGAGCATTGTCACATTCATAAAATGCGGCATCTTTTAAATTGGCCAGGAATAATAGGATCAAAGTGACTTGCGACGTAAAAATAAATTCGTATTAGTCTGAATCTGCATTCTCGGTATTCGTGTTTTCGATTATGATGCCAATTAGGGTAAGTGGTAAATAGCTTAATTTGTTGTTCTACCTTGTTTTGATATAATTATTATTGACATTTGGCAGATTTTTACCTTGAAGCTTTTAATATTTTAAGTCCGAACACACTACAATACTCTGTGTACTTTTACGAGTATTATAACTTTTATTCGCGTTATTAGCAACAAAATTTTTCATTTTCTATATAAATCGTGAAAAACAAGAAACTGTTCTTTTGTTCATAACAAACTGCCAACGGGTTCTCGGCGTCGGGCATCATTCTACCTTTACTTGCCATAATTCTGTACCCTCTGTTTCTTCGTTGTTGTGAAAAACCAAACTAGACAAATCAGGTACTTATTGGAATTGCAAAATTATCCTAATTTCCAAAACTGAAAACTCGTACTGTACGAGTACTGCGTCACGATTCACGACGGTACCAGGTGCTACCGCCACCCGGGCGGCCACTACATTGGCTAGGCGCGGACAAGCAGCACAATTTGCAAATTGCAATGGTGCCGACTGCCGACGGGCGACGGCCATTGGCAAAATGCGTTTGAACACGTTTTGAGTCCGCCCACAGAGTCACAGACAGATGCGCTCTCCAGAGTCCAGGCCACAGCTGATTGTGAAATTCGCAGTTTTCAGTTTTTCGAATTTCTTACGTGTTCTTCGTTTCTCGTACAGCTTGTTATGGTTGACAGTTGAACGGTGATTGAAGATTTGAAGTCTGCAAACGAATGCCACAGCAGTGAAAGCACTTAACCCACAGTCTATCAGCATGTGCAGCATCTACAGCCGTGAGATATCTGCGCGTGGAACGCCGTGGACGTGCGGGGCAGCGACGGCGCTTGGGAGCATGGCCGCGTCATCAACGCCCTGCACAACGGCTTGGTCGTCGATTTCGACTGTCCCGGCCGACGCGCCGAGCTGATCGACCCTACGACGTCCGTCGTGCGGCGCAGTCGTCGCCCGCCCGGGCATACCTCCTCTGGCAGTGCCATTTCGGCGGACTGCCTGAATGAAGCCATCTTCCCCCAGGAGGTGGGGCAGCGGGTGGAGGTGTTGGGGCGGCGGAGCGCCGACCGCCCCTGGACGTGGCAGCCGGCGACACCGTTCCTTCGCCAGATATACTGGGAGCGCTATGTCTTCGTGGCGATGGATGGTCCCCAGGGAATGCAGCGGCTGATGATGCGGACACACCCCGTGCGTTTATTCAGTGCGGAAGCAGCGGCACCCGTGGGTGCTGTCGGGAAGGGGGATTTTGTCACGCGCGCCTGTATCCTCCCGGCGGACTACTGGGGCCGTGGTCCCGTGAGCGCGACGCTGTGGGATGCCTGGAAGCAGGCCGTGCAGGCGTCCGAGCTGGCTTTCTGGCCGGTCAGCCTCCTGGGCGACACGCTGGTCTGTCTGCAGGAGCGGCTGGAGGAGCCGCTGCTCGACGAGCATTTGGAGTACTAAGTACCTGGTACATTCATCGTCGATTATATTTTACAATTATTCTTTATTGTGTTTTCCCATTTTTTTATGCAAATTTCTTTACATCCAGTAAAAGGTTCGCTATTTTTAATAATTTTCTCTAATATCGGTAGTCATTTTCTTTTAACGTTTTATATTTAAGCTTTTTTCTGGTGTAGGTTTTCCTCGAATTTATTTTATAGTTTTGTTGTTTTATTTTATTGCATGAATTATTCGTCCAACAGGAAGAATGGCTGACGCAAGCCAAAAGCAGACTCGATGGCGGCATGCGCTGCGGTCGTGGATGACGACAACCACGGAAGTATGCTGCCCGTTCTCCCGGAGAAAATCCTCCGGGAAGTCCTGGACATGCTGGACAGCGTGCAGCGCGCGAACTGCCGGCGGGTGAGCTCGGTGTGGGACGCCGTCGTTGGCGTGGAATGGCGGGTCGTCTGGGTGTCCTTCGCCCACCAGCGCCTCGTCGACGCCGTCGGCAACACCACGACACCCGACGAAGCGGAATGGCAGCGGTCGGCCTACCTCGTGGGCATGTGCTTATGGAAATGCCTGTCCGCGGCCACCCAGACGATCATCATCAGCAACGCCGTGCAGCAGCGGGCGGCGAACAACGGCATGGTCGATTGCTTCCATCTGATCGATGCTGTCCGGCAGGAGCAGCCGTTAGACTGGGGTAAGGATGTGACGGTGATTATGCAGCGATTTCACTGGGATTTGGAGGGTCTGCTGGACGACGAGGTGCACAGGGCAACGGCGGCGGTGGAGCGGGTGGTCTGGAAGGACGGGACGTTCAGCGGGCCGGTGGAGCACTTCCGCCGGCAGCCAGTCAAGTGCGGGGTCAGTGTTCGGAGCGAAGAGATGCTGGAGGAGAACGGCGATTCCGTTCCCATCCACTTGGCGCTCAGCGAGGTGCTGGAGGATTGCCTGGCGGAGCCGGAGGACGATGGGCGGGCGCTGCTGGTGCAGTGGCTGAGGGAGGCGGTCATGCAGCCGCCGGGCTCCCGCGACCGTCAGCGTATCGACAAGGTCACAGGCAATTTTAATGTTTATTTTTTATTAAATATACAAGGATAAATGTGGAGATGATTTCTTATTACAATTTCTGTTCTGCAGATTTTGCAGTCCTGCCAGGAGGAAGACCCGCGTGTGCTGGCCGAGTATGGCGTAACGGCGTGGACTGTGGACACCATGCGGGATCGTAAGGCGCGGAGATTGACGAAACTGACCTGCTGCGCTCTACAGCGCGAAATGGCGATTCCGCCGGCTGATTGCCCTTCCAGTCCTCCCCAACCTGTCAGCATCTACAACCGTCCCGACGCCATCTTCACGTGGAACGCCGTGGACGTGCAAGGAAGCGACGGATCTGGCGAGTACGGCCGCGTCATTAACGCCCTGAACGGCGGCTTGGTCGTCGATTTCGACTGTCCCGGGCGCCGCGCCGAGCTGGTCGACCCTTCGACGTTCCACGTGTGGCGCAGTCGTCGGCCTCCCGGGCACACCTTCTCCGGCAGCCTGCAGTCGGCCGACGCGTTCGAGGGCGCGGTCTTCCTGCAGAGGTATCCCGAGGAAGTGGAGGTGTTGGCGCGGGAGACTGCCGACCGCCCCTGGACGTGGCACGCGGCCACGCCCTTGTATCTGCAGATGTTCTGGAAGCGCTACATCTTCCTTGAAATGCAACTGTCGGAAACCGAGGGCGGGGTCAAGGTGAAACGGCTGCTACGGGCGCATCCCGTGCGGCTACTCGGGCCGGGACTTCCGGAAGCCGCAGAAGTGGTCGGGAAGGGGGATTTTGTCACGCGTTCCCGCGCCCTCCCTGCGAACTACTGGGGCGGCGGTCCAGTGAGCGCGGCGCTGTGGGAGGCTTGGAAGGAAGCCGTGCAGGCGTCCGAGCTGGCGTTCTGGCCGGTTAGCCTCGTGGGCGACACGCTGGTCTACCTGCAGGAACTCCTGGAGACGCCGTTACTGGACGGGCACTTGGTAAGCCTTCGCTATTATTTGGCAAATCATATTCAGCATATTTATCCATTTCCAGTTTTTATTATTCTTGTGTTGGGTATTTTTTAATATTTCATGTAATATATTTTTCATCCCGCTGGTTCAGGTGGTTCTTAACTTGTACAGGTTTTTTTCTTTTACTATTATTTACCAGAATTATGTTTTAGTTATTTTCTGTGATGATTTTATTTAATTATTTCCCATTTATTGCTTATTACAGTATACTACTCGTAGTATTATTACAGTTTATTGCGGTATTATTATTGCTTATTACAGTAAGTAAGCGTTTAGTTGCAGTATTGGTTTCTCTGTATGTTTTTGTTTTGAAGGTTTCCGCTTTAGTGGTTTGTTGTGGTTATTAATCAAAACCCCAAGAGAACTTATCTTTTTTTTGTTAATTTCGTTATTTTTTATATGCGTATTCCTTTTACATTTACCTTACGTTTTGTAATTTTGTTGTATTTTTGTTTTATGATTAATTGTAAATGTTTCTGTATTTCGATAATACATTATTATCTTATTACGTACTTTATTATATGGTACTCTTGCATTAAGGTTTGTAATGAGCTGGGAAACTGTTATTATAATCATATGAATCAATCAGAAAAAGGATAAGGTTCCACCATTACGGAAGCAGTAAAACTTAGCGGTATCCGAATTTGAAGGAGCTGGCTATTGTGGTTGGCTGTCAGCCTGTTATTAACTGATGACCATAATACCTATATTGGAATAAATCAGTATCCGTCCGCAGGAAGAGCTGTTGGTGCAGGCCACAAAGAAGCTGCAGCCGCCGCCGCCGACGCTGCCCGCGGTCATGGAGACGGCCAGTGAGGAAACCCGGATGTCGGTCCTCCCGGTGGAAGTCCTCCGGGATGTCCTGGACATGCTGGACACGGTGCAGCGCGTCAAATGTCGCCGGGTGTGGGCGTTGTGGGACGCCGTCGTCGGGACGGAATGGCGGGTGATCTGGGTGTCGTTCGCGCATCAACGCCTCGTCGACGCCGCCGGGAAGGCCACCACGGCCGAGGAAGCCGCGTGGCAGCGGTCGGCCTACCTCGTGGGGATGTGTCTGTGGAAGTGCCTGACCGAGGACACCGAGACCATCATCGTCACCAACGCCGTGCAGCAGCGCCATAACACCGGTCTGGAGGACTGCTTCAGTTTGGTCAGCAATCTCCTGCACGATCTACAGGTGTGACGGAGAGATCAATACGATAGGGTCGAGTAATGATGACCGCAATAACCTGTCTAGCTATGCCTACCCTAGGTCGCGAAGCGAGAAACTGCATACCCGACGATAATTTAATTCTGAATTTCGAAGACTGCCAGAGTCAGAATGAGACAGCTTATGACCACAGATAATGCAACTAGCGGATTTACAGATATGTACTTGCTGTAGGTAGAAGGACTGGGAACCGGCTGTGCAACGGTCGACTACGTCATCACTGTCGCATACAGAATGCACTGTGCTATTGCTTACCATAGGTCCACAGATTTTCTTGTCCCTTTTAAAAAATGTTCTCAGTTCCTTTCTCCTCTAAAGCCTTCTGGTATTTTAACAGATCATACTGAATTTAGAAACCCGAACACGAAGGGTTAGAAATAGAAAAGAAATATGCTAAGAAAACTGACAGAAACCGCGAAAAACGCGCATCTGTCACCATGGCAGCCGCCCTCCCGTGTATGCGAGAGTGATGACGTCAAACGGTAGGTTACCAGTCCTTCTCACACTATAGTAAGTACTTGGCACTGTATAATCACTATAATGTATATAGCCATAATATAGGCCCGAAGCGCATGCAGCCATGCACCATCCGGTAATTCAAAACACAGGCCCATATAACAGAGACGGTTCTTAGAGAATAAAATGAATGTAAGTACAAGTACAATGTAGGACGAAATGGTCGCATAACCCCAGACCCAGCATTCTGTACGAATGCGGCGCAGTGACTTGTACGAACTGGATATTATTTTTAAATCTAGTCGTACAGTGCACTGCACTGCATGCGTACTGAATGTGGATATGTTGGGTATGCGTCTATGCGACCATTTCGTCCTACATTTTAAAGCCGTAATAAAATTAAAAACGCACTAGACTGCTGTCGTACTTGTATAATAATAATTGCTATACTAATAATTATTATTATCACGTCAGGTGGACGACGATCCGGATCCGACCATGATTATCCACAACTTCCACTGGGAGTTGTACGACGTCATGATGGAGGATGTGCACGGGGCGGCGGCGGCACTGGAGCACTTCCACGGGGACATGGACGACGTCCTGGACGAGGATCAGCTGCATGCTGCCGCGGCGGCGGTGGAGCGCGTGGTGTGGGTGGACGGGACGTTCGGCGGACCGGTGGAGCACTTCCGCCGGGAACCGGTCCGGTACGCGGTCAGTTATCGGTGCGCGGAGGCGGTGGATGTGTACGGGAGTGGCGAACCCGACTACTGGCACTTGCACCTGAGGGCGGTGCTGGAGACCGACCTGCCGTCGGCGGAGACACCGGACGGGGAGCGGATGCTGGCCGACTGGCTGTCGCAGGCCGCCGCTTCCCCGGATTGTCGGCGGGTGGATAGGATTGTGCGGCTGTGCCAGGAGGAGGATCCCCGGGTGCTGGTCCAGTACGGCAACGTGCCCTGGCAGGTGGAGGACGTGCAGGGGACGGCTGGAGTGCGCAAGCTGACACGGTTGGCCCGCTGCGCTCTGCAGCGCGAGATGACGGCCACACCGCCCAGGCATGCCGCTCAAGCTCCGCTTCCGGCCAGCCCCACTTAGGACCTACACAGCTCCCGATTCGCCGGAAATCCATTCGAGTCCTCATTGTTCGTCCTGGCCGTTGGTCGATGCAGTCCCACCGCGGCGTCCATTTCTGCATCTTGTTCAAGAACAATTCTACTTTGGTTTGTGTCTAACCGTTAACAGGTCTCGGCGTTGGATAGTCACACGCTGATGTTGTTGGACGATCATTTCGTTTATTTCATAATTACTCACGTACAGGGCAATTATGAAATAAAGGGCCAATGCACAATATGAAAAAGGGCAATACAGCGGCGGCTCGTATTCTGTTGTTATTTCTGAACTCTGCATTTCCGATATAAATAATGTGTGTTGTGATTACGAAACTACAGCTGTGTGGAGAAATCCGTTAATGAAAAGTTTGTTGTTATTTTTGCTGTGCAAAGGCATTGCCCAGCTGAGGGCCAGACAGCCATCTGCAGCAGCTGTTCCCGCGGCACCAACTCCGGCTTGCGCTTCCACATGCCGCACAGCAGCCGCGACACCGCCTCCACCACCTCCCGAACAAGCCATCTTCTTTACTGCATAATTCAAAAACCATCACATTTTATGTGCCAGGACTACTTACACTTGTCCAGAAAATTTGCCGTGGACAAACAAACTGAAATAAACAGGGAAAATGCAGAGATATCGCTGTAGACAATGCGTGGATCCATCCTGCTCGCGAACATTTGCAGGAGCGGTAGCATTTCGCTATCGGTACAATCGCGCCCCTTAATGCCCGGCGCCAGACCGATGCTGTCCATCGCACCGAAATTGCCAGCCAGCGGAAATTTTGCGAGTAGAATCATTTCGCCATAGGTGGAATTAAACTTCTCCCCATTGAAGATTCGGCTGCCGGTTAGTACGGTTCGCGAGCCATTGTGCCGGCTGCCCGTTTTCAGCACCAAATGACCGGCTTCCAAGCGGATATTATCGCCGTCGAAATGTTCATCCAAAGACGCAACATCGTGCTGCTTGAACCACTTCGATTCATTGGGCGGTACATCACTAGAATCGTCGCTAAAGACTTTCGCCATTTTACCTTCGCCATAGTCCACAGTCCAAACTGATTAAGATGGAGGAGAACAGATAGCAGCTAAAACAACAAAGCTAAAGAATTTTTGGGTTAAAATTATGGGGAAGAATTAAAACAGTTAGTATCTGCTCCTTGCGATTGTCAACTTAGAATAAAGCACATGTGGAATCTGTAGTAACAATAATAATAAAAATAATTACTGATAATTACGTATCTGTTTCAAGTCATACAGATACCGTTCAACCGGGAACGCTTGTCGCTTTTATGGCAACTGAATAATATACTCAAAATGGCTGAAGAGTAATAATCATTAAAAATTTATGACCAGTATAATGTGCGCCAGGTGTCTAACCTATCATCACCATTAAGGATTTTTTCACGCCGCAGGACATCCGCAAAACATCATATCGTAAACATCACTTTTCAGAGCAGACACTTTACAGTTGTTCGCGATAAGTATTTCATACAACTGAAGCAGGCTCTTTGAGTTGTAAGAACTAAGAAGTAGAAATACGAAGTTAATTGCACGCTATAAAACTTCCAGGTCGCGCAAACACCGGCATTCGATTCCAGTTTCTGTTGAGCAGACTCTTGAATTTATTTTCTGCATTTTTTATGCTAACACAAAAATGGCTTGTTGTACCTCAATAATTATTTTCCTGACTGCACTGTGGAGATTAGGCTCCTTTGCTACTGCTGCGCTCGACGCCGACAGCGCGCACTTCGAAGTCTTCAGGGACGATTTCGACCAAGATCAATTGAGCCTGAACTGGACGGTCATGGATGATGTACTGTCGCCATTGTTAACCCCTCCGGCTGATCGTCAGAATTTTCATTTGAGGGACGGAATGCTTCGGCTGGAGCGAGGACTCAAGTGGAACGGTTCCCACATTGTATACGCTTCACGCAACCTGAAAACACAGTTTGCGTTCCATTTCAAATACGGGGAAATGACCATACGGGCCAAAGTCCCAGCGATACCTGATGCTGTTGCCATCGTGGCGCTGATGTCCTGCACAATCTCCGAAAGCTTCACGTGCCGGGTGCCAACGTTACCGAGCGTAATAGCCGATTTATCGGGTGGACCTGGGAACCTAATGCAGGGTATGGTGGATTACGCCGACAGCGACGGATTGGCCATGCGACACTTTAGTCATTTCAATAGGTAAACAATTTCCTTAACAGATCATTTTTTTAACACTTCAGACTGTATGCTTTGCAGTGATAAGGCTTTTTCCCGTGATTATCACGTGCACAAGCTGGTGTGGACCCCCGAGAGCCTGGTTTGGTACATGGACGGACAGTGGGCGCTGAATTTGACGGTCCCTGGTTTGGAGCAGTGGCCGAAGATGTATATTGGACTGGGCATAATGCCGGGGTTCGAAGAAATGGCCAGTCAGAACAACGCAACAAACAAATCGTTATCTGAAGTATTTCTCGTCGACTATGTCTATGTAAGGCAGTCCAGAGGAGGCCAAGGATTATCAGCTGGTAGGTCGACTAGGCTTAGGTTCAAATTAAAGCATCTTTCGGCCGTGTTTGAGCAGAGCTCAAGAGTGAAAACTGAATTTGATGGAATTTCAATCAAAGCAAATGAACAGTTTAGAGTTTTTCCTCTAAAATGTTCTAGTTTTAGGTGCTAAAATTATTGGAAAATATGATTAGTCATCCAGTTGACATTTGCAATCTTGGAGGTTTTTTCAATCATATTCTTACGCAGAGTATGGCGGTTTAAAATATCCTGCTCAAGTGCAGTTAATTCTATTCGTACACGTGTGTTCGAAAGGTGATCACAGCAGAAAGTGTAGGATGCGTAACATGCACATTCGTTGCAGCCGCGAAACGTGCCGTTCGATTGCCAGTCGTCTTTGGAACGGTTATTCCGACTATTATCATATTAGCTGCATTGGCTGTCGGATGCTGGATGCATCGTCGCAGCCGGCATAGCCTCCAGCACGGTAATATGCTACATTATGGGCGGCGGCTGCGCTTCCAGCGGAGGACCTCCAGCCTTTGCGACATATCCGGATTCGATGCCGATATCGTCATCAGAGATCTGGTGGCCAATCCCTGTGTCCGTCTGTTGGAAGTGCCGTTAGCAAGTTTGCAAATCGGTGCGTATTGCGTAGCAGAGGTTACGTTTTTGTTACGATAAATTGATACGCCCAAAAGGTTACGCTGCTTTATCCTGCTTTGGTTAAGCAGTAGTTTTGGTTGTAGCGGATAATGTTTTGGGCGGAAGTGCCCGCCATCTTTTCCGGAAAGGCTGCGCCTTTGGTTTATACATGCAGACCCATTGTGACGCGGCAACAGCGATTGCAATTAAAACTGGAAGGTCACGAAATAACCCGTCAGTTATCCGTCGATTGCTCCACGAGATAGAAACGCGAGCCAAAGCCGGTCGCCATCTGAATATCGTCAACCTGTTGGGAGTAGTCATTAACGGTGACGTTATGTTGCTGCTGGAGTACTGCGAATTTGGATCATTGACGACTTTTTTGCGAGGACGCGCCCGCCTGGCCTTCTATGAAAAAAACAGATCGGACGAGGAAACACGGAAAATCGCGATGAGCGAAAACGGGAACCCATCAGAAACACCAACATCGCCAACACTTGCCGAGCCAAAGCTTAGCGGCCTGGATCCGACTGCATTAATTGCGACGCTGATTCGGTTTGCTTATCAAACCAGCCGTGGAATGGAGTTTCTCCATAGCCGAGACATTCTCCACCGCGATCTGGCGGCGCGCAATATACTGTTGTTCGACACGAACGTGGTAAAAATATCACATTTCGGAATGGCCCAGCGGGGACCGCAGTACACTTTAAGCGATCTGCAGGTAAACTGGCTTTTGGTATCCTAGCATGCCAGTTGGAACACTTTGTGTTGGTAGTTTGAATTGCAAAAATTATTAACCGCTCTTTTCTTCACTGACAGGAGCCGCTACCGGTACGATGGATGCCTCCCGAAGCTATCGAGAAAAGGCTGTTCTCGCAACAGTCAGATGTGTGGTCTTTCAGTATTGTATTGTGGGAAATGTTTAGCTTGGGCGCCATGCCGTATGCCGACGCTCACTGCATTCTGAAGCAAACGGTTGGCGACTTTCTAACGGGGCTAAAGAGCGGCTGGAGACTAGAGAAACCAGCCATATGTCCAGATTTTGTGTAAGTGATGTTTGCCTTTGGAGTGGCTCTGGAGCTATTCGCTGTATTTCGCTGAATTATTTATAATTTCCTTCAAAACACCAGATTATGCAACACTGATTTATTGCCGCCTACATAAAATACAAAACTTACAGTTTCCAGCAGTTTAATTGTTTACGCCAGCTGCAAAATCATGTTCTGATCGGTAGATTCCAACTGATGGAGCAGTGTTGGCGGCTGTCACCAGCAGAACGTTCAAATTTCGCTGAACTCGCGGGACAATTGAGAAGCATTCTCGAAGCCGAATCTGAGGAATCCTATTTGCGTTTAAACTATAACTACGCCCAGTTCAATGAAATTCACCGTGATATTTTGAAAAATACTCAATGTGAACTGGAAAGCATGAATGGCGGGTAAAGCGCTAGATTTCCGATGTCGATATGTCAAAATTATGTGCACGAATTTGCCCTGTATCAGCGGTCTCCGGTGAAATTATGTCATTTTATTCTGACGGTGGTGTAATTTGTTTCGTGTCAGTACTGTCAGAATTTTGCGCAAAAATTGTCTTTAGATTAATTTTTAATTTATTGTTCTTAAAAATATGGTTTATCACTGATCGCGGGAAGCAAAATGCAGTGAACTACTTGTACAAGGGCAGGTTGGAGACGTGAGCATGATGAAAATTCGAGCTACCCCGCCTTGAATTGTATTAACATAAGATACTGTGGTGCACTGTCATCTGTAATTTTTCCTTCATGTCCGTTGAAATATCACTGAATTCATGTGATAGCTGGTGCTCACGCTAGGCATGCAACAAGACCACAGCGGAAGAAAATGAGATTCTGAAGGTGCAGCTACAGCTGACTGAGCTGAGTATTCTACATGCCGACACGCCGACATGTATTCTTTTACTGGTCAAATATCGATCACATTTAACATTCCATATACTCTGTACGCTTTAATTATGGAGGATCAGAGGCAAATGTGCTTAGTATATTCAAGCAAATACATAGCTAAATACTCCGCAAAAATTTACGAATAAATTTTGGCGCAGGGTTGCAGGGCATCTGGAAACTGCACAGCACCGGCAACTTTTTGTAAAACAGTCTCTGAACTCATTAGCCTAATTGTTTTAGTCGCATAACCACATTTATTGGAAAGAAAGCGAAGCAGCATAAACAGTAACAGAAACTGACGAGCATTGCATGTCTACGTTATTTTATTAGTATTGCGCTCAATTGTTGTTTATTACGATGTTTCTGATCATAAAAAATAATTATAAACCGTCAGTGTCTACATCTCTTTATTACTGCTGCCAGTACCAGCGCGATCTTTAAAGGCACAGAGAAACCGGTTTTAGACTTCCATGCAAGACACATGTATGCGATCACGCTCAGCCTTTTAGACAATGTGCAGTGTTTCTACGGTTTCTTCCATAAGTCGCACTGACACAATCAACGACACTGCAACCGTTGAAATACATTGCGGTCTGAACATTAGACATGTTTGTGTTTTTTAAGCAGCATAGTGTAAACATGTTGTAGTTTGCGGTAAACCGGCTTGTTGAGCTACAAACAACATAAAAATGCCCAGAAAAGGTCGCTTATCACCGATGACCTCCGTGCTTGTCAGCGGAATGGTTTTTCTTTGTTACATTGAAGAAGTATTTTGCGATGCAGATGCGACAGAGATTTTCCGCGACGATTTTCAAATGCTGAATCTGGAAAACTGGGAGGTTGCCAATGAGAGCAACGCAACTAACGCACTTTGGGATCCTGAGAACGTGTTTGCCCAAAACGGTGTATTGACCTTGAGATCTGCCATGCATAGTCAAGGCACAAATCGGTCGCGTATCAATGCTGGACTAACGACAAAGGATTTCGCCTTTAAGTACGGACAACTCTTAATTCGTTTAAAATATTCCCATGGTTACGATGACGACTCCGCTGCGTGTTCTATGATCATGTTGATGCCGTTTGGGAACGCCTCCTTTCCCAATACGTCAATCGTTTTCTGCTCTGATGCGCCTACTCTGATAATCGCATATCAGACATACGCCGCAATCTCCGGTGAAGCCACCAAATACGAGCAAACTTTTATTAGGTGAGCCAGGTGGCGACAAAACGTCGGTGACGACGTCATGATAAGCGGAATTATTTTTTTCTGATATTAAAAATCTTCTTTTTCTGGATATCAAAAATTTAAAATTTGACAAAGTTATGCTGTACCAATCACCTGTGTTCATAAAAGCATGAAGTAATTCGAAAGAGTTATTAGTACGAAAGAGCTATTCGAAAGAGTTATTAATACGAGTACGTAATACGCGCAAACACTCGCAAGGTCGGTGAGCTAAGATCTTTTTCTGTAAGTCTCTTATACTGGTGTGATATGAATTTCGTCCTACAAAAAGAAAACATTTTTTCTGTTTTTGCGCTTAAGCGATGGAGATTTGAACCTCGATTACCACATCTATCGACTGGTCAGGACGGATGAGCTGATGGAATTATATATGGACGACATTCGTCTCTTTAACCTCACCGTTCCCGGGCTGGAGAACTGGCCAGAAATGCGCATACGACTCTTAAATGGTTTGAAAGATGGCCAGCACCCTGGAAATTTGCGTTTCATGGCAAAAGGACTTCCACCAGTACCGTCATACGAATTTCTTATAGATTATGTCATTGTGCTGCAACAAAATAGGCTGCATAGCGGATTAACAACAGGCATGGCTGTTTTCTTGTCAAATTTTTACGGAATTCGGTCTACAGTCTATTTACAGACAGACAATGTCACAGTTACAGATAATATCCATCTCAGGATAGTGCTGGGGGCAGCTCTACCGGTTACCCTCTTGGTGTCAACGGGATTGATTTGTCTGCTGGTTCGACGTGCAAGATACCGTCGTGCCATGCGGCGGAAACTCATTTACAAAACCAAAGGACCGCAAAGAACATCCAGTTGTCATGATACAACTCCGTTAGAACGCAGTGCCGACGTCCAGCAGCTGCTTAACAGCGAAAGCGTCAAGGCTCGCGAAACCGCACTGCAAAATTTACAAATTTGTAAGCAGCGTTTCATTATCTGCGAAGTTATTGTACATGTAGGTTTCTTCGTTTTGTAATATTCATTGGTACCTTGCCTAGATTCATGGTTATATGTAATACATACTGCTGTTATTTTCAGCGAATATGATTTTGGGCCGAGGAACAACAAGCATAGTTAAGAAAGGCGTGGCCACTGGCCTCTGCGGCTGCTCTGAATCTATCGACGTGGCAGTGAAAACAGCCCGGGACAAGAGCGATCCAGTAGAAAACCGACAACTGCTACAGGAATTGAAAATTATGGCCGCGATGCGGCACGATGAGCACATTTTGCAGCTATTGGGAGTAGTATTACAAGGTACCCGTTTATTATGCAGTAAGAGGCGCTATTTTATTACGCAAGTGCTGTATGTCTCTTGCAGGGGACCTTCTCCTGGTTCTCGAATACTCCAAGTTTGGTTGCCTGAAGAATATTTTGAAAACTCGTGGAATCGAACGCTTCTACAACCATGTAGGCGCGGAGGGTGAGATCCTTCCGTACGATGATGATGAAGCGGAGCGGATTAAACTGGCCGCCGACAGAATGGTAGTGCGACGTGACGAAGCGGATGACTTCGACGGGGAGATCATGTCCACACAAACGCTCCTGAATTTCGCTTACCAAATCAGTCAGGGCATGCAGTTTCTCAATACCCTGTACATCGTGCATCGCGATCTCGCGGCACGGAATATCCTGATTTGCGACGGATATGTGGCAAAGATATCGGATTTCGGAATGGCTCGGATGGGCACCGACTGCGTTGTCGAGGATCCCAAGGTAAGAGAGTGGGTAGATAACTGAACTGTGGATTGCTATGCCGAAATTATGCAGGAAGCGCTACCGGTTCGCTGGATGCCACCGGAAGCCATCATGGAGAAACTCTATTCGGAGATGTCGGATGTGTGGGCGTTCGGCGTTCTCCTCTGGGAAATGTTTAGCTTAGGTGCTCTTCCATATGCGGAAATCAATGTAACCACCGGCAATAAAATTTCGGATTTCCTTACATCCTTAAGGACGGGATTTCGCTTGGACAGGCCAGCAGCATGTCCAAATGCCATGTGCGTAAGAATTCATCCGCACGAGCGGTTTGCGAAAAGGATCTGGGTTTTTAATTTTTGTCAAATTTGACGGGGTACAGATCGATAATTACTGCTGAAAGTTAGGCCGATAGCCACTCTGGTTATTTCCTTTTAAAGCCTTCGCTCAGTGACGCAGCCCGACGCTAGAGATTTTGATTTATACAGATTGTTTTCAAATTGAGTAGGCAAGAAACGGAAAATTTAATAAACCACGGCAGCAGTTGACAAAAACGTAAACCGCTGCGCTTTGAAATTCGGAAGCCACATGCTTCACCTATTTTTTTATATGCGGGCTGTCGGGCACGATTACCGATCATAGGATACGAAGCACTGTCGAAATTATTGACATTATTTTTGTTCGATGATTTCAGATACAATTTAATGGGGCAATGCTGGCAACTCACACCTGATGATCGCCCGCAGTTCGGCTGTCTCACCGAAAGTTTGCGAGGCGTATTGGAAGATGCTTGCACACAGATCTATCACCGCCTGGACTATCGATGCCTCCACTCCGTTGCGGCCGTAAAAGGTGGATGACGAACATTTGTGTACATTTATGTATTACTCTGCCCATAAGAAATGCCTGCAAAGTATTCACTTCTTTCAGAATCATTCTATCAAATCAAATCTCACTCTTCCCCTTTGTTGTATTTAAAGAAAAGTAAGAACAAGGTGACGAAAAATTTTTTTATACAAATCGGGTCGATATACACCAGGTTGGGACCAATCCATCCATTGACACTTTCTGCGAGACCAACAAGACCTTCATAGTCGTGATGAGTTTTCGAAAACGGAAGCCAACATTAACACTCGTACTCATCTATAGGTCATGTGGGTCAGCCAAACAATGTCCAACCGTCGAAGATCTATCGTGTGCCAACGGTGTGGATCGTCGGTTAGGCGAAACTGTTAAACCTGGTTAAAAAACACCTAATTACGATTTGCAAGCGGTAAAGCAGTTATTAGTGGTTGTTACTGTATTTAGGCAATAATAAGGCAGGCCGCACGGAACAGCTGTCAGGCTCTTTAAACATTAATGAAGCCAACACCTAGTGAAGGCTTTACAGAAAACCCGATGTGACGGGGTTGGAACTTATCTACACCAACCACTACTTACGGCTGCAGGAAAAGGCGAATGTCTGTCCATTGATCCGGATAGGCTAATGTCTGCACCCAGTGCGCATGTGTCGCAGTGGTCTTTTCAAATAATAGCGGGCTGACGGCCGAACACTTGTCGCTGGTTGCTGCCAAAAATATACGAAGCTGTTCTGCAGCAGCTTCCGTGGAGTAAAAGTGTAAAAGCGGAATGATAACGTCACACGGAGCGGCACTCCTGCCGCGGCGCCGGTAAACGTCGCCTCGGAAAGCGGCAAAGTCAGTGCAATAAGTGAACCTCCGCACAATATTGCCATCGCTGATTGGATGATTGCTTGCAGCGCGTTGTAGTTGATCAGCACGAGCTGCTCACAAACAGACAGTATCGGGGAAAGCGAGTCCTACTCGAAATAACCGTTGCCAGGATTGCGATGCATCGCTAATACAAACACACCAGTGCATTCATGGCCGCTCTTCGCAATAATCACAGGTGGACCAATGCCCTTAACTTCACGAGTACGGATTTCACCTTTAAGCCTTCCACAGATGCGCTAAAACGCATATACTGCTTGAGGCATGACGGTGTTTCACGTCTTTCGTCAGCATCAGCGTATGAAAGCGTCTAGAAAGAAGGCTAACCAGCGCGGTTTTTGTTGTAAGCACTAAGGTAATTGTCGTATTCCCTTAACATTAATACACCATCTTCACGAGCTCACTTTTCGCATATCAGGCTCAGATTGATGAGAATATGCCGCTTGTCCACGTACTGTCGGAAAAGCAACCTCCTAGAAGACACACTCTGGTGAAAGCAATTTGAACACGATAAGAAAGCTTTTACTGGGTTATTTAAGCGAGCGTTGGTTAAACACAAAATTACGCGTTACATCAGTTCAGCACAAAATGCACTTCAACCAACCTGTTACCGACACAGAACGTTTCCTCACCACAAGCGCATTACCACGCATTAAAGCAATACTGATTCTCTGATTCAGATTCGGGAAATGAGTGGACCGTTTCTCATGCGTCCTCTCAATAAGCATCTTACCGAGTGTAGCGATCTTACATTTCTCTTCCTTGCCCCCCATACCCATTGTTTCAAAAACCAAAACAGAGAAAACAAATTAGCCGGTAGATATCCGTGCCTTTGGTTTTGTAGCATAGTGTGTTTTTAGTCTACAGTAGTGATTAATAATGCTTTGTATCAGTGGAAAGAATGCCTATCGTATCAGTTATTTCTGATTCCTGAACCGAGTCAGAAAATGAAGACCTATCATCCTCAGAATACATTAAATTCAACCAAAACACTTATTCTTCGTCAGAATGACGTAAACAAACAGATTCTGAGGTCAATTTTGTGTCGACATTTTATCCGCGTAATTCCCCGCATACAACGGTGTATACGTACGTATGTCCGGACATGACCATGTTGTGCGCAAGCAGCGCATTTTAAAATAAAGCTGACGCTAGTTACAGTAAACTAATGCAAGTTAATTAATTAATGTTAGTTAATTTCGGTAAATGTGATGGGCAGTGAAATGACTGCTCAATATAACGTCGTTAAACCGTTGAATTTCGGGATCACACTATACATAACACATCCGAGTACATTATTAACATTTCCGTATGAAATACAATTCCTTTTAGGGATTTTCATCGCAACTTCGTCGGACATAAAAGCTAGGAAATTATAGGGATTCTTTTCTGTGTGCCTTTCTTGTTGATTTTTGTCGCTGAATGTGGAAGCTGCAATCATGTTTTCTTTACGGAAGTGCGTGTGATCTTAACGCATATATTGTAGTTACGTAAAATTCATAAAATGCAATACTGACACCTCTTTATTGCTGCCGGGCGGGCCCGCCCGTTACAATACAATGCGATCGGATCATCTTTTTCCAGCTTTCTTAATACGACACATGCATAGAAGTACGAGTATGTTCACTTACGGCCTTTCTGATAACAACTGGAACAGTTTCACGGGTTCGGGTCTACGTTTTCAGAGTAAAGGCATTTCGCATAAAAGAAGAATTTTTCAACCGTACATAAGAAAGTAATGCTTCCACGGCTACAAAAAAAGATAAACTTGACAAGACGTCCAAAAAAGGTAAACTCAGCCGACCAGCGAATAGGTGATCTAAGACTGGCATGTGATCAATGGGCGTGGTTTTGTGGGAAATGCATTTACCACAAGCAGAAAATATTCGCAGCGATGGTAGACGAAAGTTGTTCGTTTGGCTACATTCTGCTGTCGTTTTGGGTTAAGGAATCGCTGCTGACAACATTATTCTGCGTGTACCAATAATCAAGACGGAGGTATGGTTCTTCTGCCACATTGTCAGTGATGCTGCGCAGGGCGCTCGTTATGTAAGATGCATCCTTCCTTTCATCGGGCTTCCATTCCCAGCATTCAAGCAACAAGTCATACCTATCATGTTAACAGCAGCAAGATTACAAGAAGCGAAATGAGTTATTTTTCTCCCATAAGGAGAAAAATGTGCGCTTTGTGGCACTGGTACGAATAATTGCCAACGAAAGAATAATTAGGGCATTAGAGCAACTACTGTATAAGTGCTTACAATACTTTGGGACATTTTTCCGGTCTTTTCAAGCGTTCCCCGGTCTGCAAGAACGTAAGGATCTCGGCGTCTTTGCATAAATTGGCATCAACGTATGGGACTTCCCCAAAACTAAACATTTCCCACAAAACCACGCACAGTGACCACATATCAGACTTTGCCGAGAATCTGTAGTCACCAACAGACTCCGGAGCTAGATGGTAAAGCGACAGTACTTCCTGTAATGTGAAAGAAGCATAGCAAAGTCAGGGAGGTGTAAACAACAAACCTGGAACAAAATAAAACCGGTACTTCGCTTACTGCCTTATATGGGCTCCCCTTATATTACTCTCCCTTATCTGGGCTCCCGAGCAATATGAGCAACCCTCTACATTGGCGGTTACGTTATTACTCACAGTTTTGCAGCTGTTATCAGTGTATGACTGAATGAAAATTTAGATGTATGTACTTGAAATACTTATTTCGCCAGTACTTTTGTAGCATTGAGTTTGTATCAACGTTTGTGGCATTTTTTAGTTTGTTCATTGGCAAATCCGGTTGAAATTAATGAAAAATATATGTAGATAATATAATTATATAAATATAATTCGGATGTGAAATTTCGGAATTCTTTGATGTGCTCACTTGTAAATCCGGTTGAAAGAAGTAGAAAAGGGTTCTGCTATAAATCCGATAAATAATTTGACGGGTATTGCTCACTAGCCGGGAGCCCAGATAAGGTAGAGTAATATAAGGGGAGCCCATATAAGGCAGTAAGCGAAGTATCGCTAATTTACCGTACGATCTGCTGCAACATACTCCGTGACCTGCTTGGCCAATTCCAGTCCACCGATTTTTGCCACCTGTCCAGTGCAGATGAAAATAGTTCCGGCAGATAAATTGCGGTGGATAATAGAGCGAGAGTGGAGATATTCCACTCCACGGCTGACATGGTAGGCGAAACGCAGTAAACTGCGCGTGGACAGCACCTGCCAGTCGAAATCCATCTGGATATTTTCCGAGGGTTGTGTGTCACATGCCTGTTGAAGCTGATTAGCCAGGTCTTCGTCGTAGGGTAGGAGGTTTCCGTTTGGGTCAACCTGATTGTAGAACCAATTACCGCCGTGCGCGTGCAGATAGTGCGGCAACGTTCCGAATTCGGCGTACTCAAACAGCAGAAGGGTTTTGCCTACAATTTAGCTTCCGATGCAACTCGCTCGAATTTTTTTGATCTGATTGTATTGCCATGAACTCTTATATACCGTACCAATCATAAAAGCGTGCACGAATTGCATTTGATAAAATAAAATGAGGACGAACTTTTCTGTACGACTCCGAGCAGTGAGAGTATGTTCATGTGCTGCCCAGCTTTGACAAATGTTTCCATCTCCTCGGTCAATAACCTCAGTTGGCAAGGATCACTGGCACTTTTCGGTCCTTTTGCGGCGAGGATTGTCGTTTTTTCTTGATCCGGAATTCCTTCGGAGTAACCTTTTAGCGTGACGCTGGTTTCGCTGGAAGCCAGAATGATCTTTGCTGAAACGGAAAATAATTACCTATATGAGAAGTTTGTGCTGAGCTCGATCGATCGATCGCCAGCGTCAGTCTTTACTTAAGCGGATGCTCGCCAATGGAATTTCCATGCGCTGAATGCAGTCTTGGAATTCCGAGGACATTGCGAGTGTCTCATCATTGTGAGACAGTAAATTTGGGAATCTAAACATCTTGGAAACGAAACTGTTCCCCGTATCCATCTTCTGCATGTTGCCCTGCCGCTGTCGTCTGTGCCTTATCCGAATTCCAATAATCATGGCAAAAATGCTTAATACGCCAACCGGAACAATGGTTCCCAGGGCCGTCGTTATAACGTGATCTGGAATGAAATAATCAAAAATTAGTTTAATTTCAACCTTGCAGACCAATAAGATTTGCAATAGGTATATACCATTTCGAGTGGCATCAGTGATCTGCTGAACGGATATGTAGTCAATCCAAAACTCTTGTCTCGGTGCCATAGTGGCATTAAACGGAAAATTCGGCTCACTGTAGAATTCCATGTTTATTAATGTGAGAGCGATAAAAAGTCGTGGCCATGTTGACAGTCCAGGCACCGTCTGGTTAAGCACCATCTCCTCGTCCACAAACCAGACCAGTACATCACGGGTCCATAGCAATCTTACGATGTGGTAGTCAGAGGACAGTTCCGCATCACTGCCAGTAACAGGTACCTTGCATGGCTAATTTGTAAGATCTGTCACTAAATTATATATGCAGATACTGCTTATTTGTTTTACGTAATCCTAATTTTCAAAATAAAGTACTAAAGTTTTAGACACGATCAGGAGCATCGATCTAGCGTTTCATGAGTGCCAGCATTGAAATTCGTTGTAATCTTGTAATTGTTTATTGAAATCTATTCGTTAATTAGGCACTGCTCACTATTAACTGCTATAAGTAAAGAATCAAGATTCTACATAATTATTATATTGTATAGCCCACCTATAACGCAAAGCAGAGTCAGCGAGAGCGCATGCTGCGATCCGGCCAAACAGTGAGGCACACTACCTAGGCATTTAAACCCAGTCCAACTCTACAACTATTCATAGACACAAAATCCATTTTGTTGAACTGCATATGCATATATTGATTGTTTTGTCATTAACGTCAATATTAACATCGGACGAAATCATTCTTAGATGTAAAATTTGCCATTTGATCACCAGATGTATTATGCTCTTCATTTACTGCCGTGAGCCAACTTGCCCGGCAAAATGGCTCACGATTGCATGCGGAGTTTGTGTTATCTGTACTTGAACATTAACCTGAGACAACAAAACTGGGTTTCAGTACTATTGTAATCATTTTTATCTTGCAGAAACGTATCAGTTCACCGTGCCTATTTGGCTATTACAGTCTTTGAAACACCGCAAAATTAATAAGACTATCGTGACACATAAGTTTTTAACCATTGTGCGGTGCATAATTACACACATACTTAAGGTAAGTTGGTGACGTTACTTCTAAGGTAAGTTGGTAACGTTACTATTATTACATCAAGAGCTTATTTCGCTTCATCATGCAGCAAAATGATTGATATAGCTAAAAAAAAGAGCAGAAGAAAAACTTTTAAGTTTTCTAGTGCAAATGCTCGTGAGCATGCGTGACGAACTGGCTTGCTGTAGAGTATAAAGATTTGGTACCTGTACGGTAAAAATGAGGTATGCGACAATTGCCTTGACGTGATCTTTGCAACAACTAGCATAACATGTGAGACTCAAAACTATTGCAAACTGCAAAGTGCGCATATGTGTACTTAACCGTGAGCCATTCTGCCGGGCAGGATGGCTCACGGGTCCCAAATTTCACAACTTGTTGGGCAGCATTGTGCATAAGTCTAACGCATTGTTGATAAATGCTGATGTTGATTGAAATCTTCAATATTTTGATACCAGAACAACAAATTAGAACACCATGGTAAACCCATTTTTGGTATGCAGGTAGTACTTATTCAAATCAATAGGAATAGTTTTCTGCAAATTTTGATAACGATTCTGTAAGAAATTTAAGAACGCTGTCTATGCCCTTCACTAGAAGACACTTAATACAGCAAAGCAGTCAGCCATTCTTCATAACGATAGTGGTACCATACTCACAACGTATCTACCTATTCACGTATAGTATTTTCAGTATTGTACAATTACAGAGACATAACAATTTTATTGATAAACGACGGCAGAGTACAAATCAATAAACATTTACAAGTTAACCAAACAATGAAAAAAGCTTAATTATCACAACAGAAAGAGTTCAATAAACTTTTCAACTCCATTATAGTATAGCATTATTGTATACTTATCACAAGCAGTCCAAAGAGCTGTTACAAAATAATAAGCTTTACCCCAGAAATTTGTTGGCGAAGTTTTTACCAGTTGGCTAAAGTGCGTATGTTACGGTACGTAGTCACTAGCTTCTGTACATATTATACTGCATTAGCACGTATGTATGCATAACAAAACCCGGTTTATTTATATGCGTTATGTCATTAGCATATAGTCTTCAAATGGCGATCATACTGCGCCTGCGGTGATTCATGATCGTGAGCCATTTCGCCCGCTAAAAAAGTTAACAAACCTTTTTGCGGCAAAAAAATTTGTTCCATGAGCCAATTAACCTTTCTATACATTCTGCCGGCTACATACGCAAGCATACAAGAAATCATACGTACCAAAAGTAATAGTCATCGGCTTTTTTTTCACGATCACTGCGGTCTTTGTAAGAGACAGTGCCGAGGACTACGTGTGGATTCGTACTTCTGGAGAAGAGCTGCAAGCGCGGTAGCATCTCGAAGTCAGTACACCTGTGCTCTTTTGTGTTCCCACACGCCAGCAACCCTATAATCGCGCTGGCAAGTAAGTTGCTGGCCCGCGGGAATCTCGCGCGTACGAACACTTCGCCATAGGTGAAATTGAATTTATCATCGGTGAAAATTCTGCTACCGGTCATTACAGTTCCCGAGCCGTTCTGTCGACTTCCAGTTCCCAGCACCAAATGACCGTCTTCCAAGCGGACATTAGCAATATCGTATTTCTGCTCAAAAGACGGAAAGTCCTTCTGTATATACCACTTGGATTCATTCACGTAGGCACCATTAAAATCGTCGCGGAAGGTTTCGGTCAGCTCGCTGCAAGCACGGTGATAACTTTGCAGGCAAAGGAAAAATGCCAACAACGTCGTAAATGGCATGATGGTCACTTCAGATCGAACGTAACTTAATTGCGGAAACATCTTCACTGTTCAAAAAATTGGTCTACTGTGTGCAGGTGGCATATGATCCAATGAAAGACTCATACGGTTGTTGCTTTTCAACTGAACACAATTTTGTTATTTGTACGACGGCTCACGTTCAGCACACGGTAATATCAAATATGGCCACCGTAGTAATAATTATTATAGATTTATTACCGACACAATGCACACAAGGTGTCAAACCTTACCATGGAAAGCTTTTCCTTGCCCCAGGACATCCACAAAACATTATATCCAGCAACCTGCCTTTTTTTCCGAGCCTGTATTTCACAGCGGTCCGCGGTGTTTTATATGTATAGAATATAGATAAACGAAAGCACTAGCGTTGCAACACCATTTGTACAACTGGAAAGCGCTTGGTAATTATCTATCTGCGATCGATCATAAAGACTTCCAACAAATATGAAATGTTTCTGCTGTCATAAAATCAACAGCAAAAAGATAATTACACGCTATAAAAACTTTCATGCAACGCCGGCATTAACTGCGACAATGCCGGTTTCCAGACGTCGTACACCTTCAACAGGCTTTCAAAAACTTTCTGGTTACTTAGTCTACTTTTGCAGGCTTTCGCCAGGACGTTCCGTGAACTATCAATAATCTTTAAGATACTGTGGATGTTATTGAGCTATCCAACTTCCCTTAAGGGAAGTGGGCCGGTACATAGCACCAAATTCGTGCACAGGCACGAAAACTTTCACTTTCGCGCACTCCCAAACACATTTTTGTTTCGGTTTCTGACATTCTATAGCCAAAAGATTTGTATACACTGGCGTGAAAACCGTTTGTGCGCGCAACATCCGGTTCGGGAGTTATGGCTGTTAGAAAATTCCAAAAAGTTTAAATGGGTTCAGGTGTGCCAAAAGTCTCATTATGGACCGATCTCCTCAAATTTTGCGTAAATGCACATAACCACGAAGATCGTTTTACACCGATCCACTGTTCTAGCATGTTTTTCAAATTTTAAAGTGAATTTCAAAAATTTTAAAATTCATTTTAAAATTTGAAAAAAATCATGGAAGTCTGGATCGGTTTAAAAACGATCTTCAAAGACATGCGCATTTATATGCAAAATTTGAGGGAGATCGGTCCATAATCAGACTTTTGGTACACCTGAATGCATTTAAACTTTTTGGAATTTTGTTACCCTCATAACTCCGCAACCGGATGTTGCGCGCGCAAACGGATTTCACAACTACGTATACAATTCTTTTGGCTACAAAATACCATAAAGCAATGCAAAAAAGTATTTGGGAGTGCGCGACAGCGAAGGTTCCCGTGGATGTACACGAATTTGGTGCTACATATGTACCGGGCCAAATCCCTTAATGCCGACAACATGCTTTTCGAAGTATTCCGAGACGACTTCAACCAAGACAAACTTAGCCTGAACTGGACGGTCTTGGACGATGCACTGCCGGCTCCGCTTGCGCCTCCGGGCGATCGTCAGAATATTCGCCTGCAAGGCGGTATGCTTCACCTGGAACGGGGTCCGATCTGGAAAGAGTCACATATTGACTACGCTTCGCGTATCCTGAAAACACAGTTTAACTTTCATTTTAAATACGGCGACATGACCATTCGGACCAAAGTTCCTGCGATGCATTATGCCGCTGCCATCGTATCACTGGCGTCCTGCGCAGAAACAGAAAGCTACACATGCCGGTTACCAGCAGTTTCGAGTGTAATAATTGTAAATCTTTCGGGTGGACGTGATAATGTTATTATGGGCACTGTGAATTACGCCGATAGTGAAGGAGTTGCCATGCGCCACGTTAGTTTCTCCAAGAGGTGAGCAACACTTTTATGGAGTTTCCTTCCAGAAATACAGAGTACATCACTATCAGCATACGCTTACGGTGACGTATATTGTAGCGATAATGATCTGTCCCTTGATTTTCACATACACAAGTTGGAGTGGACCAGGCAGAGCCTGGTTTGGTATATGGACGAACAGTGGAAACTGAATCTTACGGTTACTGGTTTGGAGAAGTGGCCTAAAATGTACATTAGCATGGGCGTTATGCCGAGTTCTCAAGATACGGCTGGCCAAAACAACGTAACCAACAAGTCATTGCCTCAAGTATTTCTGGTGGATTATGTCTCTGTAAGGCAGCGTAAAAGAAGCCAAGCACCAATGACTGGTACGTCGCGCTATGTCACGGCATTGCTACACTTGCGCGCCCGGTAAAGTGCAGTTACTCTTTATCACGCTCATTTCTTCAACAGGCCTTAAAAATAAAACTGTAAGGTTACGTAACACTGATTTGTGTTACAGCCACTCAGCGCGCTGTACTGCTGCCATCGGTCCTCGGAACTGTTGTTCCAACTATCGTCGTTCTGGCTTTTTTGGCGGTTGGATGTCGGATATATCGCCGAAGCTGGCACAGCGTTCATCAAGGTACCATGCTACACTTGGACCGAATACGGCGCTTCCAGCGGAAAATGTCGAGCCTTTGCGATGCATGTGGCCTTGATACCGATGTCGTGGTTAAGGCCATGGCTGCCGATCCCAGCATTCTCCTGCTGGAGGTGCCTTTAGCCAGCTTGCACATCAGTACGTGAAAATTGTTATTGTGATCATTTCATAATAAATAAGTTAGAAATAAATTTGCCGCTGCATATACGCTATGGTAGGTTATTCATGGTGATCGATCAGGTAATTTTACTTTTTAGCGGATCTTGTTTTGGGCAGTAGCTCCTACCACCTTATCCGGAAAGGCAGCGCGTTTGGACTGTATATGCAATCCCATTGCGATGGCGCAGCATCGATTGCGGTTAAAACTCGGAGATCACGATTGAAGTCCTCCCTTAACCGTCGACTACTCCACGAGATGTATATGCAATCCCATTGCGTCGACTGTATATGCAATCCCATTGCGATGGCGCAGCATCGATTGCGGTTAAAACTCGGAGATCACGATTGAACTCCTCCCTTAACCGTCGACTACTCCACGAGATGGAAACACGGGCTAGAGCCGGTCGCCATCTCAATATTGTCAACTTGCTGGGTGTTGTGCTTAATGGTGACGTCCTGTTGCTACTGGAATACTGCGAATTCGGGTCGCTGACAGCTTTTCTTAGAGGACACCTTCATTCAATGTCATGTGAAGAGGACGAAATATTGCGGAAAAGCACGATGGAGAAGAACGGGGATACACGAGACGAACTTATCGAACGGAAGTGTAGCGGTCAGAATCCGAGTTCACTAACGTCGACTCTGATTCGCTTTGCTTACCAAATCAGCCGTGGAATGGAATTTCTGCATAGTAGAGCCATTCTGCATCGTGATCTGGCGGCTCGCAATGTATTGCTTTTTGATACTAATGTCGTGAAAATATCTCATTTTGGAATGGCCCAGCGAGGACCTATGTATACTTGCCATTTGCAGGTAAAATATTTGTTAACACACAAGCTATCGGCGACTTTGCGGCTCTTTAATACGAATTCACGCCGTCGAACTGGTTCTCTGAGATTCTAGCGAACCTAGAGTCTCAAAAATTAGCGATTTAATTTGGTTGGACAAGGCAGAACGCAATAAATAATCTACGCTTCCATTGGCAGGGGCCGCTGCCGGTGCGATGGATGCCTCCGGAAGCCATCGAAAACAGGTTATTCACTCAGCCATCGGACGTATGGTCATTTGGCGTAGTATTGTGGGAAATGTTTACCATGGGTGCTACACCCTACGCCGCCACCCACTGCATCCAAAAGCAGTCTGTTGGCGACTTCCTGGCCGGGCTAAAGAACGGTCTCCGCCTGGACAAACCAATGACATGTCCAGAGTTTATGTAAGTGGTTATTGTAGTAGGTTGCCAAATCTGATTCTTGGCAGATGTACATGAAATGATTTAATTAGCATGTGTCTAAACTTTTGCCATGTCGACCTTAAGCAAGGTGATCTGATTGGTAGATACCACCTCATGCAGCAGTGTTGGCAGCTGTCACCTGAAGATCGTCCAAATTTTGCCGTGCTCTCCGAACAGTTTAAAATCATCTTAGACAGCGAGACGGAGGATACTTATCTGCGGTTAAACAATAGCTACGCCCAGTTTAACGATATTCATCGTGATATTTTGAAGAACGCTTTTGAAGTACACGTTAATCGTTAATATGTATATCCCGTGAATCTAAGTGTGGTCGGCAGCTTCCCTACGTAGTGCCAGTAAATTGTTACGATAGCTGTTCAAAATAGTTTCGCTGTCACTTGGTTAGTTTTGTTTGTAGCGTTTTATAATCCCACCGCTGCTATGGTCGTCTTAGGCCACTCTGCCGCTCAATGTGGAAGGCTATAATTACGGCATTTTTATGAGAATGTTTGTACCCATAAAACCGTAATCATATACCGCCGATATTGACGTATCTATACAGTAACTGCATTATGAGCGCGAGTTGTTAACAACACAATGCAACCGGTTTCCACCATTCCACGTAAAACACATGCACACGATCACGCACAGCGTAATTTACAATTATTGTAGACACATGTGAACGGTCTGTATAGACTAGGCATCATATACAGTATTCGGCGTTTTTGTCTGTACAAACATAGAAGTATTTGTGGTTTATTCCGATAGTTGGTCTCACGTCAGAACAATCAACGCTGCAGCCATCGACAGTCACAATGTAAAATGCTTTGATCAGAGTTAACTTGCGGTATACCGTATACGTACGTGTATGCTGTGCGTGGTAAATAGGCTTATCCAGTTACAATTTGCGTTTTGTGCAGGATACACAAATGCTGGTAAGCAACCGCTTATTATCAGTCATTTCTGTGTTTGCCTGGATTATTTTTCTTGGGTGCAATGACGGAGTATTTTGTGAGGAGGAAGCAACGGAGATTTTTCACGATGATTTTCAAACGTTGAATCTTGAGAAATGGGTCGTATCCAATGAGCATGACGCAACCGAGGATTCAAATTTCGATCCTTCGAATGTGTTTGCCAAGAACGGTCTGCTGACATTAAAATCGGCTCGGGAGCGTCACGATGCGAAACGGTCGCGTATTAATGCTGCAGTAACGACAAAGGATTCGTTTAAATACGGACAAATCTTAATCCGCGGAAAGCATCCACACGTTTACGCGGTCGACAGCTCTGCCTGTTCTTTGCTGATGCTAGTGCCGATTGGCAACAAGTCCTTTCCCAATACGTCCATCGGTGCTTGTGCTGCTACACCAATTTTGATAACTGCACATCAGACGTACGTCACGGTCGCCGGTGAAATTACTACTTATGGTCAAACTTTCATGAGGTGAGACAGACGACAACAATCCCCGGTGAGGCTCCACCATTTTTTACCAAAATGTTTTATCCGGTCTATAAAATTATACGTACGCACGATCTTACCACGAACCAAATATGTGATCACACACAACAAATATGCGCATACGCGCAAATGTTGTAGCACCGCAAGTTTTATCAGGGCAATATTTTTTTTACCTCCTGCGAAGTACGCCCTTTTATTTTTTTCATTTGCCTTTAGCGATACAGATTTGACCACTGACTACCACACTTACCGGCTGGTGTGGACGGAAGAACTGATGGAATTGTATATGGACGATATCCGCCTGTTTAACCTAACAGTTCCCGGCTTGGAAAACTGGCCTGCAATGCGCATACGATTGATGATTGGTTTTCCAGATCTTCCGAATCTCCGTTCCCTGTCACAAGAACGCTCCCCAGTTACATCATACGAGTTTCTTGTAGATTATGTCATTGTGGTGCAACAATATAGCGGATTAAGAACAAGTATGGTTACTTTTTTCAAAGTTTTGAAGATTCTCTCTACCGATAGTTTACTCTACTGATATAATTATTATTATTACTCTTCGGCTTTTCCAGATAGTGTCACTCTTCGGATAGCGTTGGGCGTGGCTCTACCCCTTACCATCCTGGTATCAGGTGGATTTATTTATCTGCTGGTACGACGCGCCAGATGCCGTCGTGCCAAGCGCCGAAATATCATTTCCAAAACCGTCGGACTCCCTCGATCATCCAGTCACTATGATGCAACAACGTTGGAACGCAATGCCCATGTTCTGCAGTTGCTTCAAAGTGAAAGCGTTAAGGCTCGCGAAATCACTCTGCAGAATTTGCAGATTAGTAAGCAGTGTCTAATTACATGAAAAACCGAGGATTTTTATGTTAATTGATAATAAATAGTATCTTGCATAGAACTATAGATACATTAAAATAAATGTTCCTTTTTATTTTCAGCGAATATTATTCTGGGGCGAGGAACAACAAGTGTAGTTAGGAAAGGTGTGGCCACAGGCCTCAGTGGCTATTCGGATCCGGTCGGCGTAGCAGTCAAGAGCGCCCGTGACACAAGTGATCCGGTGGAGAGCAGACAATTGCTCCAGGAACTGAAAATTATGGCAGCGATGCCGCATCATGAGCACCTTCTGCAACTGTTGGGGGTGGTAATAAGAGGTGTCTATTACATTTTTTTCCTGTCTTCAGTTCGGGTGTTCGTTATTAGGCCAGCCGTGTATATTTTCCACAGGTGACCTTCTTTTGGTTCTCGAATACTCCAGGTTTGGTTGCTTGAAAAATATGTTGAAAACTTACGGCATCGAACGGTTTTATAATCATGTGGACGCGGATGGCGCGATTCTTCCGTACGATGATGACGAAGCGGAGCGAATTAAACTAGCCTCCGATAGAGTAGTAATGCGCCGTGATGAAATGGAAGAACTCGATGGGGAGGTCTTGTCCACACAAACTTTCTTGCATTTCGCTCACCAAATCAGTCAGGGCATGCAATTCCTCAGTACTCTGTCCATCGTTCACCGCGATCTCGCTGCTCGAAATATTCTAATTTGCGACGGATATGTGGCCAAAATATCGGATTTCGGAATGGCGCGGATGGCTACCGAATGCTCTGTAGAAGATCACAAGGTACGAAACTACGAATGCGACTGCGTCATTATGGGTGCATAGCTGAATCCTGTATTTTTATGTCACGTGATGCTGCACAGGAAGCGCTGCCGGTTCGCTGGATGCCACCGGAAGCCATCGTAGAGAAACTCTACTCGGAGAAGTCGGACGTGTGGGCGTTCGGTGTTCTTCTGTGGGAAATGTTCAGCTTAGGTGCTCTTCCTTACGCGGAGGTCCACGTTTCCACCGGAAATAAAATTTCGGATTTCTTAGCTTCGCTAAAGACGGGATTACGTTTGGGCAGGCCAGCAGCATGTCCGAATGCCATGTGCGTAAGCATCCCCGGAGTACATAATTATTAGCACGATTGGCTAGTGCACAGTATAATGTTCTATGCTACGTTTCACGTTTTCAAATTTTAGATCAACAGTTGTTGTAGTACAAAGACGCTTTGAGCGTCACACCGCTTCTTTTTAATGCATTTGCTCAACGACACTAAATAATCACCCAAAATTTGGTTAAAAAAACTATATTTTAAAAGTGAAATTAGGATAGATTAGAGGATAGATGACAGAAATTGTTATGAAGATAAACTGCTAGGCTCTGAATGTTAAAGCATCATCCATAAAATACTTCACTAAGTTTTTTTATGATTACGGATACTGTAATCAAACGCTGTCAGAACTGATGTTTTGTTATTTTTTCCGCTGATTGCAGATACAGTTTAATGGGACAATGCTGGCAGCTCCTTCCAAATGATCGGCCGAATTTTGGCTGTCTCACGCAAAGTCTGCGTGGTATATTGGAGGATGCTTGTACGCAGATTTATCATCGCTTGGATTATCGATGCCTTCAGCCAGATGCGGCTAAGAAAGGCGGATGACGAAAATTTTATATATGTAATTACGACATTATTGCGTACTTGAATAATTTTATCAATGAAAAAACTATAAATCTACAGCGCACTGCGCTGCATCGCACGAAACAGGAGACTACTGTCATAGGTAGTGCTACCTATATCCTATAAATCTACAGTATGGGGAAACATGGGGTGTCCCTAAAGAATACCTTTTATTCATAAATGGGAGAAAATACATAAAAATAGATAAATCAAGATCAGAGACACTGATATTCCAGTAGAAAATCCATTAACAGGGGCACTTCCATAGCTAATCACCACCATGGGCTGTTACAGTATACACCGTGACACATGCCCCTCCTCCCAACAAGGGCTGCCCTCAGCCCATGAGAAAACAAAACAAAGAGTATGACATGCTCTTAACAAAACTGATCAACAAAAGGGTGTCGCTTCTTTCGGGCAAGTATCCGCGTCCTACTGGCTTCCTCCTAAGATGATGGTGGCTGGTAGCAGGACGGTGTCAAGGGCCTCTTGTGGCCCTTTTGCAGTGCCGCTGACAGAAAGCGCCTTATCCGGATCCTTCCACACCCTGCACCGCGCAGGCAGATTTGCCACGTCCGCCATGGGCGTTGCAGGAATATTCCGCATCGTGGTCGAGCTTCCGAGGAGGATGCGGTTCCACTCCGCCTTAACCTCCTCCGAAATTGGAGGACTTTGGGTTCCGTACGCAGCAGTAAACCTCCGTGTTACTGCTGCAATCCGTTTTTTGAACGTGGCCGGGAAGCTGCAGTGTTGCGTGCGTTTAGCCGCAGACGTGCATACGGTGTGGCTCGGACGGTTCGGCGCTGCCTTAAAGCTGCAATGCGGCTGAGTTCAGACGCAAAGTCCACCGTCCGGAAGTCAGTTAGCGGCGCCTGACGGTCCACCACTTTCCCATTAGGCAGACGGATTAAGTGGTCCGTATCTGCATTGACAGAACCACTGCCAGCCGCGGGCGATGTGGAAATGGCTGTCTTCGCCATTGCTGCTGGCAGTAAGAACCGACAGCCCGGATAACAGCGGCCCGCATGCAATCTGGGTCGTTTTAGGCAGGACTGCGATCGTGAAGCTGTATGCTCAATGGCATCCGATGCCATTATCGTCACGACCGTGAACTGCTGGGGCTGGGGTAGTGATGTGCGCTGAGCATATTGCGGCGTAACAGGGAAATATCCTGTTGTTACTTGCTTAGCGCAATGACTAGAAACGGGACTCGAAGGGGTTGCGCGAGTCTGTTTTTCCTGAAGAAGCGCTCGACTTCTTTCTGCCACCCCTTTATAAAAATTCCGTTCTCGCTCGAACTGAGTTGCGGCCGCCTTGTAGTACTTTTTCTCTTTTCCAAGAGCTGCCAGCTCTTTTTCAAGCTGGGCGATCCGCTGCTCGGCTGGACAGCAGACGGTAGTGGGTGCAAAGCTGTTGACTTTGCCAGCACTGCAAGGAACGTGGTGAATCACCTGCTGGACTATGTTAGGCACAGCAGGATCCGTATAGCTTTCCTTGGCGGCAGGAATCGTTGCACAAAGATATCCATAAGGAGAAGGGTTGGAAAAACCCTTAGAATAGTCCGAGATATGATGTGGCACGGCGCGGGCTCCGTATAGGTAGGTGTTCGTTTCGGGCGGTCCGTAATCTATTGGTATGTGGTCTTTCGGGCAGGCGGAGAGCATGCTCGCCCATCCAGATGTCGGATATCCACTGTATGCCGCTGATGGCGGCGGAATCGGCCGGGAAACTGCAGGGTACGCTATCGGCATCGGCGACCCAAACTGGGCTGGGGCAAGACCGCAGCCACCGAAAGGCTGGTACATTGTTCAAACCAGGAGCGCAATTTGTCATAGGTAGTGCTACCTGTATCCTATAATCTACAATATGAGGAAACATGGGGTGTCCCTAAATAATACTTTTTATTCATAAATGGGGATAAATGAGAGAAAATACATAAAAATGGATAGTTCAAGATCAGAGACACTGATATTCCAGTCTAAAATCCATTAACAGGAGCATTTCTATAGCTAAGCGCCATCATAGGCGGTTATAGGCTACACCGTGACACATGCCCCTCCTCCCAACAAGGGCTGCCCTCAGCCCGTAAGGAAACAAAGCACAAAAAGAGTATCACATGCTCTTAACAAAAACAGATCAACAAAAGGGTATCGCTTCTTTTGGGCATGTATCCGTACTGGCGTCTTCCGAGGATGGTAGCTGGTAGCAGGACAATGTCAAGGGCCTCTCGTGGCTCTTTTGGGTGCCGCTGACGAAGGGCACCTTATCCGGATCCTTCCACACCCTGCACCGTGCAGGCACATTTGCCATGTCCGCCATGGGCGCTGCAGCAATATTCCGCATCGTGGTCGAGCATCCGAGGAGGAGGCGGTTCCACTCCGCCTTGGCCTCCTGCGACATCGGAGGGCTTTGACTCCCGTACACAGCAGTAAACCTCCGCGTTACTGCTGCAATCCGTTTTTTGAACGTGGCCGGGAAGCTGCGGTAACACGTGCGTTTAGCAGCAGACGCGCGTACGGTGTGGCTCGGACGGTACGGCGCTGCCTTATAGTTGCAATGCGCCTGAGTTCAGCCGTCAATTCCACCGTCCGGAAGTCAGTTAGCGGTGCCTGACGGTGCATCACTTTCTTATTAGACAGACGGATTAAGTGTTCTGTATCTACATTGGCAGAACCACTGCCAGCCGCGGGCGATGTGGAAATGGCTATCTTTGCCATTGCTGCTGGCAGTAACATCCGACAGCCCGGATTACTGCGATCCGCATCCAATCTGGATCGTTTTAGGCAGGACTGCGATCGTGAAGCTCTATGCTCAATGGCATCCGATGCCATTATCGTCACCACCGTGAACTGCTGGGGCTGGGGTAGTGTTGTGCGCTGAGCATATTGTGGCGTAACAGGGAAATACCCAGTTGCTACTTGCTTAGCGCAGTGACTGGAAACGGGACTCGAAGGGGCTGCGCAAGTCTGCATTTCTTGCAGAAGCACTCGGCTTCTTTCTGCCACCCCTTTGTAAAAATTCCGTTCTCGTTCGAGCTGAATCGCGATCACCCTGTAGTGCTCTTTCTCTTTTGTAAGAGCTGACAGCTGTTTTTCTAACTGAGTGACTCGGTGCTCGGCTGAACTGGAGACTGCGATGGGTACCAGTCCATCGACTTGGACAGCCCTATGAGGTACGAAGTGGCTCACCTGCTGGGATTTGCCGGGCATATAGCAATCCCTGGAGCTTTCTTCGGCTAAGGGCGTCGTAGTAGGAAGCTGTCCATTAGGAGAAGGGTTGGAAAAACCCTTAGAATAGTCCGGGATATGATGTGGAACGGCACGGGCCCCGTACAGAAGGGCGTTCGTTTCGGGCAGTCCGTAATCCACTGGTATATCATCTGCGGGGCAAGCGGAAGATGTGCGCGCCCACTCAGTTGTCGGAAATCCAGCATATACCGCTGAAGGCGGCGGAACTGGCCGGGAAACAGCAGGGTACGCCATCGGCATCGGCGACCCAAATTGGGCTGGGGCAAGACCGCAGCCGCCGAAAGGCTGATACATTGTTCAAACCAGGAGCGCCATTTGTCATAGGTAGTGCTACCTATATCCTATAAATCTACAGTATGGGGAAACATGGGGTGTCCCTAAAGAATACCTTTTATTCATAAATGGGAGAAAATACATAAAAATGGATAAATCAAGATCAGAGACACTGATATTCCAGTAGAAAATCCATTAACAGGGGCACTTCCATAGCTAATCACCACCATGGGCTGTTACAGTATACACCGTGACACAATTTTATATATGTAATTACGACATTATTGCGTACTTGAATAATTTTATCAATGAAAAAACTATAAATCTACAGCGCACTGCGCTGCATCGCACGAAACAGGAGACTACTGAGACAAGAGTCCCAATGATTAACTTTTTAGTTTTTATTGTGCTCTGTCGATGATAGCGACATCATAGTGCAAGTGCTACGCTCATACATACATATCACCAGGGAGAAACGCGCATTCGGTCACAACTGCTTTTACCTGACAGTAAAAATATTATAACAATCGTAATAAACGTGCGAAACGTGGATGGATGTTGACTAACCTTCGGCTTATGCTGCAGTTACCACTTACCAGCAAAATATCAAAAAGGGGCGATAATTCAAAAATAACGTACTACGTAAAATGACTGAGGCGTAAGTCCGCTGAAATGCACCACGCCCCAGAGGTTTCAGAAAAGGCATTACGCTTTAAACAATTGAATAACATCGGTATAGTAACTAAGCAGAGTCGTACGATTACAGTATAATCTTAGCAATTTACCACCTGTAGATATGTTCTTCGGTGCTGTCTTTCGGAGCGCTGTAAGCGCAATAAGATAATCTGCAGCTGAAACACACTCTACGGTGTACCGTCCTGAGAATGTTCCAGTCGTTTGCAAACATTTTACATATTTTGTGCGCCAGTAAAAATTAGAGGAAACTTCATAAGGTGTTAGAACTGTTCGTATCGATGCTTTGTGCGGTTTATGCATTGTATGAAAAACAGTGCAAAATCATTTGCACGGCGCCTGCTTACTTACAGATATTAATTTAAGACATGGCGAAAAATCATTCAACTAGTGTTAAAAAGGCGGACAATGTATTCGAGTCAGTTTGCTGCAGAAGAACGCAGAACAAAGACAACATATCTCGAGGGCTCAAAAACATGATATATACCAAGATTGGTCCAGCTATTTAGTTCAAACAAAATGCCGCAATTTTTTTCTAACGCTGTGTGAACCAAAAGTGGCCTAAATCAAAAGCAGCCTAAAGATACACTATACATAGCCTCTTCGATCACTAAACTTTGTGTCCACATCGGACTACATGTACGGCGCGTCCACGAGCGCCGGATTTGGGTATAAATCTGAAACATGTTTCAATCCCGGTCATACTCAATGTTCTTTGCTGTCTTTTGAGTCGCCTTATCGGCTTTTAACTCGAATGGTGACACAGCCAAAACTGCTTCTCGGGGCCGGTAATCCAGTTTCTTCTGTGCTCCATGAATCCGAAACATGATCATATGCTTCGATGGAGCTATTCCAGCCTTTCTTGGAAGATCCGGGGTGAGCGCCACAGCGAACAATGGTCTTGGGCGGACGTTCCACCGACGACGTATATCGTGTCATTCACACAAGCGATTCCGGCGTGAGACCGCCCGTTCGACAAATTACCGAAAATTATCGGTAGTTAGTATTACAGCGGCTACTTAACTGCTTTCCCGGTCGAAGCTTACATTTGGTAAGCCATTGATCTGTCCTGGTGTCGTATGCTTCAACACATGACAAAGATGTCCATTTCCTTGTCTGCCCACCTGCAAAAGGTTGTGCTCATTAATGCAAACTTCACGTAGAGTGTTTGTTTTGATTATTTTTACCGACAACGTAAATCAACCCATCTGGACCGACGCATGCCGCGCGTCAGAACGAGGAGTTGGCATCTGTGCCCGTGGGTTCCAGGAGTTTTCTACTGGATCATAGCAGAAAACAGTCAAAGATACTCAATTCCTTATAAACCCTCCGAAAGTATGTATGCAACCTTCACAAGCCACGGCAACAAGATCGCGCAACGGGATTGGTAGACCAGACACCGGCGTCCACTTTTTTTTGCCGGGTCGCATCGTTCCATCGACTGCTGTGACGGTCCTCTGTAACGTCCTCCCACAGTGTACAAATAACCGTTACGGAATACGGCGCCATGTTCGAAGCTTGGAAGTGTCATTTCTCCAGTTCCTAGCGCCCACTTATTCCGACTTGGGTCATAATGTCAGTTGCGTGTGTCACGAGGAAGGTCTAACACCCCCTCGAAATACAGATAAATCTGGATGTGGAAGAACACGGGTCTTCCACAAAATAAGAGTTTATTGCCCAAAAAGGAAAAAATATAGAAAAAGGGGAAAAGGAAGCAATAAACTGAGCATTTCCATAGGAAATGCATGAAATATAGACCAGCAGCCACCGAGGGTGGCTGCTCAATACATCGAGCAGACACCGTGACACGTGTCCTGTAAACGTTCCAACCACTGTACCCGTAGGGACTGTGTCTGTATCAGCCAAAAAGGCGTTTGCACAGCAGAAGCGTCCAGTCGAGTGATTCTGTCATGTCTACAATTTTCCTTCGCGCCATCATTGCCAGAATTTTCCATAATAATGTTGTTTTTTTCAGTTTTAGGTGCGGTTCAGAATGTAGTTTATTAAACAGTTTTTAACCGGGACCGGAAACTGTGTTTGGAAAGTTATAGGCTGACAGCAGTGGCAGCCTGTCATGGTGTTATCACCAAAGTACCTGAACCTCAATATAATCGAGATAGCACGTGGTAGCTGGTGCCCATGTTGAGTATCTAATAAGGCCGCAATTAAAGGATATGTACAAGTACACTTCAAGATACGGACAACCCTGAAGCAGATTACGTCCGTCTGTTTATAAGAATTAGTTATGTTGTCGTCGTCAACTTGTCGATAAGATATCATTTGACGCATACAGAATAAAATAAATTATTAAAATTTTTGAGCCACAGCGTCGAATTGGCGGTGATACAGTAATGCAATTAAAGTTTATGTTGCAAACTTGCAAACACCACCAGCCAAAATTGTGATAAATGAAACTGCACGAAAGCGATGCCGTGTACAGTGTACACAACGATTCCAACCTCGCCATGGGAACATGCAGTCCCAGGAATGCAGCAGTCATATTTGGCACATTGAATCAGCGTCCTAAGATTACAAATAACGATTTCAACTGTGTTTCGGTTTTTTTTAATGTTTAAATTGAAATCATTTGAATTAGTGCCGATTAGCGCAGTCAGTTCCGCGGATTTATTGGCAACTGCTGAAGAATAAAAAAGGCTTTCACATACACAGTAGCAAAACAATAAAATAGTAGAATATCATTTAACATTCGTGAAATGATATGGTCATGAAATGATGTCATGGTCAGGAAATGATATGGTCATCCAGTGCCCAAGTAACCACGTGATAGAAGGCTGGCAGTTCAATCTAAGCGAACTACACTCACTGTTCGTACACTGAAGAAGCGAGAGTAATGAAATAAAAAAAATTACACAAAGTCCTATGACGAGCCGTTCGTGCAAAAAGGTTGCATGTATGTTATGTTACTTATGTTATGTTTGTTATGGTTGTCATGTTACTTGTGTTACGCTTGTTATGTGTGTTATCTTACTTATGTTGCGTTGTTATGAATGTTACCGTACGCATGATACTATTTTATGTTTGATTTCAAATTATTTCCAATCATGACATTTAATATTAATAGTGTCATGATCAGAAATAAATTCACTGGAGCAAAGTGCAAGTACAAGATACAGTTCACATTAAAATAGCAATTGTCGCGCGAAGTCATCGGATAGTTTTGCCGCAAGAGTTGGTGATAGAAACTAAAAAAATTATTAAAATTATGCTGATTTTACTGGACCAAAAGTAATGGTTTATGCCCTGTGGCTGTTGTTAAATAGTAGAAATTCAACAGTGCTCGTATACCTAATAATTCGTATACTGTCTAGGAGACCCTGACAATTTGTAATTTGTAAGACCCTAAAAATTTGTAATCTGGCAGGATTGACATAAGAACGTCTGCTTCCCTTACGTACTTCCGTCGGTGGAAGAGTGTACGGCTAAAGCCTAAAGCATCATCCACAAGTTACAACATCAGCAGCAGCAGCAAAGTTACAGCAGAAAAGCCCGTACTGCAGTAACATTGTATAATACTCGCAAAGTACTTTGTAGTATGCAGTACATACTATGTAATCATCTGTTTTTGTATTGCTACGCCCAGTGGACCACAGCAGATGGAATTATTTTTTTAGCATACTATGGTAATATCTTTCCAAATCAAAATTTTCTGAATTTACACCCGGAAAATGTGCCCTGGTCAGAGTTTACATTTCACCGAAATTTGATGAGCACGTTTCAGTACAGAAAAAAGCTTCAAAAAGAACTGCTTTTAAAAACTTCAGCTAGTAATTCAAAGTTTCTTAAAATTATTATTTTCTGAAAATTTATAGCGATTCTTACAGTAAAACCCTGTGTTGGAATCGTTTGTTACGCGCCAGTTGACCTTTGTAGATAAATTTACCACTACAGAGTACAAGCCGGATGATGAGCACGATTAAATACAGCGAAAAACGTAACTTCGTGGGTTAAGTCAAATTACACAATCCGGCGCACCACGCCAAAATGTTTACGCTTTACATGCATTTGCTATGGTTAGTGACCGCTAAATGTAATGTAAAAATAAATGTTGGAGGCATTAAGCATAGAATAAAAACAATTATAGAATTTATAATTATAAAAATCAAAAACCAATTTGTATACTGTTGGTGTTAAATGCGTCTTGTGAATATTGCAGTGTAGTGGCCATCGTCTCAAGCGCCAACAACGCACTCAGTATGCATGAGTCAGCCTGATTGCGAGCGATATCTTTACGAGCTTATCATCCGGACCGGCTTGTACATACTCATGTACAAGCCGGTCCGGAAAATTAGTACTTTTGGGGAAAATAAATTAGAATAAGTTTTTATTTTTAGTGAAACTTCTAGCAACCCTTGCCGAAAAATCTTTCGATGACTTCGCGAAGGACTTGACATTTCAATATTATGATCTAGGAGTCCATGTATGGCACGTACCGGTATTATCTGTACAGTATTATGATACCGTTTGCCCGTAGCCACACCAAAATTGTACGTGCGTGCAAAAGTAAATTTGGAAGACTTCTCGCTCTGAATTTGAAGCCAATATAGTAATATAATATAAAGGATTTAAAATGAAACACATAACAGTATTATGCGTAACATTGCGTTATCAACGTAAATAACATACATAACAAGCGTAACATGAGTAACATGGCAATCATGACAAGCTTATCATAAGTAACATAACATACATAAAACCTTTTTGCACGAACGGCTCGTCATAAAGTCCTCTAGGCTTCTGCCGGTCAAGTCAGCTATTAATGATTAACTGGGTTGCGGCGGCTCTGAATCGCTGCAGAGCAGCCAAGGTTTGCATTCCAAATGCCGCTGCCGTCTGGCACAGAAAGACGTCGTTGGTCTGCTGCTTGAAAAAGACTTGCGAAACAAAACGTGCGCCATCGCATACAATAACAATAGGGAAACGGAGTACATGTGGACTACTCTTCCACTCGCATTCAGATACACTTACGCTCTACACTCAGCCCATATTCGTTTTGACCAGTCCGAGCGATTTTGCTCTCTCCTGTGTCTTTTGATAGGGAGCAGGGAGCGCAGCAGACGACCAGGACCTACATGTTCAAAAAGGCGATTTGGACCGGGCTGCAGAGCGTTGCAGAGGACGGTCTGCAGGCCAGACGGGGTCTGACTCAGACCGCTTGCCATTTTTATTGCCTCTGCAATGCAAACTATCCCTGATTTGTAGCGATTTGAGAGCCGCCGCAATCCAGTTACTATTGTATTGGTTTTGCCACATGCACAATGCTGACTGAAAGCGTTCGCTGCAACGTGGTATGGTGTCTGTATCGTATAATGATTTTTACCTGGCAAGTAGAAATTAACACGACGTGTACAGTTTATGCACTCATGTAGCTGTATGGTACACGTTTCATGCAATGCAGTATTATGATCCCGCAGCGCTAAGCCGATGTCTCATCAGCCGGTCAATGCCAAGACAATCTACAGCAGAACAACACTAACTGTACAAAGTGCAATGCGCGATAAAGATCTGATTTATGAGCGCAATACACCCTTTCGCTTTCTTAATTCTGCTGTGTAACTTCTCCGACTGAACAATAATTTTCTCCACGTATTTAAGCCGTATTCTTTCGTCCGCATTACCGTAGATCAGCCAGTCTTGAACACTTACAAGATTTTACCAGAGATTTGTAAACATTTTCTTACGAAAATGAACAACGTGACAGTGTTTGTGGCCTTTTCTTTATTGTCCTGTGTTTTGGCTGGAGTTCAGGTGGACACAATAACGAACGGGGACGGTAAGAATTCTCTGTTTTGTTCTCCACAATGATTATTTACTATATCCGATTCTGTGTTGTAGGAACAAATTTTCCCCAGACGGGACAAACGGTGACTGTCCATTATACCGGTACGTTCCCCTAACTTATGCATATGTAGAAATAAATAATTCATTATAAGAATTTCAAGCTGATTGTAGTTGCTAACGTTTACTGCATTTTTGCTACGAGTACAGTACTAGAGCAAAATTAATTATATTTAGGGACGTTAACGGACGGGACCAAATTTGACTCCTCGCGCGATCGAAATCAGCCATTCAGTTTTCACATCGGACAAGGCGAAGTCATTAAGGGTCAGTTAGGATTATATTTCTACGGAATTTATTTTAGTATTTTGAACCGGCTCGTGTCTGCAGGTTGGGACGAGGGTGTTGCCCAGATGAGTTTAGGGCAGCGCGCTAAGCTGACCATTTCATCGGATTATGGCTACGGACAAGCCGGCATTCCGGGCGTGATCCCACCGGATTCCACTTTGATTTTTGATGTGGAACTGCTCGGTATTCAGTAGAAATTTTTATGGCATGTTTCTTGTTATGTTTCGCGCACTTTGCGAAATATTTTTGTTATAATTTTGGCCTGGATGGTTTTTATTCTCTTGGGTTAAACGCGTTGTTGTTTTTGTTTTGCTTTAAAACTGATGTTTGCTACTGGCTTTTGTTTGTTATTTTCTACGGAAATTATCTTACCGAAAAATAAGCAGGTAACATAAAAATAAGGGAAATATCTCTCATCCACAAGAAAAAGGTAATTTCTGATGGCATAAAGACACCGCGAACGAACAATTCGGTCAAGGAAGAAATTACACGGATTGCACACAAATTTTCTGGGTGTCGCTGGATACTGGGCTTTGCACGGGACAGCATTTGGTCCCTTCCTCACACATGGCATCATCTTGACAAAAGTTAGAGCAGCTGGTAAAGTGCATTTGTGCTGTGGACGGACTGGGGCAGGTTCCTGGGCGGTTGCGCGCTACAACGAGCAAATATAGGTAAGTGCATTAATATAACTTCATCCTCGTTATTCAGTTGACTTACAGGCACACTGGGATTTTAGCGTGCAAATTCCATAATCGCAGCGATCTTTAACGCGTATACAATCGGTAGTCGCTGTGCATTTTGTGAACTACAACCGCAATTCAAAATTAACAATAGCATTTCAGGATATTTATTTCGGCAATAACAGGCTGTGCATAACCGTCCACGATACTTGCCATGCAGGGATCTGTAAAACAACCGGTTTGTTAAGCAGATGCTATTTAGAGATTTCGAAGTTACGTTAGCGGCACATATGTAATGCCAAAAGCATTTACGAAAGTACGCAAGCCTTCAGCAAAAGGATAACTTTGATAGATCGTCTAACCAGCGTTGGCTAAATCGCAGACGGCGATGGGATAGCAGATTCCACCGGTCCTGTTACTGCACCAGTAGCTCATATACTGGCTGCAGTTCTTTCCATTCGCACATGTCACATTCTGCGAACAAATAAATAAATACGAGTATAACAAAAATCCTATAGGTCTGAGCCATTCCCAAAAAATCAGCTTAAAATCGTATGCTATGTGTATAATCCTATTACTGCCGGTTGGTGGAGCCAAGTAGCTGCAACTGAAACGAAGTTTTAGAATTCCGTGTTCTTAATGAACATGCATGTGCGTACTTCACAGACATTGGGCAGAAGAAAGGAACACGCATCTGCAAAGGAAGAAATTATTCCGATTGTTGAGAAGGACTATCTATTGTAGACGTACCAATATTGTAGAACTGGAAACTCATTAAAAGAATAGCACTGAATCCAGTGAAACACAATGCACGTGTTAAACTCATTCTTTGGCTGTGCTTTTCAAAGCCCTTAAACACAGAGTGAAGGGCGAGCGATTGAAAATCTGATTAATTTACAGATTAATCAACGATTATAAATAACATAGGGTGTCTATCAGAAATAGCTAGCTGTTCAAGTGGTCGAAGTCAGCGTAAAACTAGCACACACTCGAGCGCATATGCTTTCCCAGACTAGAATAATAGATCACCGATACATGTGCGAATGTTTTCAAGCGGCTTTTTTATTACGCTCGCGGCTGTTTTGTGTTTTTTTTTCTATTTCTTTGTATTGTATAGCATGTTGCTACTTGGCGAAGGTAAGCCACACAGTTATCGTGCGTTTCTACTAATATGGACAACAGGTAGTTTAGCAGCCATAGATATATTTTAATATTGTAAAACTTGGCACCACGCGATGCAAAAGAAATGCAGGGTTGGCATGGTAGTAATAATGCGCAATATTTTATTCAGTAAACTTGTTCTAGTTGCAAAAATCTAGCCAAACTGGCTACCAAAGAATTCCATTTAAATTGAATTTCGTTTAGAACATGGAGAACACTGATATTGGCGGCGGCCGCGCCGCTCGTTGGCAGGGAAGAAAGAGAAGAAAGAGTCGTAGAACTCCATGCTATGGATGACCTTGGATCGGTTACATTAAACACAGCTCGCCGTGTACTCGTCACAGCGTTCCTCACGGTGGTCGCCAAAGTAGTGGACGACATCATTGCTTTCGTTGCTGGCGCTGTCGAACGCGCTGTGGAAGTGGTGACCTTTGTTTTCATTTCCACAAGATTCTCATTCGTCTTATTTCGTGGCGTAGTGGTATAGTTAGAGGAGGAGTTATTTCGGCATGAACTGATCAGTGGTGTATGGTCAGCAGGGAGATCGTTGGGAGAATTCCAAACGTTAGTGATCAACGGTCCCTAAAAAGATACCGTTGCATTTTAATGGAGTGATCCTTTTAATGTAACGACTGCGAAGTCTCACATTACCGATGTTACTGATTGTCGTATACAGCGCGAAACAATCTGCGTGCCGTTTTCTTTGGTCACACTCGGCGAGGTGTTGCACGTGGTCAGTCCGACATCATTGACGTACGCCCATGTCGGCAGAATTGGGAATATCATAAGGAACGCTCGACATCTTTCACTGGTATCCGAAAGCTGAAGAAAGACATGTGCAAAATAACGCAAATTTATCATGCTCATACTCGAATTGCAGAATGTGAATCATATTTGTGCAGTACCTGTTTAGCATATTCACACTCGAGAAACAACTCGTCGCCCTGCAACCATACAAATTTGAACGCCATGATTTCAGTTTTATCCGGGCGGAAAACTTCCGAAGCGGCAATATACCCGATGGAGAATTGTTGTACGGGGCGGTCGCCGTCCTTCTTGATACGTGTAGTCGTAGTGATTGTCTTTGGCGACTGGGTTCAGTTCGGTTCCGTTGCGGATATGCCGCAGCAGCATCCGCCTACCTAATTTAATGGTCTTCGAAGCTCCGGGCCGCCAGGAAACCGATTATGAAAACTGTACCTGATACTTCCGCATCGAGGACGACGTCGGCAATGTGGATTGAACGTCGCGCCAGTCCCTACACGTATTATGTTGGTAGCACGAGAACGAACTTTTTCGATGGATTACTTACGGATTGAGTACAAGATGCAGGACATCGGGTCACTGCCACGAGATCCGTTACATTTGCCGGAGCGGTAAACGAATCCATATCTGTAAAAATTATGTTACTGTTAGGGAAACAAGGTCGATTATAACCATAACCGGAAACAAATACCTGGGCGGTCGGTGTATTGCAAGGTGAGAAAACCGGCATCGAATTGTCGGATATCTGATGAAATCACGAGCGATATTCCTGAGCTATCCAAATAATCTGTAACAAGAAGAAATTTGACGCTGATAAACAATTCAATCGCAGTAAACAGCACCGGCACTGAGAAAACCGGTGTAAAAAAGTCCAAGCCGGCACAAGCCGTTGGTTGAATGATGCTTTACCGATGGGTAGATCGTTTTGATAATCGTTCTGCAGAAGAATATAGCGGTTATTCATCTCTGGATTGATGGGAATTCCCGCTTCTTCCGGAAGATAAAAGATCTGCAGTACGTTCAAACTATGTGTTATGTACTATTGTTTACGCTAAATGATTCTTACATCCCTGCCACGCCCTGCGACCGCCAGAACCATCGTACACTGGTCGCGAAGCATCACTCGATACTTTTCATTTTCCGCCACTGAGCAATCAAAATCCTTTGTGGGAAACGTATCGTTGACAAGTGGACTGCAGATATAAGCAACGGATCGCTGAAGAATATTCTCATTTCCTTGTGTCAAAATCGGGACAATCTACCGAAATAATAATGTATGTATATTCAATATTTTTAAATTCAGGTTAAATGTTTTCTCACAGCCGTGGCATGATATTTCACCGCCAGGGATGGAAGTTTAATTAGGGCACAGTGTGATTTTTGGCCGATATTTGCCGGAATGGCTACCTTGAATGGAAACTTTGTGAAAATCGACCAACTCTTAAATAACAAAATCTACCTCATCAACCAACAGCCACCTGATGCTTAAAAAGCTACCTGATCGGCAGTTAAATCCAGGCCTCCGCTATTTGGATCAATGCGGACGCTGTCCGTTAAATTTTCATTGTACGGTTCTGCCAAGAGATTTACGGCTATGCGTTTTGCCGATGCCCAGCTAAAGGTATTGCCGTCAACGATACTGAGCGTCGTAGCGTTGGACATGTAGTGCAAATACGCAGTGTCGCCCTAAACAGCAAAGAACAAATGCATCTGTTAAATCGTTTTGCAAATAATAATTATAGTAATGCTTATAAGACTAGATCATTAATTTAAATTGATACTACAGTACAGTTAGTAGTTAAACTAATACAAGCAGGGAAAAGTTCACCGTTATGGATAAATCTTGACTGTCGCATGTTTCCAGTTCTCTCGTCAGCCGGACGGTGAAAAGGCTGGTGTTGCTGACTGTGGCATTCCAGTCTTGATGTTTATCTAACCGAACGATACCGTCTGATCCAATCCAATAATCCTATAAATAATACATAATAAAATTTAATAATACAGAAAAATGCCTACTTTGGCGATCGTTTTTTAAATTTTTTCGAAAATTAACCTTTGCTGAAACGTTGGTAACTGAAGTTGAGCAGGCAACAAAATCAATGGGAAGATCTTCATGTGGATGACTGATTCCCAAAGCAAACCAGTCAGGTGGTGTCGTGTTATACGATACAATCAGCTCGATATGCGATGTATTATGTAGCAGTTGAATCTGCACTCCCGTATCAAAATTTGCCAAAGTGAAAGCAGTAATCCGTAAAATCCAATAATCCAAAAAAATGAATAAACTGACTAATTTTATAAGCATTCTTATACAATTTTTGCGGCAACAACAGCGTCTTTTTTGTGGCACAAAATCTGATGGATTTTTTGACAGTCGAAGATGCGGTACATTGCATCCGGCGTGGTGTTGCTCGCCGGATGACAACGCTAACGATGGAATACAATAAATGGTGAGTATATGCTGATGGTGACATTTTCCAGATCCGTTTACATCTGATTATGCCATTACAAAAGCATGATGATACATGCCGCAACGGTATTCAATGCAAATCTAACTACAAGCATTAAGCATTTTTTATTGCGTTTGTTGTTTAACCAAACACTGCCGTACTGACGATATTTACACGTCGGTTTGTCAAACACCTCATAGTCGGCGCAGTGCACGACAACAGCTACAACGCTGCTGCGCTATACAATCAAAATTCCAGCGATGAATTTCATCGAAAATACTGAAGGTTCTTACAAAATTTATTAGTTTCAGTTGGGAAAAGCCGTGAAAACATTAGCCAAATCCGTTGCATTGGCATCCAGCCGGCTGCGGTCCGCAGTTACCGGCATTTCCCAAGTTTCCACCGAAACAAGCCCACCACGCTCCACAAGCAAACGTACAGGCCCAGTCTACAGAAGCAATTCTGTACAATATATCTAGCGTTTGTTTCGCTAATAAGGAAGTTTCAAATACTGTTTTGAAACCTTACCAAATCGACCGTTAGCATCGAACTGCGGCTTCACATCTGGCGCCACCGGCACGGAAACAACGCAGGAAACGGCCAACACTAGTAAAGGGCAACAACAACGCGGGCGTTCATTCTGGAGATTACGACTAAAAAAGCAGACCACTGTTAAAAAGGTTGAAAATTAAAATTAACTCAGATTTTATATGCTGACGAAAGATGTACTTACATATAACTTCTAGAAACAAAACAACTAAAACCGTGAAGCGAAAACGGGTTAGAAGTCAAGGAAGCGAGCAGTTCTATGAAATTTAAATTACAAATATATACATTGGGTTTCTGGGTTCCGCGCTTTTTATATGGCGTTAGTTGCGGATGTTTGTGCTTCGTTTTGGGTTGGTGTTATCGCGCGTCACTGTCAACAGTGTAGTAAGCCGTCAGAAATTTCCTACATAAATTATTGTTATGCGGCGCTGATAGGAACCGGTGCTATCTGTTTCCGGGCCGGCAAGTCTTTAGCATGTTTTAATAACAAGGTCGATAAGTAAAGATTTTAAATTCGCCTGACGCACCGTTTACGGCAGTAAACAATGGGCCGAAATAAATTAATTTCAAGCGATAATCTGGAAGACATTGTTGCTGTTAAGCGTGCCTTGATAAAGCATGCACCACTGGTGCAATAATTGGAACCGGTTATCATCAAACACTCACAAAACGTCTACATGTGTATTTGTACTAATTATTGAGCTTGATAAGCTAAAGTTGCTAAACTTCCCGAATATATTACAGTTTTCTGGTATGTATTGCAATTTATAAACATGAGAGGTGGCGGGGTGGGAAACTTGTTCGCCGATTGTAAGAAACATTGTAAATTCACTATTACAGTGTACGTATTTGTATTCCTTTTGCCGACATTGAACACCAAATTAATAAATGACAACTGAATACAGATATACATGACTGTGCAACAGAAGGAAATCCGCTTTTCTGTTCAGTCATAATATAGTGATAATTAGAAGCTGATCATAAATACACCGCGATAAAATTACTGGATGACCTTATTTCTTGAAATATACTTGTATCTGTAACTCCGGCTTCTACGGTAAACTGGTAAATGCAAATTGGTACATATTATTATTAGGAAATCGATTAATTTTATGGAATAAAACACCGCGACAGTACAAGACCGGTAATTTCTGCAGAAGGAATAATAGCATATTACGCTAAATAACTGCGCCTCACGTGCAATCAGCTGTATATACTCTATCTAATGCGATATGATACAATCGTAATTATTTATTATTAATACGGTAATGTGCGTTCGTGAATACTGTTAGCATGTGCATACCTTTACGCTGCTACACATATCCTATTCACTACGGGAAGCAGATACCGGCGCACTTTCCACACCAGTGCACTTCACCGTACGTTTTATCGGTGATTCTTTACAGATACACTAGCAGTATTGTTCTGCAGCTTCAGCTTCACTTTATGTCGATTTACCTCTGTAACTGGCAAGCAACAATTAACAGTGATGATAAGTCAGTTTTTTCTATAAGGTTTGTTATTTCAATATAAATCTTGGCAGTTTTGTCCATTTTCTCTTATAAATCCATTCCAAACATTTGCTGCAACTATCGTTCAAAATACTCGGACACAGTTTATTAAAATTCACTGTCTCCAGAAAGAAAACCGCGGAATTTATTTACAAACTTTACGAACAATTTTCGGAATAGCCTTCTAATTTTTTTGAAGCATCGCTGAGCATTAATTAAATTCAAGCAAAAAAATTAGCCACCTCAGCCACCCCAGGAAATATATAAATGTTTCACATTCCAAATAACTTTAAAAAAACTTTGACCCAAAAAACGAAGCATGGAAAATTCATTTTTACCGATCTACGCAATGAAATGTATAAAAAGAAATTTCCTGTATCACTGAACCAGCCGCATTATTCGCATTCGGGTATCGTTGGAGGCGGTCTCGCCCAGCCCCCATGACGGATATTTTGAGAGACGGCCCGACGACACTTTATTTCGCGGGATCTCTTTTCCACGACATAATCTCCTGAGAATTTTTCGAAACATGGGAAAGAACGTGACGTAGTATACGAATGGCATCAAATCCTTCATACAGTCAAATGACGTATACGCAATGGCCATCGTCACCCCCAGAAACCCGTTCCGCATTCCGAAGAAATAAATCAGTCTGGAGGCCGACTGACACAGGACATTGGTGGTGACCACCGCGGAGCCGGCCATTGCGCTGCGCATCACGCTTCTCACAAGATAATAATCGGTTTGTCCGGGATTCGTGCGCCGGTTATTCGCACGAATTTTGACCTGCAGCGCAATAATACACGTGTGACACTGCGGCAACGCGATTAGACCCAGAGTGGCAAAGAACTGGACGTTGTAAAATACGATCCACGCGTAGTCTCGCAGCACCAACTGACCAACTTCTCGGCAGCTGACCACTAGCACGGTATTCCCCAGAAATGCGAAAAAAACCAAATAGAATCCACATACGGTAAACCACATTAACATAATGACAATAACGACGGAGCGTTTAGTGACCTTTTGCCGGTAGAATAATGGAAACTGCACGGAGATCCATCGATCAATGCTTATGAGCATCACCAACATGTTAATTAAAGGAAGAAACGTCGTACGGAATCCAACGGCCACTTTTGTGATATAAGAATAGCGTAGTGTATAATCGATCACTCGGTTCATGGTGCCAATAAAACTCCCGGTGCTGCATAATAATTCCGCCGCTGACAAAGAAATGTGGAAGAGAAGAAAGGGTTCTTTCTTTTTCCAGCGAGAAAATACGCAGAGGTTAATGCAGTTCACGACGATGGTGAGAATATTTAGAGTTAAGTAATATACCGTTAATATTCGGTAGTCTCTGGAAATGGACCATGATAAGCAGACCGTGGCATTTGCCGAAATGCTAGATACATTAGTCAGATTCATGAAGGAAAATGTGGTTTGTTTACTTTGTTATAGACTAAATGTACCGTGTGCTGGATATAAATATTTAACGCGTTCAAGAAATCAAAGCGAGCGCAGAAGCTGGCACGCAATCTTGGGCTGTAACTGAGATGATGTAGCGCAACGTGATTGAGACCGGAAATCAACTGCATATATCGGTTACTGAAGATGATTATTTTGTGCAGTAAGAGAAGCGCCGAAGTAATTTTCTAGTATGTGGAAAGGGTAGCGCCGAATTCTAATTATTCTCCATGGGGAAATCACGGCTGGATAACGGTGGACGTTTGCACGTTTGTCGATGAAATGCAGCAGTCATGTGCGATCGGCTATTGATTTCGGTCTAAATTGATACTGTAAACCTGACTTCCGAATAAACGCAAAAAAGACACCGCGTGAAGTAAATCTAATTAGGTGAAAAACCGCTCGTTGCTGATTCTCTTGCTGTGTTGGCTTTTGTGGGAACGTATCGAGATATGTCGGTTGTGTTAAGCAGGTGAACAAAAGTAAAATGTGTTAACCATATTCACGCGAACATAATAGTTCTATTTCCAAAGTTGCGCTGTTGGCGCGCGGTAGGAAAATTCCCCTTTGTACGACGCCGACTTCCTGGAGTTCTTTTTGTATGATATCCGCCGTCGAAGGGCGTAGTTGTGGCAAATAATCACAGCCCAGTCTAATAACAAATCTGGGTTTTTCGTGAGGCAGCGATGCATAATAATCTTTGTCCACGTGTGCTATACTTCTATTGATTACCGGGAAAACTTGGTAGAAAAACAGAAACCTGCGGCTAGAAACCTCACAAAAGGTGAGCACTGAGCAAGCAGCTCCAACAGGCGGAAAACTGAAGGATTACCGCACACTTTAATCAAGCAGTGTAGACTATTTACAAAGTGTTTGTATAAGGACGGGCTGGGTGTGCCCTGAGGACAACTGTTCCATGCAGGCTTATTTTTAGGCATAAGAACATTTATAATAAATTAAGGCACTCATATTTGTAAATTGTAAGTACAGTATGTCCAGCTGCTAAACGGTTAAAAAAATAAAACTATTTTAGGTTTGGCCGCCTTCACCGTTTCTTTGCTCGTTTCATTATACAATAAGCATTCAGCATTACCAACGTTCTGCGAAATTATTAAGGTTATCCTATCGAGAGGAAAAGTGTGCCGGTACATATATCAATCCGTGTACAGCGCTGACAATCGCATTATTTTCAAACCACCATTTCAAGATGGTAAAGGGAAGTGGCGGTACGCTATCGTTATAATTGCCAGCCTAATAGCTACCTAAGAAAAATCGACTTTTACCATCTTGTGGTACTCCACACTCTGTTTTTATTGCACTGCTGGCGGTTACGAAATACATATCAACATTCTTTTTACAGTAAAACCGAATTTTGTGCCCATAACGCACTGGGAAACGGAATATAAAGAAACATATATATTTATTCATTTATCCAATCGACTATTCACATCGGTTAATAAAACTGTCGAAAATAATAGTAATAATGATAAGAGAACATTGCATTGTGTGCACATTCACTGACATCAGGGGTCATGGATGGCATGGGACATTTCATAAACGAACCTGCCTTACGTTGTTGTCGTTCTGCGTAGACTAGCAAACCATATCAGCGGATCGAAGATAATTTGCAATGAGTACAAAACCTCCACTGCATTATACACCGCACTGGGCCACCACAAACCACGAAAGACCACCGCACACCAGAATACATCCGACGGCACCCAGCACGCCACCACACCGATCGTGGTCACCGTTAGGATGGTGAATGGCTTCACATGCTTATCCTTCTCTTTGAAAGTTTTCCCAGCAGTGCTCGTTTGGCTCTCCTGCGCTAGCTACGTGGGAACCCACTCGTCGTAACGACGCTCGGCCAAACCGTTTGATGATTAAATAAGTGTAAATTAGAATAACCGTTCCTAGTGGCAGAATCCGGTGAATTATCGTCTGGACGCGGCTCCAACTGGGCAAAGAAATCTGCTGGCAACCATTTCGCTTGACCTCACGCGACATTACTGACTCCATAATAAACGGTGGCAGCGCTGTGATATGCACGTAACCAATCATCGCAAAAAAAATTAGTACTGCGACGGTCTTCGTGTGTCTGACTTGATAGAAACGCGGACGGGTGACCGCCCACCAGCGATTCACCGAGATCAGAACATGGCACATGACATGGACGATGCTGACTATGCGCTGAAAATATAGATAGAAGAAACATAAAGAACGGTGACCAGAACCACGTTCCGCCATATAATTCGCTAATGGTCCCCAATGGGCGGTTGACGATGAGAAACGCGAGGTTTGCCGTGAATAAAAATAGCAAGTAAATTGTGAAAGGACTGATTAGCGAGATTCGAAGTATATGGACAAAG